ATGTATCTGGATTGGGCCAGTTCAGAAACATAAGGAACATTAAGGTCGTTATGGATGGTTTTATTTGTGACAAAGTAAGGAGCAGTAAGGATTGGATACGAGAGGAACTTGATGGTTTAGTTGAGTCACAGAGCTCAATTCCGTAAGTACAAATAGGTCTTATTGTAGCCATGTTTATGAGTCGTTTGTAATTGTCTGGGAGCTTATAGCGTTTGTCTAGTAAGTGTTGGAGTAGTCGGAAACGTCAAGTGGTTTCTTGTCGTTTCAGTCTGGTATGAGGATTCCAAGTATCGGATTTTTTCAACAGGGATAAGTGGGGTATTATTAAAAGATACTGTAGGACAGGAGGACATTGGTTTACGAATAAAAATTATGAGTGATGATTAACATAATCAACATAATTGTTGTAAAAAGCATAATATAGTATTACATATAAAAATAAATTAAGTATTTTTTTTTGTTTTTAATGCATACGACATTTTTCTTTATTTAAGAAACAACAAAAAGCAAACCTTTTTGGAAAATAATAATTTTATAATTCATACGGAGAAATGGCAGAAAAAAATAATTATAATTATAAAAATATTCATTTTTTCTGGACACCTAGGTTGAAGAAGGCTATAATGCTCGGGTATGTGTCTAATATTTATCAATTGTATATAGTTATATTTATGGTATTTTAATTTACTTACCTTTAAGTATATTTATCCTTTATACCTTTTTTTATTATTCTGCTTTATTTTTGGTTAATTTATTTATATTTTCCTTAAATATTGTGTGAATGAACTCTTCTCTTCCTATAACCATTTTCCATGTAACAGAATGTTATATTACTCAATAAAATAGTTTTTTTTTTTTTAAATTAACAACTTAGCATCACAAAAAGTTTTATAGAAATCGTTGATTAGAAAAATTCATCAAACTATTTAGCCATTTAATTTTATAAAATATTTACTTTTCCATAAACAACCGACGAAATTTTCATAAAGTCGAGGTGGATTGAATTTTCACCACTATATATAATTCAATTTTAACTCCATCCTTTAATTAAGCGTTGGACAAGCAGAGCGGAAAGAAGTAATTCCAGTGGTGGTAACGTCCAGTGATATTTTTTTTTTCGCTGGATGGATTTACATAAAATCAATATTGACAGGGTTGATATAAACCAGCGATTTATAATACAAAGTGAAAGCTAGAATTTTACGAGTTCAAAATTTAGATAAAAAATAATAATTAAAATAATTAAGGTGCTGGAATATGACTAAAATCGAAGCTAAAATATACTATTTTTAGCAACTTTGCCAAGATACCCAAGTGACCTAATAAAAATTTTGCAATGAGAACGTCTGTCCAAATTAAAAATTTGAGAGCATCAAATAATGTGTTAGAGAATACATTATACTCAGAAAGTAAAAAAAAAAATATTTTAATTTAATAAAAACTTACTATAGAAATTCGGAAATTCTAAACACCCTAAGGAAATGTACTCCCATATCTACTGAAACATTTTAGTAGATTGGTAGGGAAATTGACATGTACGAATATTTAAACTAGGTGTAGTAGTCGGATTCCTTTCACTACACATTATGGTTCTAGACAAATATATTTCGTTCCATGTATCGGTGCGGGCAAACATCCAAGTCTTGAGATGTGATAGGAACCCCACCACGACACTAAGTTTAAATATTATAATATATGATCACATACATAATATCAAATCAATTAGTAATCGAGATATTTATACGATAATAAAAAAAATGTTCAGTATTTTGAGTTCAAATTGTTTCAAGTCATTCACAGGACGTAACTGAGTAATTACAGCCGTCAAAGTTAAAAATCGATCATATGATCCGCTCAAAAAATCCTTATATACCTTTTAGCGATTGATTAAACACACTTTACACAGTCATTTGACAGAATTTTAAGTTCAAATTATTTCAAAACTATCATGGAATCTCACCGAATAATTTGAGCCATCAAACTTCAAAATCGATTTAGCTGTTCGCTCCGAACATTGTCATTTCAATCCATTACAATTGTCTTTATTATAAATATTATTTGGCCAACCATTGTATACCTTCACTCAAACTATGTTATATTTTTATTGATTGGTACCTCTTGCTTATGTTCATTTCATTACTAGCCAATAGTCACAATTCTGTAACCATAAGAAACAACGCAAATCTTGTACACATTTTGAATATTTAGTCAGCAAATTATTTACATTGTACACACATAAATGTTACCTCCCTCCTCCCCCTCCTTCTGATTATGTTTACCTACCTTTTGCTATCTGAAAAAGGACAACTGGGAAATCCTCCCCCAACCCTTTCACTTACCAAATGTGTTCTTGAATACCTTTTAGTGCTCGAACCACGGTTTGTAATAGAAAATATCACAATTTTCATAGATAGATTATATACATTGTTTTTAGTTTGTATAACTTTTTACATATTTTATTTGTGATATTTTGTATTGTAGTATCAGTTAAGATTTATGTACCATCAATCACGATCGTTTATTAACCATTATCGGTCCTATAATATTATATCTCTGATTTTATTTTAAAATTTTTAGCCCTGATGATAACCATGATAACATGTTTGGGATGAAACGTCGGCACTAATAAAAAATGTATAATGACTGTGTCCTGAATATTTATCACCCATGATATATACATAAATATATTCTCATACAAATATTCTCTAACTGGATTGTAAGAGAGAATCCCTTTAGTAAGCCCTTACAAAGTTAATACTGAGAACCATTCACTAATTACTCTTTTAAGAGACGTTTCCCTTTTAGCAGGATCAGCCTCCATTGTCACGAACTACTCTAAGAGATAAAGTTGTTGATGCTATCAGAATTGTCAAATTAAATTATATAATCTCATAAGAACAATTAGACAATTTACAATTAATTAAAGTTTAGCTCCATGGCTGAATCCAACAATCCATGGGATCCATCAGCTATTTACTCTGAGATCAGATAGATAGATGTTTGATACAATCAGAAGATTGACACTACTGTAACATGACAAAGCAGAAAACCATAAGTTTTGTTTTTGAAATTCCTTAACGGATTTTTCAACAAAGATCTTTCGTTCGTTTTACGATGTGTAAAGCGCATGGTGGTATTTCAATTTTTTTTTTCTGTTGTCTTTGCAGAACTACAGTATTTTAGTTGATTCGATTTATTAATCTGGTTTGTTGTTGGCCTTAATGGATTGGTCCGAGCTACATGTCCCGCCTTAACCTCATTCCCTTCATATCATGAGTTGAATGAATGAATGAATGAAAACGTGTTTATTATACTTTAAAAAAAATTATACAAAATAAATATATATATACAAACAACAACGCACAGACAATGGAAAATTCCGTCTGTCGAGGTCTGTGTGTAATTAATAATAAATATTCATTAAATTTATAGCTAAAATAAATGAGCAATAATATATCTACAGTAGTATTATATTTTTATACATCCATTCTAGCAATTTTCTTCTTCACTGTTTCATTTGTTTAAATAGAGTTTTCAAAAAACAAACATTAATGCATCACAAATCCAATAAATAAGAAATTTAAATTCAACAACAATAATAATAACCATCAAATACAATATAACAATAAAACAAACGTTACAATAAATAAACACGATATTGTATCAATAGTTTACTATCTTTCCAGCTTTCCGGTTAGAACCCTTTAAGAAACCAAATAATTCTTCTGGAGAACAGGTCCGCTACCCAAAACATTTCTCTCTTAACTCACTGTATATCTGACAAGTCCCCAAAAAGTGAATGATATCCTCTTTTTCTTGAGAGTTACATACCGGACAGCAATCGTTGTCCCCCACCATCCATGGTTTTACGCTTAAATCGAGCAATTCTGTCCTACATCGAAAAATTGACCATATAGTCAAAATATCAAAACTATCAATAAGATAGGGTGTAACAGTGCCCAGTGAACACAGTTCTGCGTAAACTTGAATGAAGACATTTTTGAAGGTTGTTTTGTTTTTCTAATTCCTCTACCCTATGTCTAACAACAGTCAATTTTCGGCGCAGACCAGCGATATTTGCAGTCTCAAGATTAATTTTACAACTATCCTCGAATTCTAACCACTTTTGGTACCATCAAACTCTCTCAGTTATCACCTCTTTCGCTAAGATATGTGGCAAACGAAAACCCGGCATCTACAGCACTTTTAAAATATAGTCGAAATGAATCATGAATTTTTTTTTAGTTATCGCTTCCTATTCAACAAAAAATATGGCATACTTAAAAAAAACACAAAATTTAAATTTCCTAATTTTCTGTCGAAAAAAGGACCAATATTTATATAAACATTTTTGTAGGTCTTGAGGTTTCCTATCACTCTTATAAATATTTCCCAACAACCTTTATATTACTATGATACAATTAATAACTAAATAATTAACCTCATCTCATATATATATATATATATATATATATATATATATATATATATATGTATATAATTTTTTTTAACTTATTCTAACGAACTATTTTACCGTTTCACGTTTAAAAAATGTGAAATGAATCGGAGTCATATAAAACAAAAAAATATTGCTAAATACCTTATTGACGTACTGTCATTAAGCTTAAGTAATGTTTATTGCACACGATAAAAAAAAAAAATAAAAAAAAAAGGGGGCTGTTAAATTGAATATGAGGTGCAATTTTACCCACAGTGAGTTCCCACTGATGTCGATATAAATTATACTTTATTTTACTGAAATATTGGAAGTTTGAAATAATTAATATTTATGCTAAATATTCGAGAAACTAACTAAAAAATATTCGACAAGTTCAATCAGTAATAATTATATTTGTAATATACTTAAGTTTTTTTCTAATTATGATTTAATTTTTAAACTGAAGAAATATTTAGTACTGATTCCCATTTCTTAAAAAAAATAACAAATTAATATGAACCGAACCACACATAAACTTTTTTACCGCTAATGCATATGTTAACAAAATATTTTTATGTAAACAGGTGTAAATCTTAATTAAATATCTTAGTGTTTATACGATTAATTAAACACTATATTTAGTAGTATAAGGAATCAAGATGAAAATGAGAAATATTGATGTCAAATACGATAAAAATAAAATATGGAGTGTGATAAATAAACACTTGGATGAGGACTACAGGGACCCTATCCCCAGACCACTCCCAGATGTCGCACCCGTGAGTTCTTTACTAAAACCTTTTTTTTATTTTTTTTTTTATTTTCATGGATTGACGGTTGTCTGTAGTGAATAATAGAAGAGAAGAATGGTTGGGATGATCAGTCAAAAATAAAATCTATAAATAAATAAACTTATTTCTCTTCAATTATTTTATTCCCATCTTCTACTCCTGTTCTGTTAGACGGCCTTCCTGGTTATTTGCCATATATCTGTTTGAAATCTACAAAAATGTAACGTAAGTCTATTTGGTACTCGATTATTTTTTTTTGTTTTTTTTGTTTATTGTTTTCAATAATGAACAATCAAACAAAAAATTCAAAAACAACACCCTCTCAAAATTTGAGGTTTTGCCTTACAGGACACGCAGAATTCTGAATACAAATATATTTTTTTTAACATTTGTCTTAACGCGAAAATATGATTTATCAACTGATTTACCTGATCTAAAACCACATTGATATTTACCTAAAATTTTCTCTAATTTTATGTATTATTAACAAATATACAGTCTATTTTAATTTATACACATATTTTGACCAGTTATTTTGAATGAACCATTGTAATTTACCAAGAAAAAAAATTAATTTCTCCATGTTATAATACACTGCAGTAACTCATTTCCACATTATTTTTTCATTAAAGTCGTTTGTTTTCAAAGTTAACTCTGATCATTATTAACATTTTTTCAGGAACCGCGAAATAACGAAATAATTTTTATTCCAGTTCTAATATCAAAACCAATATATATATATATTTTTTTTTAAACTTATTTATTGAAAAATATTACAATCTGTCTCTAGGACATTTATAATAGAGTTCACAGATCACATTCACACTCTATGTACAATAAACAAAATAAATTATACAGAAAAATAATATATATACAATAAATAAGAATAAAATAACCCAAAAATAAATAAAAAGAACACATACACACCTATATACCATATTTACAATTTGGTGAGAGAACTCCAAACCAGACTTGTCCCTCCAACTTTGGAGGGAAAAGTATGACTCCAGGAGTTCCCTGCACTCCTCTCTCAACCGCGTCACTAGGGCTAAACCCAGTGGAGATTGAGCAAGAGTGCTTTAGCCACATACACTCATGTCGTGAGTGGAGAATCTGGCCATTGCCAGAACTCCAATATTTACAAACTATAAAAGATAGCGGGGCCACTGTCGTTTTAACCTCCTTGGAGGATTATATGGATGGGTGGTGCTGGATAGAGATTGTGCAAAGGGATTTGGATGATTGGTAAGGTTCTGGTGGAATTTGGAGAATTTTGCTGGGATAAGGTCTAGGACAAATGGGATATTAAGGTCATGGTGTAGGGTATTGTTGGTTACATAGAAAGGAGCATTGACTATTGTTCGAAGGACTTTGGATTGGAAGGATTGGATGCGTTTGATGTTAGTAAATTTTGCTGTTCCCCACAGTTCAAGTCAGTAAGTCCAGATAGGTTTCAGTATTATCTTGTAGATCAGTAACTTGTTTTCAATAGAAAGTTTTGATTTTCTGTTTAGTAGTCGGTATAGTTGTCCGTATCGTCGGTTTAGTTCCTGTCTTTTAAGTCTAGTGTGAGGGTTCCACGTTAGTTGTCTGTCTAAGAGAAAGCCAAGGTACCGGACTGTGTCAGAGAAAGGAAACTGAATGAAATTAAAGTGTACTGGGGGACAGGAACCAGTATTAAAAAAAAATAAATAAATTAATAAATTCTTTATAAGACCTATAAAAGACTTACGGTATTGAACTTTGTGGCTCCACTAAACCATCGAATTCCACTCGTATCCAATCCATACAATCCAAAATCAATGCTGATTACTTTGCCACAAATAAAATCATCTATAACGATCTTAATGTAGCAATTTACCGATTTGGCCCGATCCAGATACCCATCCTACCATAAGAAACTTCAGGACCATCTGAATCCTCTCGTTTCAAATCTTACTTCCTCCTCGATCCCTGATAACCCTCCGAGGCGTCTGAAAAGAAGATGGGCTCTCAGCTTCATGATCTTATGTAAATATATTATTCGAGCTCTATCAGAGGGTAATTTCTCAACAAGCGTTTTCATGTCATTATAATCCTGTGTGCACATTTACTAGAGGTATTTTTATTTTAATACAGTTGTAAATATCATGAAGAAATAAAATTAAAACATATATAGAAATTTTTTATCTGTGGAACATATTACCAAAATTCAATGATTAATTCAGTAACTTTCTTTAAATACTTAAAGAGTACATCGCTTTGATACATCGTTTAGGAGTTATAGGTAAAAAAAAAAAAAAAAAAAAAGGATTGAAATAATATGGTTTTTTTGGCTGTAAAAATGTTTCCCTTTGTGGCACGGGTTAACAATTTTTTTTTTACATGTTTCAACACTTATACAAAAGTTAAAAAAATAACAATTTTTCTCACATTCCTCGCAATATATTTCCCGTTTCTATCCTCAAATACTGGCCTGATATTCTTTAAATCAGCCACTATAATATTAATATTTTTGAAAGCAGTGGCTCTGGAATGACAGACAAGATATTTTACTTAGAACAACACACACTTTCGTAATTTAAATTCAAACCTTCACCTGCGATCAGGTATATTTTTGGGCCCTGGCTCCAGGGCGATTTAGGGCTACCTTGTTCTCAGGATGCCTTTAGGGAATATTAGAGCGGCGTATGACTAAATTATTTCCTCAGATAAGTAAAAAAAATTTCAATTCGACTCTTGAACGATAAATAAGCACTACAAAAAAATGATCGCTAACTGTTTTCTATAATAATATCGCTCTACCACCTTCAAAAACTGTACGATATTTGGACCTCTACTTGAACAAACGACTGACATGGACATACCACATAAAACAAAAAAGAACAGAACTTAATCAGCGATACGGACTTCTTTGTAGGCTGCATGACAGACGTTCTAAATTATCGGTGACTAATAAACTAACTATTTACAAAGTCCTCATTATACCGCTTTGGACATATGGAATCGAACTATGGGGAACAGCAAAGAAATCAAATAAAAAAAATCATTCAGTCATTCCAGTCAAAAGTGCTTCGGAAAATTGTAGACGCACCCTTTTATGTTTCAAACCTCACGTTACACACTGACCTTAACACTCCTTTCATCACGGCAACTGCCACTGACAGCTTTAATAATTTTCATGACAGACTGACTCTAAATTCCAATCCACTTACTCATGCTCTATCTACTGCCACAAATCCATATAATCCGCCCAGAAGACTGCTGAGGCGCTGGCCGAGAGACTTATTGCATTGAGCTACTTGCTGCATTATCTTTTCTTTTTTGTGTGTTATTCTGTTAATATGTATGTGTTATTATGTATTATTTTACTACTGTTCTTTTTTTTTTGTTGGTTTTTTTTTTTGTCTTTCTGTTTTGTTATTACTATAATTTTTTTTCTTATGCTATCATTTCTTGTCCTTGATATTATATTTGCTGAATACCAATGTAGATGGGAAATTTATTGTGAGCCAGAAATATGTATATCTAATAAATAAATAAACTTTTTTCTAAACATTCGCTGGACCTATTCATATCACATATAAATTATGAAGAAACTTCATTCTTCTCTTCATATGCCATTCATTTGAAAAATGTTTTAATAAATGAAATCTAACTTGTTTTCTTGAGTTCTGATCGCGAATATCTATACTGTTGAGATATTGATAAGTGTTTACGTAGTAGTCCAATACCACGTATAAAATACAAATTTTCTTCAATATATAGGAAATAGAGTAACAAATTATTAAAAACATTCTTTCAAATATCAAGATGTATTTTGAAAGAGCTTATTAAGAACAAGAAGCTAATTATTCTAATTTTATAAGACAAGTAAGATTTATCAGAAAGAATTAAAGCTCTTCAATGATTTTAAATTAGGTACCTTAGGTAAATATCTGGATATATATCAATGTAAGAAAAAAAAACGAAATTAAGGTTTCATAATAGATATAAAAAGAAAAATAGCAAATACTTTGATTGATACAATTTATCCATTTTGATGAGAGATTAAAGTAAATTTATCCATACTGCCCCACTTTTCCGTGTCTAATTTTAGATGATTATTATATATATTTATTTTTAAAAAGGAAAAAATGTTTTTGAGAAAATTAAAGTTATAACAAATGACAGGAAAGTCCAGATTCGATTGTGTGCATCCCTAATAAGAAAAAACCTGCTTCCATCAGAGTGATGATCAGTGAAACGGCAATATGGGATGCTTTGAGGGACATGGGTGTTCTGAGACAGAGAGCTCCCAAGTCTTACACTAGCTACAGGAACAAGCAGCGAGAAATAATTTTCAACCAGCCCGAATTAACCAACAGGGAAATAAGAAGGTATAATAAAAATATATTTATGATGGAATGATAACGATTGCAAAATAATAGCAGGTTTGCATGTCAGGGTTTTCCAAATAGACGAATACATTCCCAAAAAGCTTTCTCTTATGCCAGGTCCACTCCGGACGCGGAAATGAGGACTGCGCGCCGTAGACGGCGGAATCGCGCAATCTTGTATCTCAAACGTGCTTAACCACGATCCGCTATTATACTATACATATCCCCTCTATACCATGTTAGCTGCATTTTCTACTAGCAACCGATGTAGAAACCAAAGGGTCATAACTAATTAAGAAATTAATTAATATATTTAATTAATTAATTAACAAACCTAGTTGCACATTTCGACAAGAAGAGTTAATCGATGACCACCAGACTGATATAAAATATGTTCAACCGGAAGAGTTATGAACACTGTTAAAAAGTTGTATGTTTAATAGCAGGAATAGCATACACATGTGTGGTATGTCATTCATGCAAAACCCATGAAGCCGAGAGGCAAGGAAGTGTTAATAAATAAATAAATAAGTTTTTCAGGTTGCAGGCCAACGCGTGTTTTGCAAACGCGCTAACCTGCTCTACCACCTCGCTCCCTCTTAATTGGCATAACTAGTATAATAAATAAAACTAATGACAAAAAACTGTATTCGAGAGCACTGCATGCACAATGGAATCTTGTGTCTCTACCAGAATCACCTTCTTCCGATCTGCACGATTCTGTACAATACTGAACAATTTCTCACATCAAAGAACGTTCTGTTGGGTTCGGAAAAGTTCACACTAATAAGAAACATATTTAAGATAGGTAGCGTTGAAGTAGCTTCTCATTATGTTCTACTCACAAGATATAAATAAATTTTCCATATCTTAAGTCGAGAATGTTCATATAAAATTGTTAGTGTACAGCCTATTATCAGTTGGTACAAGATGAGATTTCTTCCTAAAATAATTTAATAAATAAAACCCAAGTCAAGAACAGTTTAAATAAGCCAAAATTCAATCAGAGGTCACGACAAAAGAGTAACCCGTTAACTAATTCAGTACCGTAAACAATGGCTACGTAGAACCTAGGCAATAGCTTCAACCCAAATAGTGCTGCTACCTACTTGCTACAAGATACCCACGGACATTAATAATATCTCTTTATTTGGCAGAAAATACATGTTTTTTTTTTTCTTTTCTTTTAGTTACAGAATTTTCGCATTCGCAATTCAATTTACCTTAACATGGTGCTACCTTCGCCATAAAAGAAACAAAAACTAAGACTTAACAATAAAAATAAAAGCAAAACAAAATAAAATTATAAAGATAAATCCTGGGTTAGGGTCCCCAGGTCTCACAAGAATTAAGATTTTCGTCAAAAACTATGCAGATATTTATATACTAACTTGCTGCGTCATAAATATTTTAAATATATATAAAGGCCCAATACATGCAAAATTCAATAAAAATAAAATTAACAATCAATTAGTTAAATTTACTTGACTAACAAAAAAAAAATAAAATAAAATAAAAATATATATAAATAAATGGACACGCACACATACACAGAGTCACACGCACATGCCCTCTCATACATACACCTTCAACGGGGTAACAATTTATGCCAACCGTAATAATTCATGTTGGATCCCTTCAGAACACTTGATGTTATGTGATTTATCGTTTTCTTTGTCAGTCCCAATTCTGAAAGGTCTCGCATGGAATCTCTACACCATATCCCTCTCCAGGTCAAAGTACAGGAATATATGTTTATGTCCATGAATGGCACTTTAATTGTTCGACCAATAGCCATTCTACAGTCTAAGGCTTTGTATTTGCTAATCTTTACTCTGTGCCAGTAAGAGGTACTCGGATTATCTCCAACGATCTGAGCATCTATTACGAATGTCTTTCCCATTCTAGAACAAACGAGATCAGGTTTCCACTTCCTTTTGCTGCCTACGTACGTTTTTTCTTTTTCTACCTCATAACCTTTCTTGGAGAGGGCTTCCTCTAACTAAATTTAAGACAGCATCTTGTCATTTCACCCTCCCGCCATGGGTTAGGTAGCATGTTTGGATGACATGACTTGCAGTCTCGTCGATAGGGCATCCTCCTCGACATCGGGTCTCCATGTAGGCTCTTCTTCCTCGGGACGTTCTAACTCTCGTTTGTAGCGCATTTATGTGGGTCTTCACATTTTGAATGAAATCCCGTCCTTTAGCTACTGATGCGTAGTCGGAAAGCCAGTGCGTTGAAGGGCTACAGAGACCGGCCTCTCTAAGAGATTTCCCATCGACATTGCTTCCGTTCTTGATTGCAGACGTTTTCAGGATTTATGCGGTTTTTTTTTAGACATTAACATTAACCTCATCTAGTCTGTGGGCCAGACCCCCCTACCGTGCAACCCTCCCCACAATAGAAAATATAAAAATGTATAAAACAAAGCGTTAAATTACAAACATTAAATAAAAAATTCAAGGTATTCAGCAAAGTATTTTTGAATTAAGTTTTATTATTATAATTATATCATTTTTATAACAGAGGCCTTCTTAAACGATCTCCGTAGAGAATATGGGAAGTTATTTAAAAAAAAAAAATAATAATAAATGAAAAAACAAAAATTTCTGGCAATTAAATTATTGTATTAATCTTTGTTCGTTAATACAATCAATATAATGTAACAAAAACGTTATTATAGCACTATAACTAAGCCATTTATGAGTACTGAATGGTGTGGTAGAGACCTGAAGGCACCTACGCCAGTACCGCTTTTCTGTCGCTTAAGTGCGTTTTCTACGGAACTACTTCAAATATTTTAAAAAGTAATCAGTGTTTTAGAAAGAGAAATGTATTTTCCAGATGTTTTATTCCAGTACGTTTTGCGTAATTATTGGCCGTTTAACTACAACATTTTTAATTTTCAACTTGAAAATTTGTTTGTTAAAAAAATTGACTTTACTGATGTTTTTTATTGCCTAAGCCAATTAGTTTTTAATATTTTTTCATGTTTTATTATTCTCTGACTATTCAACTTTAATAAAAGACCAACTATGAAGAAATTAAGCCAAATGCTGATTCTCAGTAACAAAAAAACTAACTAAAGTCAAAGTCACCAATCCGCCATGTTTGGACGCCATTTTGGGGCAGTTCGTTCACTTTTTTTGTGGTAACATTGGCTTCTTTTTAATAAATAGTTACAAGCAACAAAACGAAATGCAATTTATAGGGATGTGGGGGGAGGTGCACGGTAGGGAGTCTGGCCCACCGTGTAGTCCCAGAATCTAAACTTCCGTGAACGAACCTCGTGTCAACAGAACTTGGATTTGGATTATTCGCTACGAAGAGTAGTATACCTCTCGCCACATCTGCTTTTTTTATACGACCGCCGAGATAATCTTCAATATTAGATTCTCCCACTCCATTCTCAGATTTCTAGTACTTTAGCATTTCAGTTATTCCTGCGGGTTACATAGCCCAGCTACATTACCATGGAATGCTTCTAGAACCTTGACTAAGCTAAACGCCAAACAGGACTTTCATGTTAATGTTCATTTCAGCCTGAGGATCCAATCCTCAATATACCTTATTAGTATATTGACGTCAATCCAACCCTTACCTGTTCTCCATGGTATGGTAGACAGATGTACCGTAGAGTTTGTAGGGGTATCTATATTTTAGGGATTGTGAGTATACCTATGTTTTCATAGGTATCATAGATGTTTCATAGGTACAAAATTGTTATTTTATATTTTCGGTGTCTCCCAGTTACCCACTGTTATTTTTTTAATCATACAACTACATTATGTGCATTGACAATAATTCAAGATTTTTAATTTGATAAAAAGATAAACTGATCATTCCTCGATCAATCGTCTACATAGTTTGTCATATACATCAATGTTTGGTCAAAGCAAAGTTGAAAAGTTTTAATACATTACATATTTCAGAAAATGTAAACATTTGAATTAAGGACTTGAGAATATCAGGAGACAAAATATATTTTCTTGAAATTCCTTTTACTTATATTTAAATTTTAGAATGAAAATGAAACCAAAGAAATACGTTCTATTCGAGCTGTTGGAAGAGGGTTACCGATATGCAGCACATCATTTGAAAAAATTAATGGATGAGCATGACCGATTAAGGGAACCGATACCTCCGGAACAGATAAAAGACAAACCATTAAAAAATATGAAAAAAACAGTAATCTTTTTAGGAGAAATCCTGAAACAAGCAAATATTTACAAAGAAGAACGTGAGTATTTCATCAATAATTAAATATAAAAATCAAAATCAAATCAAATCTTCTCCTTTCATTAGGGTTACCGCATTAACATATGATTAGAAAATATCATTAGATAATAAATTCAACATGACCTAATTTTTGAAATACATAAATAAATTATGACGAATATTAAATGATCTCAAATGATTAATGGTCTCTATACAAGCCGATCAGATAGCCCTCAGTACATCAGGCACAACCGTCGAAGAAGGAAAAAAAACAAAGGGTACACAACCATATTGATATGAAGAAAGGATTAATAAATTTGCAAATTAAGTGGATCTACGGGAGGGGACTTTGAGGCTGAAGTCCCTCCCCTCCCCTCCCCAAAAATATGGTAAAATATAACCATGTTTTATGGAAAATAATATTAAAAAATTATCTCTTAAAGTATTATTGTTCGTGTAATTACATTTAAAAGGGCTTTAGGAATCACTTTTTTTTTTTTTTATTATTTTAATGGAATTTACAACTGTATTGCATATAAAATACAATAAGTAAATGTGAAATTGATAACATGACATGTACAACATGAAGAGAAACTACCCATTGGTAAAACTCAAATTAAAGTTCTATATTAGAAGATCCCGAGGCCATCTTCTTTTCAGACGCCTCGGAGGGAGGAATCGCTTAAACACCATTTCACACAGGCAGTTAGTTTCTTTGTTTTTTTTTTCCCCAAAGTAATTATCGTTATGTTTATGAAAAAAAAAAAAAAAAAAAATCTTTCGTGCTGAAGCCCCCTTCACCAAAATTAAATCCAGGATTCGCTAGTGGTGGTAAGTGAAATCAGGAAGGGTATGGTTGTTGGTGACGGGTAAGGTAATCTGAGGAATATGCTGCGTTATCGAAGAAGCAAATTTATTACGAAAACTGTTTCTCATATCAAAACATTTGGTTGTAAAAAAAAAAAAAAAAAAAAAACTTAAGGATCAATCATTAAGGAAAAGTACAATACTTAGGAGAAAGAAACCCGTAATTACAACGAAGTAATGAAAATGAAAAAATGAATTTTTTTTTTTTATCATGATACTGCTATCCATCCCTTTAGGACAAATTATAGATACAGAATAGATGCCTGTGTGGCCATACATAAAAGTTAATATTCATAATTCTCATTAAGATTAAAATATTGGAAAAAGAATAAAACAATAATATTAAAAACATACAGACATGTATGATACAAACGTGGGAAAATAAAATAACATAAGTAAAAAAAATCATTTCTGGGAGAACTTTAAAAAGTTCTCCATTTAATGATCAATGGGTTGGCAAAGGAGTAGGTGCTTAAAAAGGAGAGATTTAAATGAGGAAACTGATTTTACAAGTCGAATATCGAGAGGGATGGTATTGCAGAAGGAGACGGCTTGAATTATAAAAGATTTGTCAAACGCAGAAGTTCGGTGGGGAGGTGGATTGAAATTGGAGGTACGAGATCAAGTGGAACGGGATTGAATGGAATATTTAAATTGTAAGTTGTGAAAAATATAGGAAGGCCACTGAGTTCTGATGGCTTGGTATAGAAAGGTAGCAAGGAAGTACAGACGGCGGTTGGATGGATAGAGCCACTTCAACTTGGTGTAATACTGGGTTATATGCGTATCTCTTGAGATTCCGAAAACAAAACGTATTGCGCAGTTCATTAGGCGTTAAAGTTTGGCCTCGAATTTTCCTGAGAGCCCGCCGTGCACCAGACAGCCATAGTCGAACACAAGGGAGGAAACCAGGAGTTGATGGGATTTATATGGAAGGAGATAGCGAAAACGGTCAAACTGTTTCAGGATAGAGATAGTACAACGGGAAATTTGGAAGATTTGTGGTTTCCAGAAGAGGGTTTGTGATCAAAAGTAACACCAAGGTTTTTTACGGTACTGGGTATCTGTTAAAGAATGAAGTTCTATACAGTGGAAAGACATATAATATTCAATTAATATTGATATCGCTACTGTTAGAGCAAATGGTAGTAGGTAAACATTGACTGTTTTACAGCAGAGTTTTAAAATCTGATTTTATGTTAACGATTCATTAGTATAATTCTATATTTTATTTCCCTCTGTTTTCCATAGTAGCAGAATACAAAATTTAGTTTAGCTCAAATAGAATAATAGAAATTTTTACATACGATCTTTTGCACTAACATATATTTTTTATATTGTATACTAATAATAAATTTGTTAATTTTAAGAGAACCCTTTGAAACCAATAACATTTTAGGAATATAAATAGCAATTGTAATTCAAAAAGGTAAGACTCATCTCGATGTGCAAGTTCCATCCAAGTATTCTCAAGACTGTCCTCGAGAGATATACTTTCTAAGAGATTCTTCCAGGACATCGCTGCCAGTTATATGACGGTGCTCTTCAATTTGATATTATGGTTCTCAGAGCAAGCAGCTGTGTCCATCAAATCACGAATGCTACCATTATCGAGAATGTCAGACACCAGGAGGCACACAGAGGTGAATGTTTTCCACGCATCTGATCCTGTGCAAATTTCTTTGAAGGCAACCGTGTCCATATAATCATGCGTAGACACTCCACCAAACCTTTCTTGTTGTTTTAGTGTAAGGACTTCAAAATCCTTCTATCAAAGTTTTAGCCCATCAGCTTGTCAGTTTCTCCTTAGATCACAATAGTTTGTGATCCATTGTAATGTCAATCGGATTCCTTTTTAAGTTATATCTTCAAAAGCGATACCAAACATCAGAATGTTTCATACAATTTCCAATTCAGATCACCTATATGGAGATTTGTGAGTTAACAAAGACTGCAATCTGGGGATTGGGAATCTCATTCTCTATTCTTGTTTATGCTGCTGAAATACCTTTGATCTCCCCATAGACGTTTGGGCCCCGACTATCAACGGGAATAGTCAATGAAAACTCACGGGAGGTTACGTACCTGTACCAGCTTTCCGCATATTAGTTCGACCTAAGCCATCAGTTTATCTAAAGAAAATAATTCTGGCAACTGATTGTTTCCACATCATGAGCTGTCATTTCCAATTCAGGTGTTAGCTGCTTACTTAGAGGTTGTGTTAGGTCCAGTCGTGTCTCTGCAACAAGTGTTGATTAATCCATACCACCTGTCTGTCTGAAGCTTAAATATCTTTTCCTTCCAATAATCCTTGAACTTTGACTAATAATGTTTTTTGCGTCTTAAGGCACAGGGCAGATTTTTTAATACAGTACTGCTACAGCTTTGTCTTTATCTGCTTTTGTAAGGGGAGTAGAGCGTAACAGCATTTATGTGCATTTATCATGTTTTTACTAGACATGTATGTATTTCTATCGGTTCCAGAGAGGAACTGATCTATTTTAAAATATGGTAATTATATATTTAATGTGAATGAGAAAAACCTGTAATATACTAGATTGATTTATAGTTACTATCATAAATCCATTCCAAAGGTCTCACCAATTTATTTATTAAATCTAAATTATAGCATGCAGGAAAAAAAGACTAATAATCACATTCTATTTGTAAATTAAACACTATAAACACATTTACAATATTACATTGAGGGTGCTGATGTGGACATGACTAAACACTCTATTATTTTATTGATTGCCAACACATTCACATGAGTAAGTTTTGAATGGATAATATCACTTAACAAATTATAGAATGAGGTGGACTCTTCAACTACTTCTTTCTGGTCTCTGGTGACGCTGTCATCAACATCTTCTTCTGTGCACTTTTTCCGAGTTCTTTTACAAAGCACTTACAACTGACCTCTCCATTGGACTTCCATCTCCCAGCCACTTACATAACTGACTCCTCCACTTTTTCCTCACTTCTTTTCTATGCTTTTCTAATGGTCAAATATTTGTTCCAGGGCTACTTCCACTTCTGTAGAAGATGAAATTCTGCAGAATTTCGAAATTGGTCCAGCTTTAAGGTTATCTTCTTAGGTACTACCTTACCTAATGTTTACCTGCAGTATTTTATATTGCTAATATTCATATTTAGTGCCTCTATTTTTTAGTTATTTCATGGAAAATATTTTCATTTCATGAAATATATTTCAATTGACACATCAGCATCCTTGGTATAAAGCAGGAAATATTAAACCATAATATATAGTGAACCACAAAATAAAAATCATGTAAAAGAACTAAAAAAGTAATTACAAATCAACTCATCGCTTTGCAGATAACAACGAAGGAGAATTTTCAATATACTTTTACACCGCAAAATATTATGAAGATAAAAACAACCCATACTGGACATGGTTAGCAGACTCATTTTACAAAAATGCATTAAAAACTGCGAAATCTTTTGATTTGGATGGTGGTTATTCAAAAGCATTTATCAACTATATGTATGGAAGATTTTTGCTGAAACAAGGTGATTATCAAACAATGTTTAAAATACACTTATTAATAATAATAAAACGAGCCATGTTGAGAGGTTTCCTGCTGGCCGTATGCCATAGGTGGGGAAACTTTTCTAGCATTAGAAGCCACAGTAAGATTAGGCAGTGCTAATAGAGGCAGCAACAATAATTTATATAATACTGTTGCTAATCTTATTTATCACTAAATACACACTCCCATATATTAATAACTTATTCTATTATTTTCATATATTTGTAACCTAAATAAATAAATATTAATTAAATCAGAAGACACTGTATTGTGTGAAAAAAAAATCCTTTCAAAGAAGCAATGTTTTGCAGACAACAGGCCTGTCAGAAATAAACACAGGCAAATCATGATGGATATATCAAAAAATGGAGGCAACACTTTCTAGAGATCCTAAACTATACTATGGAGAATGAAGGATCGGGCAAAGATATCTCAGAACGCAACTTTGAAGAAGATGATCACATTGATTTCAAACCCCTACAGAGCAGGAAATTTTGGAAGCTATCCATAAAATCAAAAATAGAAAAGTACCTGAGGTGAACAACATACCAGCGGAACTTCTGCAAGTAGACTTCACCCCATTTCCAAGGGGAGAACAAACAAACAAAAAAAAAAAAAAATGATAAGCCTTTTGGAGTTAATGAGTGCGACAAAGCAGCATATGGTCCATGGTGATTGGTCAGAAGAATTCAAGGATTCGAAGGATCTGAGACAAGGGGTCTATGAGTCTATACCTGTTCAGATTTGTTCTTGAGAAAATCATAAGAAATTCACACGATTGGAACAATTCTCAGAAAATCCATCCATATATGCAGATGACATAGATATAGTAGGAGAATTAGAGAGATTTGACAATTTATTTATGAACTCCCTGCCAATATTGGCTATAGACAATATATATTAGGAAGTCATAAAATTTATTTATTTGTTAATTTCTGGGTGCCTTCTCTGGAACTTGTCCCTTCGTTCTAAAAAGAAATGTGCTGAGCCCATAACCGATTTCCATTAGAAAAAAAAAATCTTTGTAGAACAGGTTGTTGTTTGCTGTTATTCGCTGAGGCAGCTACTCTCTTTCTTTTAGGACAAAGTTTGAAGTAGGATTTTGTAGCTTTAAAGAATACTAGACAAGAACACATAAACTTGTTGTGTTATTTAGTAAAACTACTAAACAGTGAAGTTAAGAAAAACTAACTGGAGACTATATGATGGTTAATCCTCCAAATCCACTATCATATTTGATGCTTACATATTCGAAAGTGTCAACAGTTTTGTAACAATGCTTATTCAGACCTGTTATAATACATGCTTCAGAATCAAAAGAAGATTAAAATAATGTTTGGAGCTGTAAAATCCTGACTAGTGTAATGCAGAGCTGTACTAGATTTACCAGAAATCACAAGTGGAGCAGCATCTATGAGATTCTAAGCTAAGATGAGCTGGGTATACAATAGGATGGAGAAAACACTCTTATTCGACTATGTATATAATAAAAGGAAACCTAGACAGGCAGAAAATTTCGAGAGAAATGGGGGTGGAACCTGCCATAAGACAATTATGATTCAGTACTCTAGTAATTTTCTTTTAATCAAAGATTTTCTGAAATAGATTCTGTACACTGAAATTGTTTAAAAGAATTTTATATGATTCGAAAATAAACAACAAGTACAACTTTTAAAATAGAGAGAGAGTTCTTTTCATATTATTTTAGTTTTTATTTTGTTAAAATTAATTTATAATTTTTTTTTATTAATCGCAACAAATGTTAACAGGGAATGCACCTCAAGCTGCAAAAAGACTTCAAATTGCTTTCGAATTGTCAATAGGAAAACCATGGGGTGCAATGTGGGCCACAAATATTACTTTTGAAAAAATCAATGAATATTCCTCCTATTTACTTCATATAGCACAACTTTTAACTGCAGATAAAATCTACAAGAGATATCCAGAAAGAGCGCTGAGGTTAACAATAGAAGCAGTAAGACATGCAAGAAGAGGTAAGCCAATATATTTATTATTACCATGAGATTATGATTGTCTTTAAAAAATGAGCAACTTTAAATATAAAAAAATGGAGATCATTAAGACATAACTCTCTGAAAAGAAATTAGACAATACGCTTGCTAATTATTCATATTGTTCCCACAGCAAAATAATAAAATCTCAAACCTTTAAATGATCAAGTTTCATTTACTTCAATCCATATTTCTTATTTAATTATGGTGTCCTAGTTTATTTTGTTCAAAATTATAAAGGCATTTGATCACCACAGTTTTTATTTCTTTTATACCAAAACAAATTAAATAAAAATTGACAAGTGAACTGAAAATGAAAGAATAAAACAAACCTTAAAAATGGCCCAAGTACAGACCAAAATGTTCTTCTTTAAAATTATAAAACTAGTAATCAAATGGCCTAATACTTGAGAACAGGAAAAAAAAAGTTCTATTTATTTTGCAAATGATTGACGAAAACAGAAAGTCTCCTGATTGTTTGAGTCTCAGTTAACAAACCACAGAGACACTGCTGGAATAGTGTAGTACATCATGAATCACTCCATATTTGCAATTATAATTCTGCCACCAATAAGTCTAATTTTATACTGAGTCAGTAGACGTTTCAATATTTTATCTTCAAATTAAATTAAGAATTCTTGTTTTTAATGTTAATTTTGTTTTGTTTTTTTACATTGATAGTGTCTAATTGTTTACAATTCATCGCATTTAAGTAACATAAAATTTTTTTTAATGATTGACTGTAGTTCTAATTGAAGGAATAGTTGGCCGGGCATGTGTGGCCAATAATCCCACATATGATGTAATATTTATTTATAGCTTAAGTTTCAATCTGTATAGTAAGTCTTCATTAGGACTAAAAAGAAAAGGATACAAAAAATTAAATTAAGAGTTGACATTAAACTGGTATAAATCACAGATCTAATTTAGAGGGTGAGAATTGACAAATAGTAAATGAAATTAGTATACATTAATATTTATTTATAATTACTATTTATTATTTTATTCTTTAATATTAATTTATTTTATTTATTATTTATACTGATTTCATTTACTATTTGTCATTTCTCACATTCTTATACAAATTTAACATCAACTCTATATTTAATTTTTTTTACCTTGTACCAATTAATAATAGCTTGACTTATATCTTGTTCATTTTAGCTCTGATGAAGACCTAGAACATAAGATGAAACTTAATAAATAAATATTACATGTATTATAATAGTGTGTGATTGTAGACTTCATCTCCCGACCAACAATTCTTTCTATAATAGTTCATAGTTTTGTGAAGTATTAATTATGGTAAATGATATACTTGAGTGATTGCAGATATGCACAAGTACATTTCGTGCCTTAGGGTTATAAAGTATGCAGATTTCTGTTCTGTTTTATTTTTTATTTTTTTTAGTTTAGTTACTTGTAATTATATACAGTTTTCCTTAAGTACAGAGAAAGTTTTAAAGGAGTGATAGCAGACCACAACAGCTACAAAAAGTTTTATGTAAGCAAAGGACCAATTTTTATCAGAAAAGTAGGAAATCCAAGTTTTGTGTATTTTTTAAGTGAAGTCGTGTTTTTTCTTGATTAGGAAGCGATAACTAAAAAACTGTTTAATTTAAATAATTAACAATTGGTTCACAGTAAACTAGACAAAATTTACTTTAATTGAAAAGTTATCATTGGTAGAGCCAATTAAAGAGGACTTTTGAGCATCTAAACTAAGCTCCTTTATTTCTTTTTAAATCATAAATTATTCATGTTTTTTTTTTTTAACACCCTCTAACTATACTACAGATACTCCACTTTTAGAAAAACTTCCTTGTTTAACAAGCTTTAAGTCCACATAAATTAAGTTTACCTATATTTTCTGTAATATCGATATTAATAAAAAAGATATTTCCATTATCATTTAAGATAATGAATAATCGAAAAATCATTATTGTTAATTTAATATTTTAAGTATACCTACTTAAAATATAAAGACTTAAAGCAAATCAAACAAAGAAGTTTTTTTTAAAGTTGGATATCTAGAGGTGCCCCTATCCCGATGGGGGTTTCATGGCGCCATCAAAATTTTTGAGAGGGACAAATTTTTACGGGGTATTAAATTTTTGAGGAGAAGACATTTTGGCAGGATCATGAATTTTTGGAATGGAAAGTTTCAAACCAATGACAAGAGGAAAATAGAGAACAGACCGCAGCAAGTGTAATTGTTTATGATCTACGATCTTTTAAATTGTACTTTCATTTGCAATGTTATTAAGAAGAGGAGAGAAATAAAATATCTTGGGATGAGGAGAGAAAAGGTTCATGCCACATCAACCTTGGGGAAGATAGGCAGTCCTGGAGGTATCTATAGTATAGTTGAAGGATGATAAAAAAATTGAGAATAATTTATGATTATTACAAAACAAAACTTAGTTTAGATTAGCTGTTCAAAAATCCTCCTTTTAATGGTTTTACCAATGACAAACTGTATTTCCATTTGAACTAAATCCTGTCTAGTTTACTGTGAAGCAACTGGTAATTACTAATTTTAATTATTTTTTTAGTGATCGCTTTCTATTTAACAAAAAACATGAGACCAAAAAAAAAAGCAGAAAACAGAAATTTCCTACTTTTCTGCTGAAGATTGGGCCATTGTTTATATAAACTTTTTTGTAGTCATTGATGTCTATCACCCCTTTAAATATTTTCCTCTTCTTACAGGAAACCCTGTACAATTATGTAATTATGTGCCTGACTTTTTTTAAAATTTCCAAATAATCTACACAGTTTTTTGTTTGCTTTGTTTTTTAAATAAAATTTATATTTAATGAGGGTGTTTCTATTCTTATGTACAGTTTTTATGTACCAACAAAAACCTCTTGGGTTAAAATTAACTTTATTAACACAAAATAGTGTTTAAAAATCAATATGTATTTCAATCAAATTATTCACATCAATTAAACTTAAGAATTACCTGAAAAGTATTAAATGAAAATGGCTAATTTTGAATCTGAAAAGAATAGTGATGAATGAGGCAAAAATATCCCCAGACAATGCTTGGTTTCCTTAAGAAATAAAATCCTAAATTCGATAATATTACATATCAAGAAGAAAAAGTAAAGCGAATTCTTTAGTCCTCATCACTGGATACCAGACTTTCTATACTCGGCCCACCACAATGTTCATAGCTAGATGAATCGCTCTCGCTGCCACCTGAAACCATTTCATGACATAATTGAACAAAAACAAGAATAACTAAAAATGAAAATTCACGAATATAGCCATGTCCTGGAATGTTTCATTAAATATATAAAATGTAAGTTTAGGTGTGTTAATGTAATCTCAAATTTTAACGAATCCCAATATAACTGTGTCAGTTAATTTAGAATCACTGAATTTATTTATTTAAATGTAACACGGGAGAATAGATGATATTTTTTCAAGCTCACAGCAACTATTCATTTTGACAGCTGAGTCCAAGCCATCATAAGAAAGAACATTTCATGGAGAAGTGACAAAATCAAATTTCAATCCTTAAGTACGTATGAAAAGTATGAGGTTCCAAAGTCCGAAATTGGTAAAAGAATGAGACAGAACAAATATTATTTTAAAGATTTCCAAGTGAACATCAAGACTTGGTTTTAATGCCCTAAAATTTTCAAGATTAACCATAATTCTTGCTGAAAGCCTTCTACATGCAATGGTTGCCATGGGATACTGATCATGTGTTGTTATAAGGCTAAGCGATACTGATCATGTGTTGTTATAAGGCAAAGCGAACCAATAGGTTCAATGACGATAACCACCAAACGATGTCTACATTCTTTCATCCACCAAGCGCCGTCCAAACCCAAGCACCCTAGATTACCCTTAACATGATCTTCCCACCTTCACCTCGGTCTAACCGTCAGACCCTTACCAGTCGGTACAGCGCCTATTAACTTTTTAGGAATTATTTCGTTACAAAGCCCAGCAATTTTTTATGCCCATTTAAAATTTCTTTTGTAATAAACGCAATGATAGGACGATACAAGTTTTTATTTTAGTTTGATATCTGCATTGTAAATTCAAAATGGTTTCCAAGAAAAAATTGCGGACCTTAAAAAAATGTTGATCATAGTTTTAAACTCATTAAGTTATAGGGAATAACTATCATAAAAATTGAAAATGTGGTTTATTATGGTTAAAAAGATTAACCCAATTATATGAATCACAACTATTTTTATGTGCTTTGTGTAGGCAGGTATTGCGCTACTACATTACAACAGTTTGAGAACTCTAGGTCATTGCTTTTTCAAAATTCTTGTTTTCATGAATCTTTCTTTCGCTTATGCCTCAAGAACCGCAAACATCAGATTACTAAAGTATTGATATCGGTCATGAAGAAATCAGTTTTTGAAATCGGTCTAATTCGAAATGGCCTTCAACGCCTGCTGAAATTCACTACTCAAAGTAAAAATAGCCGGCAAGAAATTTCCAAAGTGAAAGAGCTGCAAGTTTACAGTAATCTCTTGGCTCCAGTTAACAAAAACTAAATTGTAAGAAGTGTTTGAAAATTGTTTGTTATATTTTCTGTTTGTTCAGTAAATTTTCAAGGCCTAATTGTTTAAAAAGTTATGATTTGCAATTTTTTTGTACCATTAATACGAATTTATTGTTCTCCTATGCTCTTAAATATATTATTGTTGGATAAAATTGGTGTACACTCATTTTCATTATTGTTTCTTATGTAAATAATAAGCCAATACAACATTATTGTGTAACTTTGGTTCAAAATCATGTATCCTGTCGATTCTAACTGTTCCAATTTTATCCTAATCAATGGAGTAAGATTAGGAAAATTAAAATTTTTTTACAATTTTTCTACAGTTATTGTACTGCCATATTTTGTAAGAGGGAGAATGACCTTACATACTAGTAATTTTGTCAGCATTTTAACTTTTAAAATAAAGATGGTGTCCATAGCATTTGAAAAGTGTTCCAAAGTTACCCCATCATAACATTAATTAAAGTAATAAAAGTAAATATCATTTTTTTTTAATAAATATTAGATACTGTGAAAATTAATTTAATTAAACCCAATTTTGGCTAGATGCAAACTTTTAATTATTTTTACTATACTATAGGCGACTGGCATCCAGATTTGGAAGAAGCAATGCTAGAGCTCGCAATTCATTATACAAGAAACAGAAAACACAGCGAAGCAATAAATACTCTTGTTCAATTAAGTGAAAAGGTTGATCCCACAGAAGATAGAAACATGTTTATAAGCATTCAAGTATTATTAGCATTATGTTATAAAAGGTGATATAAATACGATCACACAAGATCTATAAATATAAAATCAGAACCATTCATTCTTACAATGTTTGTTAATAAAGTTACCATTAAACTGGATTATTGGCACCATTCTGTTTTTATCGACAGCTAATAAAGATTTTTAACTCACAACAATGCAAGTATCACATGTGTACGTCAGAGATAAACCATCATATGTGAATTTTTTTCCCTTTTGAGATTTTTATCTTAAGTGACTCATTTTTGATGGAGCTTCATTGAGGAAAACTATCCTAACAGGATAGTTTTGCAGGAAAACATGCAAAATAAGATGGTAGGTGAAATAATATTTCTTATTTTGCATGCAGGATAGTTTTCCTAAATGAAGCTCCATCAAAAATGAGTCACATAAGATAAAAAACGTTTACCTCTGACGTACAGATATAGCACGATCCTTTTAATAGAGTGAACATGTCAAGTTTTGTGCCTATAAATTACAATTATTAGTTGAAGAGAAGATTGGTTGGAGTGATCAGTCAAAAAAATATAAAAATAAATGAGTATATTTATTTTTATTTTTGCCGACATTTCGGCCCAAAGTTCAGGCCTTTATCAGGGCTGAGAAAAAAAGAGATAACAATAGGTATTAGAAACTATTAACATTAAAAAGAAAAAATAATGTAGGTGAAATGTATAGTCTGAAAAATGTAGGTAGAATAAACTTAAAGTAAAATAAAGTAGGTAGGATAAACTTAAAGCATTGCTTCGCATAGCTTATAAAATACTATCCTCTGCCATTGGTAGGAGATTGATATCATACACGGAAAGAGAAGTAGGTGAATATCAGTGTGGCTTCAGGAATGCTAGATCGATAATTGATCAGATCTTTACCACCCGATCGGTGCAAGATAAGTCATTGAATGCTAGAGATTGGTGCTAGAGACCTGCATCACATCCATGTTCATTTTCAGCAGGCCTACAACTCCTCAGTGGATAGACAGGTTTTGATAAGAGATCTTCTCTCTTTGGGTGTATCTAAGAAGCTCACTTGCAAAGTAAAAATGACTATGGCAGATACCAGATGCAGAGTGAAACTACAAGGATTGCTGTCTGAGGAGTCCCCTGTGGTTTCGGGAATAATGCAAGGACACTAAGGCTACTCCCCTTTTTAACATGACCTTGAAGAAGGCGGCAAGGGCCATAAGAACCAACCCAGGAACTACCATCTTTGACCGCTTCACACAACTCATGGTGTACACAGATGATGTAGAGATTGTGGCAAGGACACTCCTAGCGCTGGCAGATGCATTAAAGGAATTTGAGAAAGCTGCAGCAGGTCGAGGTCTACAAATAAATGAGCAAAAAAAACACGATGTGCAGGAAGAGCTCAAGACATCACCCTCACCAAGATCAGACACTAAGCACAGGCCAACATGAATTTCCAGTTATCTGTTTTTTTTCTTAGCCCTGATGAAGGCCTGAACTTTGGGCTGAAACGTCGGCAAAAATACAAATAAATATACTCATTTATTTTTACACTTTTTTAACTGATCACACCAAAGAATCTTCTCTTCAATTATTCACTACAGTTAACCATTAATCCACAATTACAATTAATAGTATTAGTTTTCTGTTACTATTTAAAGAAAATTGATTTAGTATTATATTGAACACTTGTAGAAATTTACAGTAAGTACACTCTTGGTAAATCACAATGCTTTGAATAATTTTAAAAAATCTAAGTTTTCAAATATGGCACAAAATTTGAAGCAGATTTACAATTTTGGTATTGAAATATCATGATTTTAAATTTAATGTTAAAACTATTTTAATTTTAAAATAAATTTAATAGATAAACTTTCCCATGCTATAGAAAGAAAAGCTTAAACAATATATTCAAATAAATAAATTTTTTAGAGGCAGGAAAAAAGGTGAAACCCTGAAGCAGCTGTTTTTCTTGGTAGAGTTAGGAAGAAAATGGAAACTTCCGAATTTGGTGGCTTTTGGGCACAAAAATATAGCTCAATACTTAATGGAAAAAGTAACTAATCAGATATTAATTATATTAAAAACAAATTGCAACTAACCAATTATTACTTTAATTAATACTTAATTTTCAGAACAGAATTGTATCAGCGAGAAAATATTTGACATCATGCATTTTGCTATTTAAGAAACAACAGCGTTACAAAGATCTGGTGGAGTCGGTTTATCTACTTGGAAGCTGCAAAGGTATTTTATTTATCTAGTAATAGATACTTCTCAATTCCCGACTGAGCTTTGTTTGTACAACTATGTAGATCTAATAAGTAAATAACTAAAAGAATTGGTTTATTTGCAAGATGTTATGGGTTGACTGCAGCAATAGAGGTTGCTGGGGAAAGGGTTATGCTAACAATAATCAGAATTAAAGTGTTACCTTCAAGGATGAAGATACAAGATGTAAGAGAAAAGAAACTCTTGAGAAGGGTTTGCTTTGTAATCTCTTTGTGAAGTTTACTCATGCTAAATTCAGAATTATTAAAATCTTCATAGCTTGTATCTATGACCTCAAGTTTCAACATAGGCATATTAATTTTACAGCCAATCTATATAATGTGATTTTTTTTTATTTATTTCTCTTCCAAAAGCAGTATCACTTTTAACAGTATTTTAATTAATAATTACTTAGTCATGCAATTTTATATATTACAAATCTAGAAAATATTTCCGAATGGACCATTTATTTTATGAAAAACACAATGTGATAAATTTGGTAACTAACAAGCTGTGATTACACTGATATTGTATCTCACTTGAAAACAGCCTCATTCTATGTTTTTCGGTGAGAGAAATTTGAATTTCCACATAAAAATCATTAAGTTAGCTCTAGTTTCAAAAACATATTTACTTTTTGTGTGATATGGGAAATTTCCTGCTTTTGGGTTGGTAGGATTGATTTCGGTCTGTGAATCACGGGAAGCGACTGTGTATGAATCACAGAACCATTTAGCTGACAGTTGTATGAAGTGTTTACATTCAAGTTACTCTTGATGTGATATTTCTTGCTTCAGGCATTCTTTCAATAATTTTGTCGTTGTAACCCAGTAGTTTTGGTGAAGTTACAATGCCGAGGAAGTGATTGAATACTCCTTAGAACTTTTGTTACATTTGTGGAGAAGTAGCCTCTGCAAGTCAAAAACGTCCTTTCACCCAGATGATCAAGACAGCATACCACAAGTGTTTTGGGATGAACGTTGGTGATCAAGATAAACCATAGGCCCCGCACCTCTGCATCACATGTAGCGTAACTTTAAGAGAATGGTTGACCACGAAAGGTCATTCAATGCGGTTTGCTGCTCCTATGGTGTAGTGGGAGCCTACTAATTACACTGACAACTGCTACTTTTGCATGAACCCTCCTCTCCATCATGGAATATCTCAAAAAAAGAAATCTGAAGTGAGGTACTCTGACATTCCTTCTGCTATATGGCCAATACCACATGGGGACGAACAGCCTGTTCCAAGGCCAACTTAACAATATTACTTGATGAGGAAGAGGATAATAAAGGGGAAAATCCCCTACGAGGAACCCCATTAGATGATTCTAATTTTTCTTTTGAACAAGAAAAACGAAAACCCCACTTGCTCACTTAAGCTGAACTCAGTGACTTGATTCAGGACCTGGATCTGCCCAAAGAGAAAGCAGAACTTTTGGCTTCAAGGTTGAAACAATGTAACTTCTTACAACCTAGTGTAAAGCCTGTCAATAATAACCTGTCGAATAATAGCCTGAGGGAACGTACAGTGTCCGTCTGATGAATTTGGTTGTCACTAATATAGACTGGTGGGCATGTGTCTCATCGAAGTGTAAATGTTGCGTGTTGTGATTTGTCATGATTTAATCTAATTTTCCAAGGTGAATATCAATTTTGTAAATTTGGTGAGGCTAGTCTGAGGTCATGGTGTTTTGTTAAAATTGTTTTATCGTCTGCGTAAGTAGCACTCAATGTTCGGGAGGTGGCAGGCATGTCATGGGTATTGATAATGTAGAGTAAAGGAACCAATAATTGATCTTTGAGGTACCCCTGCTGACACTGGTCGAATTGAGGAAACTTCTAAACCCTGTCTGACAGAGAAAAATCTGTTTAAAGAGAAGTCTCTGGTGCCAGACTCTATCAAATGCCTGGGCAACATCCAGAAATATGCCGATTGAATATTTCCATAGTAATGGGAAGTAACTTGTCCTCAGAATACAGTTGTAAGGGATACCAGAGCTTTTCTTGGCATTTGCTGGAGCCCCTCGGCAGTTATTCAGTGATATTCTGGTTATTTTCTTTTAAGATGTCTGATTTGTTGACACTTGTGAAGGAGTGAACGAAGGAATGAGAGGTGTCATCAGCAATGGTTTGTCGAGAGTATCAAGTACTAAGATTTCATGTTCTGTATAAATAGTTCAAATATTTCTCTATCTGACAAAGCCAATGAACTATCTTCGCTTCTGACACCTCTCAATGTTTTAACAAATTCTTGGTATGCTTCCACAGACTAACATCGTCAGTTGATGGAATGCTCAAGTGAGAGATTGATGGGCTCATCAAGAATAACCAAATATATAAGGGAATATTCACAACAAAGATCAGAGCTGGTATTTAAGGTGTAAGGTATGGCGCACAGTCCTTTGGTTATAAAAAAGTCTAGTAGGTCTGGAAATTTACGTTGTGAAGCTGTCCAATACGTCAGTGTGACAGGTGATAGTGTCCAATGAAAACTCATGAAAGCAGCCCTCACATTTCTTACTCTTGGTGTGCACAGCAGTGAGCCCCAAAATTGGTGCTTTGCATTAAAGTCACCGCGCACTATAAAGCAACGCCCAAGGCTTCTAAAATAATTGCAAAACATCGAAGGTGTTAATACGTACCTCAGAGGACAATAACCTGAAGCTATTGTATGATGCTTGGTATGTATTGTTAAGACTGGTTTGAATTCAGATGTAGCGGGAAATTATAAGGGATGGTGTCTTTATTAGTATTGCCAAACCACCATGAGCTGCGTTGTCCGGATGGTCTGTTCCGTAGGTATTGTAACCAGAAATATGAAATTTAGTTTATGGTGTAAAGTGTGTTTCTGTTATTGTGGTGATGTCAATACATTTTTCATGTAAATGTAAGTCCAATTCTGTCGTATGTTGCATTAGTGCGTTTGCATTCCACAGGAGGATGGACAGGGAGCCCAATGTCAGCTGATTAATGGCCATTAGGAAGACACAAGTCTTGAGTTACCTGTGCGAGCTGTTGGAGGAGGCTAAACAGGAGCTAAATGAGAGTATTCAGACCATTTAATAACTGGAACAGTTATGGAGACATGCAGTTATCAGCTAAAGGTGGCTGCTGAAGGTTGCGTGTTTTCGAGGAACTGATGAGGGAGGCTGTAATGTAGGAATGCTCCCAACAGTTTCTGAGCTTGTGGTTGCTTTTGGTCAAGATGTTTCTTGTGTGTTGGCTTCTGTTGTTGCACTGGAGATTGCTGCTGAGATGGCTTCTGCTTCTGCCCTTGATGAGAGTTTTTTTAAGATTGTGGAAGAAATCTTGAAGATTTGAAGGAGAGGAAATCCTCTGGTGAACATGATTTCTCTTGGTCCTCTGTACCCTTAGATCTCTAAGGGTTTGAGACCTACAACAATTGGCCGGATGTTCGCCTAGGGAATTAGGACATTTACCTGGGGTTTCTCTTGTTTTATTCCTAGTGGAGCTTTCATGGCCTTGCCCACATAGACATACTGTGGTCCATGGTTGTAATATGATCGTGTGTGGCCATATTTTTGGCACCTGACTCATTGCGGAATGTGTTCCTTCTTTCTAGGTTCTTCTCTTCATATAGAATAGTTTATTGATCTCAAATATCTTCTTGTTAAAAATTTCCTTACTCATATCTTCAAAAATGGTAATGGGCGTTTAAAACATCAGATGGCATTGGTAACACCTACGATTTTGTACCCATATATTTCAAGATCTCTTCAATTGGTGGGTTGTGATGAAGGTCTTTAATCACCATTCGAGGATTTCTATCTTCAGGAACCTGATATGTATAAAATTCAGTTTCGTTGTTTCTCAAGCAGCTAACTACTTTTCTGTAATTGTTTGGGGTCTGAGAGTAAATAGTTACTCCCTTACAAGTGGTTCTAAGTGAAAAAGAATCTGGTCCTGACCTGTTGCCTGTTTGTAAATACGACACAAGAGCAGCGTAGTGATGTAGATTGGAGGTTGATTATTAGTGGCATTAGATGGTGGATTAGCAGATGTTTGGCATTGGTCATTGATACTAGCTAGAATCTGAAAACAGTTACCACTACTTTCTGTTTTTTTGGGTCCCTGTCTTCAGTAATATTCCTTTTTCTGCCTGTTACCAACTCCTAATCGCCTGTTTCATTGTCTGGGTAGTCCATTCAAGCCACAGCTTTAATTTCAAGATTTTAAAAAAAAATTGAAAACTTGTTTGTTACCTAAATTTACTTGTTTATATTGTTTGTTACAGCTGAGCAACACATAAAGGAATATATTGAGCTAATGATTGACTCAGATACACCAGATACTCCAGGCTATAAAAAGATTTTAGACTTCTTATCATATGGTAAACCATTTTGGAAAGAGAAGACTTTAAAAAGATATATTGTAACCAAAACAATTGAACCACTCATTTCACAAAAAGAAGTTTTAACAGCATCAGATAAAATCTATTTACTATTAAAGGATAAGTTTGGAGAACAATTTGCAGATTATGCTATGGAAGAAATAACAGAGTATGGTCGGAAACCCTTATCGGATGATAAGTTTAACTATATATTGGAAGACCCAACAGAAATTCAATACTTTGAAACTAGAAAAGAAGCTGAAGCTTATAAAGCGTACTTAGTAGATAAATATAGAGGCAAAAATTTGCGTTTAAATAGATTAAGAGGGGAAAACATAAATTTTCAAATAGGAAAAAGGGAAATAGAAGACGAAAGTGAAGAAAAAGAATATATAAAAACACTTAATGACATTGACCCAATAATTCCATACGAGAAAGATTCACCCATGTACAAGCAAGCCTTAACAATAATAAAAGATTATTTGACTCCCCCTAGTTTTGCTGAAACCAAGAAACCTGTTATTTTAAATGTAACAGATCCTAAAATTTTAATTAGACTAATGAACACGATCGTAGACTCAAGCAACGTCTTATTCAAATTTGATGGTCCGATCAATTATGAAGCAATCTTGGCTGAAGTTATTAAACAAAGAAGTGAGCAGAGAAAATTTGTCGAATCCCTGCCAGAATTATTACATAAGCGATACTCAACTGAAATACCAGTAACAGTGGACCAAAGAAGAGAGTGTACAATTTTCCCAGAGGAAGCCTTTACAGAATATGATTCTGACAGACACATTGAAAAAAATAGAGATATACTATATAACAGTAATTTTTATGCAACAATGTGAACAATATATTTCCAAGATAGCTATTATATTAATAAAAATTTATATTAAAAGATTATTTTAAAGTATATCTATTTAAATTTTATTATTTTTATATAAACCATAAGAAATATACTATGCAGAAATACAGGCATTTGTGACTGTGACCAACAAACTCCACAATACATTTTAACACATTATATTCAATAGTAACGTACATGAACATACTATAGCACTTAATGATGATCATATTTATTATAAGAATTCATCTCGCAGGATGACATTTACCCAACTCTAAAAAAACACTCAGATGAAACAATAATATTCTCGCACATCAAATAACATTCTGAATAAGTTAAAAAATATTTTGAGACCAATTACATTCTTCACATAATACTAGAACTGAACCACTATCAGATTAATTTAGTTGTACAATAGGAAGTTAAAACAACCATCAAAAAATAAAAACCTTATAAAATAACCAGAAAATATTTTCAGTCAACTTTTTAGTGTGTGCAAAGCTGAAATTGGGAAAAACAAAGAATCACATTGAAGAAATTTATAAGTCAACATCACACAAAAAAGATTAAAATGGATAAGGATCCATCTTAAACCTTAAACCTAAACCAATAAAAATAAATAGAATAAACAAAAATAATTCAGAAGCAAATAAGAAAGGAATTGCAGCAAGGACAAAAGGCCTATAACGCCTTGAGAAAGGGAAAAAAAGAGGGTTTACACAAATGCATAGGCTTTCGTTGGATTAGCATAAATAGCACAAATGAAGTTAAAAAAGTAAAATTAGTAGGCAGTTAACAGTTTCATCTCACAACAAAAAGAATGACTTAAGCATTAAAATTTATTCTTAAGGTATCAATGTTAAGGCACTAATAATATTTTTATTTTTGTAAGAATTTGTTCTCTAGCTCTTGTACTTAATGATTGCAAAAAAATAATTGCAATTAAAGTTCTGATAATATTTTAAATCTGAAAAATAAAGATTTTTTCAAATATTTAATTAAGATAATTAACAGAAAAAAATATTATGAAGATATTTCACAATTTAATAAATAAAAAGATATTTAAACATAAATATGTAAAATAAAGCACAAAGTACTGGACAGATATGTTTAAACAATATTAGAAATCAAATTTAAAATGAATGATGGAAGTCAATATAACAAAATAAATGACTGAATTAAACATAAAGCCTTTAATACAAATTTTGAAAAAAAAATCAGCAATTACCATTAAAAAGTAAATCAAAAAAACCTAATTTCAATATAAGTGTAATTTGAAAGTAAATATCAAGAAAATTAGAACTTCATAATGATTTAATACTTTATTTAATTAAATAAAAACATCATCATCAATAACATTTTTTTAAGATAAGAAAAAAATACAATGCCATACATAGTTTTGAAGATTAACTGATATTAATCACTTCCTCAAATGTCTAAATGACAATCATTAAATTATAGTTACAACAAATAAGAAAACATAAACAGATCATTAAAAAAATATATCACACTTTAATGAAGAATATGCATATAGTATGAACATGCTTAAGACTACACAATTTAAGTGAATACAGATGAATAAATGTTTTTCAAAAATGAATACATCAGTTATTTCAAAAACAACACATGACAAAATTATGGCAGTGTTTCCTTTATAGCAAAAGCAACAATCACACATGCTGATTTTCCAGAAAAAAAAAGTTGTTATATATTAAATGAATTTATCAATAAAACCATTTACATCCACTAGCAGTATTTGTTATGAAGTGAGAACTCTACTTATTTTGTTTGTTTATACATTTAGCATTATAGAAAAAGAATAATTGGTATTTTAATATTTTATATAGTGGGTTTTATAACAATAACAATCAATTGAAATGCCAATAATTCACAATATTTTTTAATAAAATTAAAAACATCTAGTCAAGAATCATACTATTTAAGGAATCATACACGCTTTTTCAATTATAGTTAAATCTATGAATAAAATTATTATGTAATTTAGAAAATATTTCTTCAATTCTAGGAAAATTGATGTTTTAAAGAAAATATTTTGTGAATATTCTCTTCCTAAATTATTTATTTCATCAAATATATGCATAGCCTTTTCAATGTTTCGAAAAATTTTTTCCTTATCTTCCCAAATATATCTTATTATTAGACCCTTGCTCTATCTACCGATACTGACTTCCAAAACAAGCATCGTGAATGAGAGAGAAACAATGTGATCTCCTGCAGTCTTTTTCATAAATTTACATTAACCAAAGGGACTCAGAACCAACCTTTGTCCTCCATATGTGGAAGACAAAGCAAGACTTCAGTAGATATCTGGGCTTCTCTCCCAGCCATGATACTGGTATTTGAAACCAATACAGACTGAGAGAATGCTCTAACTAGACTCTAAAGCGGACCCTACACAGTCATTCGGAATTGCACTAATGGCGTTCCGAATTATCGTGTAAGGTAGTGAATGAAGTACTGATAGTGGTGCGCTGCGGATTTCCGAACATCCGGAAATCAAAGGTTCATTCACGAGAAGTGGGGGGGGGACAGAGGTAAAAGTAGTGGGAAGACTAACCAAACTACTGGTTAGATTAGGTTACCTAGGCCTCACAACCATTATAAATTTCTGATTTTCATTATATGTAAATAGTTGAATAATTTTTCATATCCCTTGTTTATAATTTTAAACCATCTTCAACTATTTCTTTTAAATAGTCAAGTGGACAACAAATTAAAAAAAAAAAAATTTATTCCTCAACAATTAATAAATTTCCTCAACAAATTTATTATTTTTGCAATACCTTTCCTTAATTTTTGTAAGTAGTAGACTTATATTTTACTAACTTTTGTCAAAACGATTTTCTATGAGACTAACCTTCTATGAGACTACTACTAGATAGGTTAGTTCACCTAGGTCTCGTTATTAAGTAAATAGTTGTTTATATCCCTAGTCTATATTATTATTAACCATTTTCAACTATTTTTTCTTCAAATAGTCAAGTAGGCAATAAATTTAAGAGAAAAAAAAGTGGAAACTTCACAATTTACTTATAGAAAAAAAATCTTTAACTGTTGTGTTTATTTGCCATTAATTTTTCCATTTTTCTTAACAAACTGATTATTTTCTCAATACATTTCCTAGATTGTTGTATGTAGTTGACTTATATTTTTCTAACTTTGGTCTAAACGATTTTCAGGCACTAGGAAGTAATTATTATATCTCTGTTTTTCTCTTGATGCCCAATATTATAAATGACAATGCCCAAATAAGCATATCTATGCTGTTTCTTTGTTTACAACTGAGCTAAATTGGTATCAGCAATGATAAGTAATGATCAGTAATGATTGAACGTGTAAGGGTCTTCATGATCAAAGGGATCGCGGGCTATCTTGGCACTTCTTGTGACGTTCATTCATGAATTACCGTGTAGGGTCTGCTTAAGGCTCTACTAGAAGGGTGTAACAAAAAAAGATATACCTACGTAATTTAACTTTTGTTTATTTAAGTTCTTAAAAAAAAGTTATGTTAAATGAGAAATAAAGAGTAACTGGGCTTAGATTAGATTTAATTTATCTTAAATGAATTACTGAATTTTAATGTGTCATCTGTTTCAGTAGCTAGGAATAAGTCATTTTGAGGGCAATGTTAAGAGGAAATCAAATAAATTAAATAATTGTTTTTAACAAAAAGAAGTTCTGTAAAACCTTTAAGTGAAAAGTTGCAAGGGAAAAGTTTTAGTTTTGAAATAAAAGAAAATACATTGAAAATAAAGCACATCACAAACACAGACAATATTTTTAAAAATTAATACTTAGTTTTAAAAAATAAAACATGGTTAGAGAAGCTGAAATAGGAGAAATAATATACATAGGGATTATTTTTAATGAACAAGAGTAGTGTGATATTGAAATAGTACACTTCTGTTTTCTAATAAGATAAATCAAATCAAAAATGGAAAAGAGGAAGATGTATAAATAACATTTTTTTAGATTCATCACTGAAAAAAATATTACAAAGCAAAAAAAACATTGTATGTATTACTAGTGTTGGTTAGAGATTTTCAATAATTAATATATTTTCATGTATTTTCTATATATACTCCTGAATATAAATAAATACTAGAAATGTTGGAAAAATCTTTGTAAATAATTGACAAAACAAATAATTATAGAAGAAAATGCACACACAGAATAGCTTAATTAATTTGCAACTACATCAAGCTTGAAATTGACTTGAACTCCAATTGTACAACTGATCATAAGTATTTTACATTATTTATTGTACAATTTATCCCATCTAGATAATAGATCAAACCATATTTATGCCTTATAATCAAGTTAGCCAATTCAATTTTTGTTTTCTCTATATATTCATCATATATTACCATCAGCCATAATCAGTTATTATGCTTAACCGTATTAATTGGTTACAAGTAAAAACGTAGTAATCAGTTACTAAATGTAACTTTGGAGTTCTAATAAGATTTTTAAGCCAAAAATATAGCATTTGTCAAAACTTTAGAATTATTATTTTTATTAATGTCTTTATCTTTCCATAAAGCCATAAAATGTGGGAAGTGTTGTTTTTAAAATAAATTTAATTTTTAAATAATCCATTTTTTTTTTTTTAGTATTAGTCAACATTAAAATTATTTCTACAAATGATGATTGATAATGCACAATTAAGAACTAATATTAAAAATAAACTCATTTATATTTCACTGATTATAGAAAATACTAAAATTTTTAAAGCCCTTTGTTAAAAAAATAATAATAATATTAATATACATATAAAATATTTGGTGTTTTAATTAAATGATTCAAGAGTCTATATTAATAATAAAATATTCATAAAGCCATATAAGGCAATGCAAAATATACGATTTCAATGGTGTTTCAATATGCATTACAATACTTTATATAACCTATTTTCTACTTCAATATTGAAAACAAATAATTGAGCATTTTTTAAAATTTTAATTGGTGTTATTGAATACATGCTTTGATATGGTTAAAAATAAGACCGACAGTTTTAAAAACTGAATAAAAAATTAGTAACACCAAAAAACATTTGAAAGTAGAAGCTTTACCTCTAAGAAGTCCATAACTCCTAGGTTCATTCTGACTGTTTAAATAGTACTTATGTTGAAAAACATTCAATAAGTTAGAAGTTTTGATGTGAAAATGGATGGAGAAAATTAAGGCAGTTTTACACATTTTGCAAACATTACAAACACAAACAAATGAAAAAAAACAACAAACACAGTGGTGTAACAGAGAAATATTAAATTTGGTTTAAACCATTTTATTTTAAAAAGAAAAATTCTAAAATAATTTTTAAAAAAACAAAGAACAGAAATGCAAATATCTGTTGAAATCTCAAGCAACATCCCTTTCAATTAAGTTATAAAGTTATTCAAGAAAATTTTGTTTCCCATGGTTTGATAAATGTGTAAATACAGTTTTAGAATATGATATAATATCATAGGACAGAATATTCTGACAGATTGTGCCAGTATCACTTAAATAATATAAAGTCTAAGCAAGAAAAATTTTAGGAAAAGCACAATACATTTATAAAAAGAAGAAAGGAATCGATATTTCAAAAATCTTTGATAAGAGAAAAGGAATATTTTTTTAAAACCACAAATTTACATAAACCATTAATTATATTGCTATATTGATGCAGAACTGAAGCCAATATTAGCCCATATGAGGTACTTTAAAATATATATATATATTTGAATATTTAACACTATCAATAGGTGCAGTTTGATTTTTTTTTTTCTTTTTTTTTTTTTTTTTTTTGGGCATGATACACTACTGTGCTCAATATTACCAATACCGTAACTGGGACTTAAAAGGTCTAACCCATTAAGATAGGTAATCCGCTTTATGAAGATGCAAAGAGAAGATTATAACAATAAATACATTATACAGATCAAAGATAAGATATTTTTGATTAGTTCTACATTCAAGTGAGTGAAATCTCAATAATCTCCCTCCTCCATATCAATAATAACCTCCATACATCAATCCTTGTCCACAAATTTCTTCAAACAACTCCTGTTCCACCACTTACTCCACATTCAAACTTCCGCTAACATGTAAAATTACATGTATCTGTATACTGTTTAATTTCAATCTACTGCACAAATGCAATAACAACAAGCAGTTAATTAGTTTGTATTTTTTTATTATTTTAAGCCAGACTAATACCCATAAATTTGTAAATTTTGGTAGTCTGAACATTTCAATAACCCGAACTGCCTAATATACAAATGCCCAGGAAACAATAAAACAACACAGAAAGCCACATACCCCTTCTTCATAATCTTCCCATTACTATTTTCAGAGAATCTCTCTTTTTTCCTTTTTAACAAAACGTGACAATATACAATAAAAATAGAGTATTCAGTTTATTATTCATTAGAGCCAAATAGCGTGGAACTAAATTCTTTTTCTACAATGTCTAAGAGATGAAACAATGAGAAAAGTCCTCTAAAAGTAAAAACAAACCAAATGACTTTCTATAAAAAAAAATTTTTTTCTTTATTTAAAAAAATCATTATTTTCAACTGCATATAAAAAAATTTATCAAGTTAATAAAGTACTGAGATTTAGTACTTTAATGCATTGAGATTTAGTATTTTATTGTGTAGTTTTCCCCAACACCAACAGTAATTCAAACAATCCTCAACAACAATTAGCTCTAATTACTCAGATTGTAATTAATTAAAAAAGTGTATTTAATGAAATTTTTAAAATTCTAACATTAATTTCTATTTCACATCTATAGTCACAGGTCAGTACATAAAGATTAATTACTAACAAATCTTAAAGAAAAATTTATTACTTCAAATCAACATAAGGAACCTCAGACAAACCTTTTTACATAAAAGAAATAAATTTATTAAAACTAAATAGAAATTAAACAATAAAAAAAAAGTGTTCAACATCCTCTATAAAATTCAGTTTATTTACAGTTGTACTCAGTTCAGCCAATACCAAACAGTAAATTAGCCAAAAGTGATTCAATAATATGAGAAATTAGATATATTTTTTTTATCTGAGATATGAATGAATGAACCTAAGTTCATAAAAGATAAGACTGTAGCAAGAGAGGAATGAAGAATCAGAATGATTTTTAACAAGTTCATCTTCAACACATGACTGTTTGGTCACATAATAACAAGGATACGAGAAGGAAGCCATAACATTTCTATAAGCTATGAGCATGATATTAAGTGAATTGAGAACTTTTAAACAATCAAACTTTTCAGAAAGATAAAAAAGATTTAAAAAAAAAAAATGTAATGTAGTAGTGAAAGCAATTAATTACTTTTACATTTCTTTTTGATTCGCCTTCCTAAAAGATCATATCTAACTTTATCTTCTTCGATATCAGTACTGCAGTCACTTTCGTCACTGGAAATATCATAATTCCCAACTCCTGGAAGAATTCCTATACATGTCAAGCTACCTGCTTTAGGTTGATCATTTTCTGTTGTGACAGTTACTCTTTCACTTGAATCAACACCTAAAATAATATTAATAAATTATTACTAATATTAGTATTAATAAATTATTTGTAATGCTATCATAGATTTTTTATGAATTATATCATAAATTAAGGTATATAAATATACCTATAGATAAACCTATCTATTATTTCTATATATAGATAAAATAGGTAATATTATTGCAAATAGATAAAATAAATGAGGCAAAAAAGTGATTATTTTGACTTGAAAGACAAAGAATATCCAGGTGAAATGAAAAACCTTCAAGATGTTGAATAGCAAGCATTGTTAGACGAAGATGATAAGCAAACTCAACAATAAATGATAAAGAGGTTAATTGTTAGACGCCAAACCGTTTGTAATCATCTGCATGCTATGGAAGAGATCTTGAAAGAACACGGACTTGAAATCTTGTTGGACAACAAACAAATGGAAAAGTGAAAAACAGTGGACAAAGTTTTGCTTTCTCAGAATAAAAGAAACTTTTTGGAATAGGGTTGTTAGTGTAGATGAAAACAGGATATATTTTCAGAACCCAAAACTCATAAAATCATGGGTTAACCCAGAACAATCATCAAAATTGACGGCAAGACTGTCTTTCTTTGAAAAGAAGACAATTCTCTGCATTTGGTGGGATCAGAAGGGTGTTGTGTACCATGAGGTTTTGAAACCAGGTCACAGTTGACACCATTGACTAACATAAAAAAATGATCAATTTGAACCAAACACTGATTGAAAAGTGACTGAAATACAAGACACGGAATAGTAATTTTGCAGCATGATAATACCCCATCACATAAACTAAAACTGGTCGAAGAGACTACTTTCTACAATTAGCTGCGAACTTTTGCCCCCTCCGCCGTATTTACCAGGCTTAGCCCAATCTGACTATTACTTGTTTTCATCGATATCTCACAAATTCTCCAAAAACATTTCAACGATTACGGAGATGTCAAAAATGGTTTGCTGAATGGACCACCACAAAAAATTAATTGTTTTTCTGGGAGGGCATCCATAAATTGTCAGAGAGATGGAGAAAATGTGTAAATAAAAATGGCACTTACTTTGAATGGCAGAAATAAATGAATTAAAGCTAAATTCAGATAAAACTAAGGTTATTATCATCGGGTCCAGACATCTCATTAGCTCCCTTCCTTACTTTCCCTTACTTTGCGTTAATAACCATCCCATCCATTTTTCACTAGTCCAAAATCTTAGGAGTAACCTTTGACCAGAACCTATCCTGGAATAACCATATCTCCCAGAGTACCCGAAAATCCATAAATGTTCCTAAACAACTCCTAACATTCCATGATTGTATTCTTCTAAAAACCAGACAGCTCCTTGTAACCTCCCTTATATTCGCCCATTTCGACTATGGCTGTTTGATGTATGGAGGGCTATCTGCCAGGCTAGAAATGAGAAAGAAGAAACTCATGAACTGTTTCATAAGATACATCTTTGGGATCCCCAGGCGTTCACATGTTTCATCCTGGTACACAAGAGTTGAAGTAGCTTTATCATATTTTCCGACGACGATTCCTCCTTGGTGTTTTGCTTTTGCAAGTCCTCAGAACCAAAAACCCTCCCTACATCCTGGAAGTCCTTACTCTACGCTCCTCTATCCACTCTCTTAATACTAAGTCTCAACCTATAGATTTATATAACCCATCCCATAAAACTACTTCCTTCAGCAAATCCTTCGTCACTCGTGCTATCTCCTTGTGTAACTCTCTTCCTACCTCCATACATCAATCCTTGTCCACAAATTTCTTCAAACAACTCTTGTTCCACCACTTACTCCACATTCAAACTTCTGCTAACACGTAAAATTACTTGAATCTGTATACTCTTTAATTTCAATCTACTGTACAAATGCAATAACAATAAGCAGTTAATTAGTTTGTATTTTTTTATTATTTTAAGCCAGACTAATACCCATAAATTTGTAAATGTTATTATTCTTAGGGGACTGTAGTCGCAGAATAAAATTATTTTTTCATCTCATTTCATTTCATTTGAATAAACAATTTTTTATCTATTCTCTATTTAAACTTTTTTTTAAAGAAAACATTAAGAATTGTTAACTACCACATCTTGAATATTATATATATTGTCGGTTTATTTCAAAAAAGTTACTAAGATCATTTTTGATATCTTGATAGGTTACCTTTTGAATATGTTTTGCGAATCATTTGGACTTAATTTATTGATAATTTAAGTTCTAACATTCTTCACTGGGCCATAGATGCGCCAAAGAATTTTCATCTCAAAAGTTAGGAAGTCCCTTTTATCAGTCTTTGATAAGGCCCTTGTTTCTGCTCTGAAAATAAGCACTTGATCTAATTGAGGTCTTATACAATCTTGGTTTTGTGGCTCTTAATATTATGCAATTTCCCAGATGACAAGAGCAGTCCAAAATAGCACCTATTAGCTGATGCTATTTGTCTCCTTAATTCAGCCGAGATGTCATTATTTGTATTTGCCTGTGAACCCAGGTAAACAAATTTATCAACTCGTTCGAATAAGTAAGGGCACACCTTAACGAAATCTTTGTTAGAATCTCTAGCTTGACCAGCATTCACATACTTGGTTTTAAATATGTTTCAGCGAGTCCTAGCTTTTTGACAGCATCGTCAAACGCAAGAAAGGCATGTTTCGCTGCAGTTCTTGAGGTCATCCACATAATCTGTATGATTAAAGATTGTTCTGCTAATCTGGATCTTTGATTCTCTTATAGCTTATTCCAAATCAACATTGAAGAGTAGGCAGGTGAGTGAATCTCTTTGTCAAACAATATTATCAGAAGTAAATCATTCAGGTAGATCCCCTTGAACACACACCATATCCAATATTACTGATCCTAAGTGGTACTAGTGGGATAATTGGAAAATTAAGATCTTTCATTAAGTGATACAACGATTCACGTTGGTTGCTGTCGTAGATGGGCCTAAAAAGCAGATGGTGAGTTTGGATTTGATATCCTCTTCCTTGCTTTAGAATGGTTTGTAAGGCAAATATTTGATCTACAGTCGATTTTGCTTGAGAGTCGCCACATTGATATTTCCCTAGGTCCTCTCAACATGATGCAGCATTCATTGGTATATTGTATTTGAAAAACCTGGTGCAGTGCACGCATCACACAACTTTCACTCACTACCCTCTTCTTAGCAGAAATAAGTATTTAAAGACAAAGGGAAGTGAAAGTAAAAGCTATAGAAGGTAAGAAACAACATTCAAAACAATTAATTAACATAATCTTTTTTCATAGCCTTCTAATGTATTACATTTTATTTGTTTGACACTAATCATTTCCTTTTCTGATTTTATATTTCATTTTTTTATTTGGATATAATAAATTAATTGTTGCCTGTGGTGAATAATTGAAGAGAAGAATGGTTGGAGTGATCAGTAAAAAAAAAAAGTAAAAATAAATAAGTATATTTATTGTGATTTTTGCTGACGTTTCGGCCAAAAGTTTAGGCCTTCATCAGTTCTATTGCCTTCCCTGTAATAAAGAGATTCAAAAATCATATAAGATAGAAGAGACGTTAAGAACAGAATAGGATGTTACATACATTTTGCAATCCTTTTTTTATTAATAAAATTTATTATTGCATTATAACCATTATTTTATTTTAACTTTGCTTCATATTATTCAATTTAAGTCAGAGGCACCATTTTCACATTTTTGATAATAAGTAATTTAGCTCATTAGATGGAGGAGAGCCAATTTTAAATTTATATAGTAAGACTAATACATAAAGTTAATTACTACTGTGGACAAAACTACGTTTCAAAATTTCAAGTACCAGTTAGTCAAATATAAAGTAAGATTGTATATAACCCACATCCTCTTGTACTAAAACAACTGTGGAAAAGAAAACACCGCAGCAGACCAAATGTACATATTTAAGACACAGTCTTTCCACCATATTTGTTTTTATTTCCCTTTGGTCAGTCAGATTTTTCGTTTTTCATCCCTCAGAACGAAGTTAAAAATTTCTTTCACACCAATATATACAAAATGACTACTCATAGTAAATCATAAAGTAACTATTCATTTTATGTCCATTTTACTTATATTATTAAAAAATAGATCAAACAGTGCTCAGATTAGGCTTTGATTGATAAAAATTGTTTAACTTTTTTTCCCACATCTAACATTGGAATTTAGAGAAAAATCTCAAATCGAAAAAGGAATAGAACATGAAGAGTCAAGTCCCCTTAGCAATAGTATTGAATTGTCATGATATATATCCAAAGCTATGAAAAACCCTGAAATTTCAAATAAACTAACAAGTATAATTAGCTTATCTAGAATGTAGTTATGTAGAATGTAGTACGGAATAAAGCTGACTATCAAATGAAAGGTTAAAGCTCAGTGATGAATATTATCAGAGATGTAAAAACAGAAATAATTAGGTCAGTTTTTTTTAAACAAAATAAAGTTAAAAAAATTAACATATATAATTTTAAATACAATTTTGTAAATAAAATAAGATCTACCTTCATTATTATTATCCTCAGATAGAGGCCGAAGACGTTTAGGGTTCTCTTTTGCTTCACTTTTCGTTTCAGAGGGCCGTTTTTTAATGACAGCTCCTGCTAAAAGCTTTGTCTGTGATGTTCTTCCACTTAAAAATAAATTTGAACTATAACTTAAGATATTGGTGGTTGACAATGAAACTTACTTAATACATATGGGATATAAAAAGAGATTTTATGGTTAGTTGTTATAATAAATTCATAATATTCAAATAACCCGCCACAAGAAATAAAGTTATGGTTTATTAAAATACATCCATAAAAAATTAATATAAAAATTGTTCATATTTCTCATCAAATATTACCTCACCTTTTAATATTATTGTTAATCCTGAAAGGTTGCCTGATTTCGTGTTGAATTCTCTGTTCGAGACTTTGCTCATGCAGAGATGCAACTTTATTCCTAAAATCAGCAATCTCACGTCTTTCTTCTTCACTTTTCTTTTTTTCTTCTTCTAGTTTGGATCTGTCAACAAGATCCAAAAACTCTATTTCATCATCATCAAGGCCCTTTATCATATTTTCTAAAATAAAACATAGAACACAAAAGTAAAATACATTAAACTAATAGAATACAAAAATATTTTATATTGAAAATCAAATTACTTAATCTGTGAGTTTCTTCATATTCCAATTCTTTCTTTTTTTTCTGTTCTTCCAGTCTTTCAAATAGTGATCGAGGGTCATATTCTTCTTCAGGAGCCTCTGAAGGTTTCAAGTTATTGATAATAAATTATTTTTTTAATGATTTAACAAGGCTATTCTTTATATTACCTAATGGTTGATTGGGTTGCCTGACTTTTTCCCATTCTTCTTGTCTTACTCTTCTTTTTTCTGCTATTTCAGTCTCAGAAATAAATCCAGAACTCATATTGAAAACACGTAAATTAGCCAATATAAAAAAAAAAAAAAAAACTAGCCGGGCATATAAAATAATTCAAAGTTATATAAACAAACTAAATATAATAATGTAAATCAAATAATCATGGCATCCAACAATCAATGATAGCAAAATTCAAAATATTTATTATAAGGTAAAACAACCGATTGCTACTGATTTCAGCTTACAGCCAAAGGTTAGGGAAAATAACCCAACGTGATAGTATACGAAACTTTATTCATCCAATTAAACTTTCAGCAATATGCATGCAAGTCTTTCATTGATCATTGTTATAATCAGTATCATTTCTAGAAATATTGTTTAATGATTTTCCATGACAGATTATTATAAATTATTATTATAATAATCATAAATCAATAAATTATAAACATATGTATCAAGTTAATGGGTGAACTTTATATACAACAAGGTCACAGTAAATAAGGACACTCCAAAAGATTTTCTTTTTCCTGTTGGCATTACAGACCATGTAGATCTTTTGCCACCTTACAAGTCTGCTCCATCTCGGCCCAAGTCTTGGGCTATTTCTTTCCATTTATCTGCACGCAGATCTATTGCATCTTTGTTTATTCTATCTACCCATCTGCTTTTTGGCCATCCACGTGGTCTACTGCCTTCTATTGAGGCATTCATTGTTTTGTAGAGGGTTCCAGATGGATTGCTACGAGCTACATGCCCCGCCTATCTTTACCTCCGTGCTTTCATGTCAATAGGATATTGATTGACCAGTTGTAAGTAGTTCTTCGTTGGTCTTTCTTCTCCATGTGTTAGTACTCTGATCTCAGATCGCTCCGGTTATCTTGCGCAGAATTTTTCTCTCAAATCTTTCAATACTTTTTTCTATTGTGCTGGTCAGTGTCCAGGTCTCACAGTCATATATTAGAACTGGCTATATTATAGCATTGTACACCCTTAATTTGAAATTTTTGGGATTTCAATACGTTTGAGAAGGAGAAGAAAGCTCCCTTCACTTATACTTTGGTCTATTTCTGCCCGTCGGTCATTCATTAACGTTATTCTGGAGCCAAGTTATTTGAATTTTTCTACTATCGCGAAAGATTTTTCTTCTACGCAGATTCTGTTATTCGGGTGGAATTTTCGGCTTATTATCATATATTTTGTTTTTTCTTCATTTACTTATAGGCCGATCTGTTCTACCTCTGTTATCAGTGTCTTAGCGAGTTTCTCAATGAACTCTTGATTACTTCAAAGGACAGCTGTATCATCCGCGTATCCAAGGATTTTATGATTCATTCCAATGTGGATCCCTCCATTTTCCTGTGATGTTGATCTTATTACCTTCTCTGGGCCAATTTGAACAACATCGAACAACCCGTTCGAACTTTGAAGACTTCAGATACTTTTTCTTGTATTAGGACTCTACATTTGGGGTCATTTGTACACGCCTTTGTCAACCTCACTAACTTACCTGGAATTCCTAGTTCAGTCATGATTTTCCAATGACAGCTCCAGTCGACAGAATCATAGGCTGCATTGAAATCGACAAATAGGACGTGGACCTCCTGAGCTACTTCCCATCGTTTTTCGGATGAAGTACTTGTTTAGGATGTGCTTGTTTTAGGATAAATATCTGGTCTAGCGTGCTCCTCTCTTTTCTGAATCCAACCTGGTGGTCGCCTATTATATTGAGCCTTCTTGAGCCTTTCGATAGCTCGAAGGCATTATTGCTGATAAATTATTAAAGTTAGTACAATACAATAATCTGTTGAGAGACAAATACCAAAGACTTATTCTAGTTTCGTCGGCTCCTAACAATTGAATTAAACACCTACAATGTGGCAGTTGCTTTTATGGCAGCTGAATATGGATATCAAAAACTTAAGATGCCATTTTGAAAGATGCTTTCGTTTAAAGCAATAGCAAAATTAAATTTAATTTATAACTCATTTTTTATCCATGCATGTACACATACCTACGTATATGTAGGTGAATAGAAACGCTCCTCGAGGAACAGAAAAAACACGTAGAAAAATTAATATTCGAAAATAACACGCTGAAAAACAAAATAACAGAGCTGGAAAGCCGTTTGAATCATTCAGAGCAGAATCAGCTAAGAAATACAGTGGAAATTCGAGGAATCCCAGAGAAACCGGGGAAAACTGACTGGGACCATCCTTGAGGATGGGTCTGGGCGTCTAATTGAGTCCAGACCATCTAGATCACGCAGTAAGACTTAAGCCCAAGCAGGAAGCGACCTCAGGAGCTATTATCGTTCGGTTTGTCAGGCAAACAGTTAAAGATGAGATATTAAAGCAAAGAAGAACGAAGAGAGACTTCTCTACACGCCATCTAGGCTGGGAAGAAAACGATTCGCACCGGGTGTAAGTGAGCGAAGCCATGACCCCCGCTAATAAACATCTATACTGGTTGGCGAGACAGAAAAAAATGACAGCAAAAATAAATGTATGGTTCAGTGGCGGAAAAAAACGATGCAGACAGTCAGACGGTTATCCAGTGGTAATTATAGGGAAATCTAGTGACTTGGACGTTTTTAGTTGAATTTTGTATGTACGTTTCCCAAAGTTTGTTTTATTTTTTTTTCACTAAAAATATTTTTAATTTTTTTCCTTTTTATTTTCTACCGCCATATTATCAATACTAATGAGCTGGAATTTCATTTAATTAATTGTTTTTTTCTTTCAATTTATTTTAATCATAGCCATATTTATATTGGTTTATTATTTTCAATAATGAAACATTGTGATCGACCAAAAAATTCAAAAACATAACCCCCTCTCAAAATTCGAGGTTTCACGTTTCAAGATGCGTAGAATTCCAAAAATTTTTCAAATTTTGATATAAAATCAGAGGTCACCCGAGGATGATCCTCCTTCATCGACATTGCTCTCCGCCCTTAACTTTCAAAATGGCGGCCGAAAAACCTGCGTTGCTATAGACTGTAGCTCCTAAACGAATGTACAGATTTCAATCAAACTTCGCTAAAGTCATTTTCTCGACACCGTTTAAATTTATCTATATAACATACTTCAACGAAAAGAAGCTGGAAAAAAGTTACGAGGGATATTAAAATTAAATTCCGAATAACTCGAAAAGTTTTTACTTTTTTGTTGTTATTGTGAGATGTTTCAAAGGCATTTAAATTTCCTAAAAAAACGAAGGAAGTTTCATCAAAATCAAAGCACTATTAGTAGAGATATCGCGGTTTTTACATATTTTGGTTTATTATTTTCAATAATGAAACATTGTGATCGACCAAAAAATTCAAAAACATAACTCCCTCTCAAAATTTGAGGTTTCACGTTTCAAGATGCGTAGAATTCGAAAAACGAATAAAAATTTTTTTGTCCGTCCGCCGTACGCCGTACGCGCATTTTCTACGAAACTACTGAACCGATTTTTTTCAAATTTTGATATAAATCAGAGGTCACCCTCTGGTTTTTTTGGTTGGTTTTTTTAAAGTTTATTAAATTTCCTAAAAAAAAAAAAAAAATAGTTAAAATCGGACAATTAGGAACAAAGATATGGTCTCTGGTGTGTTTTATATGTTCTACTTCAAATGTTTATTTGGATTTTAAATTTTGAATATGTTACTGAAGTAATGCTATTTTTTTTTTTAGCATATTACTAATGATTAAAGAAAAACAGTTTAGTCCAATAATTGGAATCACCTTTTGTTTTGTTTTCTTTGTAACTCGGAAGGTAATGTTACTTTAGATGTATAAAAATTGTTTGGAGATAATAAACCATTGTGAAATCATTTGCAGCGTTTTTTTTTTTTATATTGTAAACTAATTCTACGTACTAATTTTTTTCCGAATTTCTATAATTTTTATTTTACCTATTCAAAAATTATTATATGCATATATCCTTTTGCTACTAAGACAAAAACGAATTTTTTATTGAAAAATTGTTATATCCTATTCTCCATCCTTGATCCCTTTCCATATAACTCTACTTCCCAACATCACAGTTATGACTAATATCCTAAACTCCTATCACGTCAATGCACAATCCCTTAATGCCCACTTTGATGAATTCCAAAAATATTTCCTCAATAATTTTTACCACCCAATAGCAGTACTCTTTCCTACGTCATAACAGACCTAATCTCACGGGGGGTGATGTCGGACTTTATGTTCACGATAGTCTCAAGGACAAAATCCTCTTACAGTCTCCTTTTCATGAACTCCCTCACATTGAATATTTATTTGTTGAAATTACTTCTATTTCCTCACCCTTATTATATGTTGTTATCTACCGCCCTCCTCGTGTTCCATTCGACCATCCCTTTGAATCCTCCCTTGTCAACCTCGTTTCCTCCTATTCCAATGTCATCATCTCCGCTGATTTTAATGTAAATATGCTTACAGAATCTCCAGAAAAACTCTTCCTCACTGACCTGATATTTTCCCTTAATCTCTGTCTGATTCCTTATTCTCCCACTCATCACACGCAATTTTCCGACACGTGGTTAGACCTCTACATCTCTGATTCTCCCATCAAAATCTTTTCCTCTTCTCAACATCCCATTCCGTTTCTCTCATCACTTGACCTAATCCAAATTACATACGACCTACCCGTGAAATCCTTTACTCCCAAAATAATCTCATACCGTAATTTAAACCTTCTCTGTTATGAATCACTTCAATCTGACCTTGATTCTTTCCAATAGGACATCATATCTTCCTATAATTCTATCCATCCTAACTTCAAACCTACAATTCTTATTAGACACCCATGCTCCTCTGAAAACCAGTATCTTACGTCGCCCCACTACACATTGGCTGACTCCTGAAATAAAGGAAATGATGAAAAGAAGGAATGCAGCATGGCGCAAATACCGTCGAACCCGTTTACCTGCTGATTATGCGTCTTTCAAACAACTTCGCAATGCAACCCAATCCACAAATCCGTCTTTCTAAATCCAACTACTTCCATAATGCCCTTTCCAATGCTCCTAATTCCAAATCAAAATGGAAAATACTTCGTAACCTATCCCTACCAGATTCCAATAACCTCATTTCCCTCCCTGTTACTCCAGATGATCTTAATGACCATTTCTTATCATTTGCTTCTAATCCTTCTCCTACTCATGATATTGAACACCACAATTTCAATCCTGAAAACTACTTTTTCTCCCATGTGTCCTACGACAAAGTACTTTCCACTATCCAAAAATCCCTCACCAATGATTATGGCCCTGACAATATTCCAGTAAAACTTATAAAATTCAGCCTTCCTACCCTTATTCCAGTACTTTATCATATCTACAACTTTTCACTGCAAAACTCCATATTCCCCTCTTCCTGGAAAACTGCACTAGTCCGTCCTTTGAATAAAACTTCTAACCCTTCCTCACTGAACGACTTCCGTCCTAAATTGGGCAAGTTCCGAGAATATATACTATCCAGAAGCTTCTAAGAAGTCAAAAGACCTAAGGGCAGACCTCGACTGTTTTATGAAGACCTCATAACCAGGCTAGGACGATCAAGAGGGAAGTGGATAGGAAAAAGGAGGGTACTCGCAAGAGATCGAGATGCCTACTTGCGACGGCTGGATAAACTTCGATACTGAGAGGTACTGATGAGGTAGGAAAAGAAGAAGAAGACTATCAAATATGAGAACGAACTCTGCCTTCCCCTTCATTAAATATTGGGAAATAAAGAGAGCAGAAAGTCTCGGAACTTGCCCATATTACCTCAGTGCTTATGAAAGTGCTGTACTTCATTTGAAAGAACATTAACGAACAAGTCATTTCAAATCTGAATTTGAAAATGCAATGGGTTGTATTTTGGAAATAAGTTTTTAATATTTTATTTTTCTAATTATTTTATACTCCTAACAAACAATGTCTCCCAATTTACCAAAGATTGATGGTGTTTTAAAATCCACAATTAAGCAAGTCCCAGTTACATGTCTGAAGTTTATTGGGAAATATGTTATTGCAGGTATTAAAAAAAAACAAAGATTAAATTATAAATCTACATATTTTCTAGAAGCTAGGAAGTTATTACAAACTTTTAAAAAAAGTGCTTTTTAAATGTATGAAAGAGCTTTTTACTGTTTTATTCAGTTGTTTTTACCTGAGTACCATCTTAATTCTACTAGATGTTTTATTTTATTCTAATTTTTAGCAATTGGTGGTGATTTACACGTTTTTAAGCCACTTAGCAGAGTATATCAACAGTTTGAGAGAATCTATAAACTTGAACTGTTTTCTTCACAGTACATCTATGGAATTATACCCAATAATTTTAAAATTATTGTTTTTGGAGGTAGAAGAGTTGCGTTCATTGAAACAAAACAGAAGTTCTCTTGGTAGGTGTAACTTAGGCCATAAAATCGAGCTTTTCATGTCAGAGATATAAATTATATCACGTACTATTTCTTTTAGCATATCAGTAAAAACATCATGGATTGTCGAAGATTGGATATTAGACAGTGTGTGGATTAGTGATTTTGAGGTGGCAATTTTAACTGCTCATAACGTGTTGTTATTGTACCAATGTTTTCCATCAATTGAAGTTGTGTCCAGAATAAATTGTATAGACCAATGTATTTTGTATCCTTTTTATGATAAATATTTTATGAAAATACAATTTGGCTATTTCTAGTTTATTTTTATTCATTTTGCTACTGAATGTACTAAAATATGTTTGTTTTGGTTTTTTTTTTAAGGTCTCGAATAATAAAAAAACAGGTTGTATTTTTTGAGAAATAGACTCCCAGGTATAGTTAAAGACAATATATATATATATAGCTTTTATAACTTTGGAAATTCATGGCTTACCAATTAATTAGTTTAAAAAATTAGAGAAAAATGGAAAAAACAATAAGTATATAAAACATTATTTTTACACCCAAATGTATAAAAAATTTAATTCGTGTTTTAGCCTTTGGTAGAGCTAATCCTTAATTCAATTTTATCCGTATCTTATTAAAGGCTTGAAATTTTTGAACTTTCAACTTGAGATTTTTTTTGTCAAAACTATTCCATATATATCCATATATATATATATATATATATATATATATATATATATATATATATATATATATATTATTTTTTTCATTTCTTCTCATGGACTTATGAACTTGCACATTTTTTTTTTCCATACCGTGTCATTTCTGTTCTTCAAGATTGTTTCTCTATTCTATTCTATTCTATATTTATATTTATTTTTCATTAACATTGGCACATATATTCGGGAAAAATTCTCAATTCCAAATGGGAAGAGCTCATAGTTTTATCTGGCACTGTCTATCAAGAGGTAATAATATGGTCGAGTGGGAGGTCTGTTTCTGATGAGTATCCTGTCATTCATAGATTGAAAGGGCACAAAGTGAGTTTGAATTTTATTTGTTACTTAGATATATAGTTGTGCTTTTCTTTTCTACTCTAATAGTTCATTTTTTGTTAAACTTACTTTATATGAAATATAAAAACAGGGGAAGTATCAAGATCATGAAAAGTTTTGAATCTGAGTTTTCAACTGAAATCCACACTTCAAATTTTTCTTGAAAAGAGCTCTAACAATTTTGATTAAACTTGTAATGCACTGTACAATGAAATGATGTTTATATCATGGAGATTATTCTTATTGAAATAGTATGACTGGGTTTAAATACCAAATATTCAAAATAACTTCCTCTAAATTATCTTTAATTTGGTTAATTAAAATAAATATAATTTTACTATTCATTTTTATTAAAGGCAGTTTGATTATTTACGTCATTTTTAATATTCATAGGGTGTTATATTTTCTATATCATATGATGAGGAAACTCAGCGAATATGTTCTACATCTGACGACAGGACTATAAGAGTTTGGACTGTGAAATTTCCTGGTTCCAGCTCTTTTATTGAAAATTGGATAAATGCTGAAATAACTTTGAGTTTTAGTGCATTTGGCCATTTGGCAAGAGTATGGAGAAGTGTTTTTATACCAGAGGGTCAGCTTGTTTCTGTCGGGGAGGTATATTTTCAAATTAGATTGTACTTATCTTATTGTGTCAGCAATATTACATTATTTAATTTTGTTTAGGATTCTCAAATTTGTCTCTGGAATAGGAGCGGTGAACTTTTGAGTCGATGGGAACATAATGGTGAAATATGGTGTTTGGATTATTCTAATTTCCAGGTTGCGGTTGGTGGAAATGGCATTATAGTGAGACCTATCCAGCCTTTGCCAGATCTGGCTTCTATAAAATTGAGGTTTTTAGTTTAAAAAAAATAATAGTAGAATAAGAATAGCATACAATCATTAGATTAGATTACAATTATTGCTTCTGTATCTGTAGCTAGTTTGGTTTGATTTAAAAATATTTGTAAATTTTTAATTTTAATATAGTTTTTTGGCCAACTCTTATATATTTAGTTTTTTCCTGGTTGATAGTTATTTAAATATATGAGTACTAACCCAGAAATGGATAATTCAATAAAAGAATCTATAACATTAGAAAATGTTGACCAATTCACGTATTTGGGGTCAATAGTTAGCTGTTCAAATGCAATATCTCATGAGACTGGCCGACGCATATGAAAGGCCAACTACTGCTATTTTGGCCTTAGAAAACTCCTTAGTCGTAAGGCTTTGTATCGTCAGACCATATGCTATCTTTATAAAACACTAATACGACCGGTACTGACCTATGCTACAGAGACATGGACCCTGCGTAGTTCAGAAGAGAAAAAATTTCTTTTCTTTAAAAGAAAGATTTTGCACCATATTTCTGGACACATTAAGAATGAAGGGAACCAGTGGAGGAGGTGCTTTAATATGGAGGTATATGAACTATTTGGAGAAGCGAACGTTGTTCATTTTATAAAGTGTGGTCGACTGAGATGGGCAGGCCACGTAGCAAGGATAAATTAGGAAGAAATCCCCATGAAACTGGAAGGTCAAGAGCTTACTCTTGACCTCCTCTTAAGGAAAGCCATAGATGAGATGAGAAGACAAGGTTATGAAGGATGCTCAGCCCCTTTTGAGAGTACAGACTTGGAGAGCGGCTGCATAAGATCAAGCTACCTCTCATTGAAGGCTCACTGAGGAGGCCATGGTCCACATTGGGCTGTAGTGCCATTAAAAAAAAAAAATATATGTATATATATATATATATATATATATATATATATATAGTTTTTGACCTGTTTCAAGAATATGAACTTATTGATTTTTACTAATTTTTATTTATCTCTTTTAACACTTTAGCTGCTGGCCCAGTTCCATGGTTCCGAAATTCGGCTTCATTTATGCTGGGATCGTTTCGAATTTAGCCTATCTTATGAAGTCTTTAAAACGGTCATTTTTAAAAATATTTGAATGGGAGTTGGATAGATGTAAAGATAAATGCAAACGTAAATAATCATTATTAATGATATAAAGCTATCGAACGCCGGGGACCATAACCACAGCTGGTGTTAATCTTAATTAATTTAAGAAATTGAATTAAAATCTAATTTTAAACCTTTTAAAATCAAATTAAACTTTTTATCATAAAGATTAATAAGTAAATGTAGAGCTAATTAAGTTAGAGAACAGAGAAAAGGATTTGAGTTATTTATGTTTATGTTATCAAGTGTTAACTATATTAGTTTTACATGAGTTGAACACAGAAAATTAAATTGTGACATAAATTATCTTAATTTTCAGTGAGGACTTTGGTTTAATGAGAAACATCGTAATAAATAAGAATGGTGATAGGATTATAATAACTGAAAGAGGCTGTTTAATATTATACAATAATGATATCTTAGATTATATTGAAGACAAACAATTTTGCAGTTATTGTGTTTTGTCTATATCACCCTCCAGGGAATATGTTGTACTTGGTGGAATTCATGGTGACATTAAACTTTTCAAAGGTAAATAATTCTAGAAATTTTATGTTTATCTAAATATTCTCAATGAATATCCTATGTCATATTTTATTTTTAGTTTTAGATAGCAAGTTAACAGAATTATGTAAAACAAGTATTACTGGTCGAGTTTTCTCACTTTCTTGGTCTGACAGCAGCACAATAGTTTCTAATGGTCTTGATGGCTCACTCTCAGTTTGGGAATTGGTTGAAACTGGTGGTAAGATGATGTTTGTTAATATGGTTCTTCAGATTTGGGATGGTTATTGGATAGAGGTTAGTGGAAGAAGAGCCTCATCAAATCTACAAATAAACTAATCTCTGTTTAGCTTGTGTTAACAGCCAACATTTTACTATTGTTCCCATCACTCTACCTGTGTTTGTAAACTTACATAACAGATAATTCACCCTACTAATCCATGAGAAATTCATTTTATTTTGTCATTCATCCACATGAGCTCATTTTTCACCGAATTTATTCCAAAGTGAATATTTTGGAAAGTTCACAAAACATATAGTAAATTATAATATTAAATTTGTGTACAATTGTAATATCACTGTCGTTACTTTATTATAGTCTGTGGTATCTACCCCTTTTTATCAAATTATTAACATCTGTCTAAAATGTTGTGAATGGCTTCATCTTATCTTAACTTTTTAGACAAGACAATTCTCAGAAATAGACATTTTTCTCAATAAATTAATTAATTTAAGGAGGTACTAAAAACCCATGAATAACCATTTGCCTTTTCACTAGAATCTTAGATAATTCGATGATAAAATCTAGAAAAAAGATGACCTAAAAGATATTGGACCCTCTGGCCTATACTACCTCGTTATTTTGACATGTTGGGAGTGGAGGTCACGCCAAATGGCCCAATATTTTTGTATACCACCTTTTTTCTCCATTTCGGGTTGAAATTATCTTACAATTATTGTGGAAAGCAAATCATTATTCAAGAGGTTTTAGTACCTCATTAAATCAATTAATCTTACGAGAAAATGCCTTATTTTTGAGAATTTTTCTAGATAAAGTTGTAAGTTACGGTAAGATAAAGCCATTCAAGAAGTTTTAGATGGATGTTTTCATCAGCTTTTTGGCTGTCTGATTTTGCCCAAGAACCATCAGGTTGCAGAACAGGATGAGATCTCTATCAGGATTAAAACATCTCTATCTATTGTAGCTTGTGATAAGCTAAAAATATTTTTAAAAGCTACATGAAAGAAAATAGCCCTGATGTAGCACAAGTATACTAGAAAACTGTATTTAAAAAGAATATTTAAACAATTATAATACTATTAATCTAAATTATAAAATATATTTTGAAAAATAATATTAGAATTCTGAGATCACAGAGAATTGTTTTTTTGCAATGGCTGAACTCCAATAATCTAGTTGAAGTTAGAGAATGCATCTCTGGATTCACACCCCTCCTCCTCTCCCCATCCTTTACCCGGTAACCTGCCTGTATCTTGTGGACTATAGTTGCGAGATTTACTTTTAGTTGTATGAAAAAAAATTTATATTTACTTATGAAATTAAATTGTGGATAGTCATTGATTTACTGTTTATTAGTATGAAATATTTCAAAATTGGTGTTTTATTAAATCTAGATAACATTAACCTGGAACAGAAGAATTCTTACGTTCTACCATATTCTAAAGAGCGTTGGATAACATGTGCTGCTTCCCTTGAAGATTATCTAGTTTGTGGTGATAGAATGGGATCTATTCATCTCTTTTCATCTTTAACTACTATAAAGGTAATATCGAGCAATATTAATACTTAAAAATTATTTTTTTCATGTTTCATAAAATTGGATGTGATTAGAGCCCTGTAAATTAAAACCTCCATAAATCAGAAAAGAATAGAAACAAATAAATCAATCGTTTTTAGACTTTTCATAGGTAAAAGAAGCCTTCATACATAAGGATCAAGTTATTGACAATGCAAGAGGACCATATGGTCAAGTATATTGGGACAAGAGTCTTAGAGTGTCTGGTTCTGAATGTTGTGATTTTGATTCTCCCCTAGGTCAGTTAATATTTATTTCTCGCGACCCCAAGAAGTGAATTGATCCTCTCATTTTGGTTAGTACATAGCGGCAACCTCTAGCACTCAAGGGTTGGCAAAAAGTACCACAAACCCCACTTACTAGACTAGATTTCCCCACCAATCTAGTGATGTAATAGCTTTTTTTTTTATTCCTATTCTAGCCTACCAGAATTTCAAATCCTGAAATTATACCTATACAATATAAATTAAGACGAGTATTATATTTTTGATAAACGTATGAATGTAAAAATAAAAATATATGTATAAGTAAAAGAAAACCTCAAAAGTGTATTGAATCCTACTATTCACTATCTGAATCCTCTATTCACAATGACCACAGAAATGAACTATATGTATTCATAATTGTTTATTAATTTTATGTATCGAAAATAATATAAGATATTAATTACAATGTAATATAAGCTATGTAATTATTTATCAATATTTTTCTCATTATAATATTATTTTTTCTAGGACCCAGTTGATTCTCTTCGTAGGCTTCATGATGTCAAAGGTGTAAGTGACATTAAACACATTAATGGAATCACTTATTCTACTGGAAGGGATGGAACGCTGAGAGAATTCACCATAAAAGATGATAAACTGGTTTTAGTATCAACATTAAAATTACCGATGGATTGGTCTACTTCAGTTGTCCACTCTGATAGCTATGGATTAATCATTATGGGATTTCATGGTGTAAGAATTATAATTTTACTATTATATAATTTTAATATGAGAATTACATAAATTTTAGCATATGTATTCACTTTTTTGACAAATTGCTGTAAGTTTTAAATTTCCTCAGATTCTATACTCAATTTGACTAACTAGATGCAACTTTCATAGAAAAACAGGTCTGCATTAGTAAAAACTATAAAAAAAACAAACAAAAAAAAATATAGCAAAAATTAGTTTAGATGTTTATTTTACTTCTATTTTTCTGTTTACTTCTATTTAAAATTTTCTGAACTTTTTATGTCTTTACGTCCCAATCTCCATTAACATTTTTTGGATGTTAAGTGTTTGGCCACTATAAGTGAGCACTGAGTGAACAGAAAAGATATATATCGTGATTAATTGGTATATCAACAAATTATCTAGATTAATTCATTAACTTTACTGTATTTTTCAAAAAAACATTTATGCCTCTAGGTCCTCATAAATTAATAAAAAATGTATCCACTTAATTACAAATGAAATTTATTATTTAGAATTTATGAATTATAAATCCAAAAATAATATTATCTCATCGATCCTGTCAAGATAAACTCCATGCAAAGATAAACTCTTGTTTGAATAATGAGAAAATGATTTTTTTTAATGGTTTTAGATGAAGTTTGAGCTAAGGAAACTCTAAGTTTTTAAGTCAATCTTTCGGACGGTGGTTATTTATGGTGTTTAGGGACTTGGGGTTTTGAGCCCTATGAGGTTTTTTTTCGGAAAAATTTAAAAGATATTTTGTAAAAAAATTATTGCCTCTCCCGTGGTGTGCACCTGTTTAACACATGAAACAAGTCTCTCTTTGATATGCTCCTACACACTAAAAATTCATTTTCTCCCTGAAAATTGACCACTATTAGAGATAGGGTAGAGAATTTAGAAAAACGAAATAATATTAAAAAATTTCTTTATTTTTATATTTATTATTTTTAAAATTTCTAGTTTTTGTATCTATGTTCAGTTGATACTGTTACTGACGATGGTCCCCCACCTCAACATTACCGTCCTTTCCTTTCAAGATGGCAGTCGAAATGAAACTGTAGCGCTTAAATGAATGTACTGATTTCAATGAAACTTGCCTGATGCCTTCTCCTTGATGGCTTTTAAATATATGTATAGAACATACTTCACCAAAAATAAGAAGCTAAAATAAGTTACGAGGGATGGTAAAATTAACTTTCTGAATAACTCAAAATATAGACACTTGTTTGTTGATGTATGTGGTTTTCTAAAAATTCACAAAATTAAAAAAAAAATAGAAAAAATCTTTGAAATCGAAAAATTAGATGCAAATTTATGGCTTTCTAAATATTGTTTGAATGTTCTACTGCATAGCTTATATTGTTTTAGTTTTTGATTTTTTGACAGTGTTATATTAACTGAAGCAGTGTTGTCTACTTTTCTTAACAAATGACATGTTGAAAATAAAAATAAATTATTTGGAGCAATATTAGGAAATACCTTTTCTTTATTTTTGTTACAAGGAAAATAATGTTACTTTTGATGTATAATTGCTTAGAAATAATAAACCATTGTGTTATAATTTGCAGTGTTTTTTATTGTTGTATGGTATTTTATTTATTTTTAAAAATTAAATTACTTGTTAGATTTAGAAATATTTATTTAAACAAATGAAACAGTGGAGAAAAAATGCTAGGATGGAGGTATAAATGTGTAACAATATTGTAGAAATTTTATTACTCATTTATCTTACTTATAAATGCAATCAATATTTACTATGAATTAAACAGAGACCTCAATATAGTGAATTTTCCATTGTCTTTGTGTTGTTACTTGTAAATGTATGTTTTACTTTTTATATTTTTAAAGAACAATAAACACATTTTCATTCATAGAGATAAACTTAAAATTTATCACTACATTGATTCTTTTTTCAGTCAAACTTCGTTTTATGGAATGTCGAGGAAAGGATAACACTGTTACAATTGGACTGTGGGGGTGGTCACCGTTCTTTTGATTGCATCGTTGATGGAAACCTTGGAAATTTAGTTATAAGTTTTATAAGAATGAAGGAAATGAAATATATTTGTTGTCCTGTAGAAGCTGTCTCTCATCAAACGGTTCTTGTGAGTATTGTACTTCATATAAGTTATGCCTATGCTTTTTTTTCCCATGTCAGCGTTCTAAATTTTTTTTTTTAAGGCAGGGTATCATAAAAAGGCTATCAATTGTTGTTGTTTATTGTCATTGAAAGAAGATGGAATGGCTTCTATATTGACAGGAAGTGAGGATAATTCTATTAGACTTTCCTTGATTGACCAGCTAGATTGGAAGTGTTCCTCGTCCTATTTAAGGCATATATCTAGTGTCAGAGCTGCTGTCTTAGTAGATGATGTACTTGTAACAGCGGGAGGGAGAGCTCAAATGATACTCTGGCATGTCCAAAATTATTCTGGTAAATATTTCAGAAATTTATCTTTATTTTTACATCCTTACATAACTGATTAATACTTGATGTTATTCAGTTAAACAGATACTAAATAGTCAAGTACTCATCATGCATATAACAGACTTGTTCGAGGCATATCCATAAAGTAAGAGTACTGTTGGGCTGTCATGCTGTTTAAAAATAAAAAGAATTATATGTTTAAGAGTTGACCGCACTAAGTGATAGTGGGATGGGGTCTCTTGAAAACAATAAGCACTGGCGATCCACATCTGTACCAAAACTCATCTCATAGAAGAAGAAAGTAAATTTTATTCTCTGACATTTACTCCCCTAAGAATAACAAAAAGAACAATAGCAATTACATTTAGATTTCTCCGGCACATAATGGCAGGCAGATAATAATTAAATTACATGATTCCATAATAATTAAATTATTCCTAAGAAAACATATGAAATTATTGGTAAATAGATGTTTATTTGTTTATATATTTGCAATGTAAGCAATATAAATATTAACTGTGAAATAACAGAAGAATACGATTTATAACATTTAATCCTTATATATATATTGGGAATATTGATCGCTGAAGAGATGGAAAAACAATTGGTGTTTAAATGAAGTTAAAGATGAGGTTTTGCGTATGGATATGGGTAAGAAATTCCAAAATAAGGTAGCAGGAATTATAAAGGATTTAGTTTCAAAATAAACAGTTTTATATATAAACAGTTTCAAAATAAACAGTTTTATATATAAACAGTTTCAAAATAAACAGTTAAGGAGTAAATAAGCAGGTAAGGAAGTTTCTGTATTGTCAACTGGAGATACTTGGGAGCTCTGAGGGCTCCAAAGATGAATCTAATGAAACATTTAAACAACAATTTAATCTCATAGTGTCAGTTTCTGTGAAATATGTCATTATGAAATCCTGTTTGAGTTCGCGTCCCAGTGCCGGAGGGGATTTTAAATTCCCCGCCCTCACCCCCCGGCCCGAGAAAATCCCGTATAGCCTAAAAGGCGAGGTAGGGAAGAACAAAAACAAAAACAAAACATTATGAAATCCTGTCAAGTGCGAGATATCCCCTTTTATTTGCTTCCTTCCTATTTCCAATGAAACATAAATGGGTCATTATACCCATGAGACAAAAATAAAGTCATCACAGTGTTGGCACACTGGTTCACCTTCTGCCGAAAAATCGAAAATCTCAATTTCAGCCAAAAAAAAATCATGGTATCTGCGTTTAGGACCGAAAAGGGATCATTTTTCACCTCAGAAGGAGACGATTACTACAGTATGATACTGTGAGACCCTGCAAAAGCTTAAGAGAGCAATTCACAACAAATAGAGGGGAATGCTGTTACAGAGAGTGTGTTTGTTACACGACAACGACCACCTACACATGGTCAATGTCGCCAACGCTTGCATACTCCCTTGATTTCAGGTCTCCATATATTAATTTTTTCATCCTCCTGAGGACTCATATGGATGGAAAAAAAAAATTCTAACCAATCAGGAGATGATACAAGAGGTCCTTAAGTGAAAAAAGGAGATAGTGGAACAGTTTTATGTTGGGAGCTTCAAAAATTATGTGTTTTATTTACAAAAAAAAATAATAATAATAACAATACCCTGTACTTTTTTTTTTTTTTCAGTTGAAAAAATGGAGTAATCTTACTTCGTAGATATCCCTCATATAATCCAAATTTGACTTGTGTAAAACAGTAAGGCTCTGCTTGAACAAGAAATAACATTACAATAATTTATTTTAGGTGAAACTAGGCTTCAAGAAATTGATTCTCATATGATACGAGAAGAGTCTGAACATCGAAGATCTTGGAGGACAGCTGAACCTCTTGTTGACCCAGAAATGAGGTATAATTAGAAAGGAATGTGAATAATGATTTATTTTTTACTAAACATAATACTCAGCTTTATTTCAGAATATGGCATTTCGGCTAAACTGGAGCCATTTTCAAGTTTATGAAAAAGTTTACATTTTGTCTGTTTAGTTTAATTTCAAAAAAATGTATTACATATATACAATCAACATTCACTGCTTATATATATTAAATTTTAATAATAGATGTTTTTCCATACTTTCTTGACAGCTAGTGATATCTTGGATCTCGTATCTGGTAGTGAGTTTTGAGTTTTTAAGTGTTGCAGGTTTATATCTGCTATTCTGTAGTACACCAACAAATATTTGTTAGTTTATTACTTTTTATAAGGTGTTAATCATATTTTTGTTGTTCAAATTTTACTTAATTATGTATGAAATATATATTAAGGGAAATAATTGTGATCATGAAAATTTTAGTTTCCAAGTTTTTAAAATACATGTTTCAAGTACTCCAAATAACTAAGCATAACAAAAAGGTTTGCATGTCTACGAAAAGTCTAGAAAAATAAAATTACGAATTTATATGCCGGGGATGTTACAGCAACTCTTTTTATTAAACTCGTCAAATTAAATGGTCTTTAATATCAGTTAGGTATTAACCTCATTGAAATAGCCTTACAGGACTTAAATGCCAAATTTTGTCCTCTAAAGTACCTTAACTTTAAGGTACCTTAATTTTTTTTTTTTGTATTACAAACACTTTACTGTTGGTGAAAATTTTAATTATTCAGAGTGCTCTCTCGTATAGAATCATATTTTCCAAAATCAAGAAACTCCTTTAATATTCAAAGATTTCGTCTATTTTGATGATAGTTTAGCAGTAGCAAGAATCTTAACTGAAGAGCAAATTTTAGCTTTATCTGAGGTCATTGATGGGTAAGATGAAGATGATATGCCGTTGATTGCTCTAAAAATAGCAAAGTAATATTTCAACAATATGGTGTCATTTTATGCAAAATTGAATGTTGTAGACGTTTTCTCTGCTCTAAACACATTAAACATTGTTGTAGGCAGAATCCGTCTTCAAGGATTACATCATAAGAATTTAACTGGTATTTTTAAAAGTTAAATTGCAATGTTTGATTGTTCTACCTAGACCTTTTTTATATTTATAGTAATATATTTTTGTATTAATTTGTTATGTTGGAAATCTCGATTATTCATATTTTACTCTCGGTCCCTTGTTATCAGGATTCTACTGTTGTAGTTCATAAAATTATTATAACTTATATTTATTTTCTTATATTTATAATTAAATTAATATTAATGTTTCATTAACTTTAAAAAAAAAAAAAGAAGTGTGTACTAAAAGTAGAGTGGTAAATTGAAAGTTGTACAAGATTTTTTTTTTTAATTTTTCATTTGTGATTTTAGGTATATGGATTTAAAAATTGTAAAACAGAGTGATGGCATTTATTCCATATTTTCCAGTTGTTCTGATGGAATGTTAAGGTAAAATTTTAAAATATATGTATTATATTTTTAATTTCTATAGTTATAATCTGATAAAATATTTTAAGTAAGGAAGAGTAAATATAGTTAATTTTAGGTTATGAATATCAATCATTCTTACTTTCTTGTGTATTTTATTATTTCTTTAAAATTGTATCACATTAACATTTTAGGATTCTGTCCCATCATAAGGATTTCAATTTACTATCTTCAGTTCACTTTGAGAATTTTCAATAAACCTTCTTTTTCTCTTAGAATGATTATAAATTTGTAAAATACAAATAAAATTTGTAAAATTACAAATAAATTTGTAAAATATGGTTATAAACTATAGTTAATTTTTTTATGTTATTTATTTAATGAAATTTAAAACTGTATAAAAATACTACCAGTAAAAATGCACATATTAGAAATAATGATGTGAACAGACTTGAAGAGATACTACCGAGCGGTAGGTTAAAATTAACTCCTTGGTTAATTTTAGGTTGTTAATATTACGCCTACTTGTGTATTTTTTTTTTAATTCTAAAAACAATTTTTAAAGAAATATACAAATCATAAGGAAGTAACAGTAATGTATACAATATAAAATTAACTATAATGATGTAGAGATGGTTGACCGTTGATATAATATGAGAAGGAGTTGATCGGGGGATGCGGTCAAATAAATACTAAATTAAACAAATAGTATTATTTAATTTTTGCCGACGTTTCGACCCACTTTTGCAGGTCTTTATCAGGGCGTAGGATGTAGCACTGCGGCCAGTATTTCAACTGCCTCCCGCAGTGCTACATCCTACGCCCTGATGAAGACCTGCAAAATGGGTCGAAACGTCAGCAAAAATTAAATAATACTATTTGTTTAATTTAGTACTTATTTGACCGCACCCGCTGATCAACTCCTTCTCAAAATTAACTATAGTTGTATTGTTTCAATGATTTGGCAAAAACATTAGTTAAAGTGATTAAAAACGTTTACAGAGATGATTTTGATGTTTTTAAATAAATAAGGGCGACTTATTAAATTTGGTTTCCCATAATCGAATGGTGGCATTTTGTCTTTCTTATTTTAACTAAATTGGGTGAGCTGAAGAATATGGTCATTTCAAAATTTCAGTCAAATTTGGGCATAATTTTTAGAAAAAAAAAAAGGTTAAAGAAATTGTGTTTAAAACTAGCGCTAATATAAAAAGATATGAGGGCTAATCTCAATATTCATATACAGAAAAAGTAATGATTTATCCGTCACTTGACAAACTCATTTTAAGAGTGTCACAAGTATTGACCATCAGGGACAGCCGAGCTGGCTAACGTGTGTGCACAGCACAGCATTGTTCAGCAGACAGATATACAATAATTGATAAAAACAATTACGAGTTTGTGTCCCAATGCTGCAATATGGGGCTTTTAATTCTGGTATCAATCCCGACCTGACCCTCTGGCCTGAGAAAACCCAGTATAACCTAAAAGGCAAGGAAGGGGAAGAAGGAAAAAAAGAAAGTATTAACCCTCATTTAATTTTGCTCTCTCAGGGGCAATACCACTTCAAGATCCTCTCTTGCTTTCTTCCAAATCTTGATCTCTCTCCGCTTTAATTTAGAAAATAATTATTTATTAAAAGCCTTGAAGTATTCTTTTACCACCATACTTCTTAGTACCTTAGTTTTTCAATAAAGATAAGTTAATTTTAATCAAATTTTGTACTGAGTAAAGTTTGACAGTAGTTTTTTCAGGAATTTGGGTACATTCCTTTATCCGGTGCATGCCCATTGCACATGAACACATACCATAAAAATAGGCAATCTGGTCCGGTCAGGGAGGAACTCTGTTGTCGTACTGCCAGTTTTTTTATTTTATTTTTTTTAATTTTTCCTTAATTCCCTACAATAGGAAAAAAAAATCATTGAAATCGAACAATTTTTAGCAAAGATACAGCTTACTGAAATTTGTAAACATGTTGGTTCCAAACAAAAATGAAGATTTAAATTAATTTTTATTTTCTTTGTCGATTATATTTATGGATAAACATTTGATTTCTTTATCTTTTGATAGGTTGCATTATTTTATTTTCTTATTAATCTGGCATTTGAAAACAATATGCTGTGCGAATTTTATGCACGAGCCTACTAGTATACATTATATAGTTTATTGTAAATATTAATTTGCAACTTCATTAATTTTATATATTTATATTTTATTTCAGAATTTTCAGTTATGACAAGGAGGATAAAAAGCTTTGTTTAATCAATTCACTGGAAAGCAATCAGGGCTGCTTATTAAAGATATCGACTTTCCAGTGGCAAGATGAGCTAGTTGTTGTTACCGCAGGAACCAGTGGAAGTGTTTCTTTTTGGTACGTTCCATACAATAAAATACCACAACGTAGTCATTCGTTACATTCCTTGGGTATTAATAGTATGGATCTTACATTAAATAAAAAACATTTGATTCTTTGCACTGGTGGTGACGATACAGCTCTCGTCTTAACAGCATTTTCATTGGAAAAGAAAGGGAAGGAGTCGATTACTTTTAGCCTTCGTGAACATGTTCACTACTGCCAGATTACAGGTATTGAATTTTTTTTTTTACATTTCCCTTGAGCTTAATTTATATAAATATTAACCAAAACATTTAAGCAATAGTGCTATGAAATATGTGTTTTTACTTTCACTTACTTATGTAAGTAATATATAGTAAGGGAAAGTATTGCGTAAATTATAAATTTTCGAATCTCAGATTTAAATGGAAATACACGTTTTGAGGTCTCCTGAGTCGAAATAACCAAGTCCCACTAAATAGTCTGTGTATGTTAACAGTCTGACCGCACAGAATAAAGAAATTTTTCGGAAGCTCATTTAGGAAGCCAGGACCCACTGAGGGTTGTAGAGCCATTAAGATGTATAGAGATAGATAATTATCAAACAAAAGAGGATTTCATGAAGAAGTTAATTATAGTCACATTCGCCCGAAAGTTCAGAAAAAAAAGTTATGAAGGAAAAGAAACTTTATTTGTGAATTATTCAAATAGTATACATTTTTTTTTTTTTAGAATACACTTTTAATTTCCTTTTATTATTTTTCCTTTTATTTATTATTTTTATTATTTTTTAAATTCCTTTGATTATTTAATTTCCTACAAAACAAAAAAAAAAAAAAAATTATCGAAGTTGGATAATTTTTAGCAAAAATACAGCCTATGGTAATTTATACATGTTACATTACACTAATGTGATTCAACTGAGAAAAAGATTATTTTCTCTATCTCATAATACATATCACTAACTTATTTCTATATTATATTGTCAATCGTTCACTGACCAATATACTATGCAAATTATTCTAACGAGCTGAGTAGTATTGACTTACTTCCATCCTTTTTTTAAAAAAATTGTATATTTAAGCTATTTAATTTTTTTATTTATTGATTCTAAAAATAATTTTTTTTAATTTTTTTAAAGTTTTTGTTGCTATTAAAGCTATTGCATACCTAAAATTTCAATGTTGATCTAGTTCTTCTTCTTTCAAACATGAAAATCATCGAACTCTGTCTATCTTTTTATTGATATTTCAATATAATTTATAAATTATCGATTATTCATGTATTGAAACTATTTACATTGGCAATAAAAATCTTAAAATACTGTCTGTATTCTGACTATCATGATATTGAAACTGTTTGATATTTATATCGCTACTCTTTTCAAATATTAAAAATATCAAGGCCTGATATATCAAATTATAAACAGATATTTTATTTTTTCGATATATTGAATTACTATGTTGATGTATTTGAAAAGTATCAGTAGGATATATTTTTTTATAATTTCTCAATGATTAGATCCGTAAAGTTTAGACTCCAACCAGGCTCAAACTCGAGTTACCAATATGACAATTATGAGATTAGTATTTGGTTTTACAAAAATATGTTCTTTTCGAAACTGTGTATTTATAATCTATTATGCTCTATACTGAGGAGAAGGTGAAATATGTGTTCTTTTATTCTTTGAAGAATGTTTAGTTGTAATATTTTTGTAATGAATTCTATTTATAACTAATATTTTCCATTTAAGGTTTGAAAATCACCCAAGATTATATCGTTAGTATTGGATTGGATCAGAAACTGTGTTTAATCAATTGGTCATTTGATGGAAATTTCTTCAAAACTTCTATCCTTACTATATTCAACAGCACTGTTCTCGATATTCATGGTTTATTAACGTGGCCAATAATAAATAGGTAAATGCTGCTAAGTTATTTTATAATAATTTTTTTTAATTAAAAATTTATTTGTTTTACTTTAATATTTTTTTTTCAGTGATCAAATGAAGATACTTGTTTTTGGAAGAGGTTTTGAAGTACTTCATTTCGACAGATCAAAAATTTTTTCGTCGAAATAGCTTTGAAGTGTATAATATGTGTATAAATATTTGTACAAATAATGTAAAAAAAGTTTTAATAAAATTATTTCTACAATATTTTTCTGTTTTTTTTTATGAAGTGTTAATAACATAATTATCTTGGTAAATTTAGAGATATTGTACTGTGTTATAAGATAGTATTGTGTCGTTAAATTAATAATTTAAATTATTAAAACTATAATTCCTTTTTGATTCACAAAAGTATATCTTCTGAAGATGCAATGAAATACAATAAAAGTTTATTTGGTAAGAGGTGATGAGACTTGACAAAATATTGGTGCTCAGAATGAAATGAATAAAGACACAGACACACTTTTGAAAAAAAATAACATATTTTTTTTTATTGTTGCATTTTTACATGCTTAATAATTTAAATTATTTACAACAAATATAAAAAGTAAAATATAAAATATACAAAACCTCCTCAAGAGGTAAATTCTTATTCATCAATATCATCCGTGGTATAACTTACTAATCACTTCTTTTATCCCCTTTTCTCCGATCCGCGTTACTCGTTTATAATAAATAAATAATTAGTCATATTTCAGTTTGTACTTTGTTCGACCTGCGCACAGGCATATTTCTTCTAAAGAGATACAGAAGTTCATCATCATCATCCTACCAGAGGACACGAGCTAAGAAGGATGTGGTGTAACGAAGCCATATTTATCCAATCTTTTCTCTCCCCATTGATAATTATGTTTCTCATACACCCTTTGAAATCTTCTCTCGTCTCTAAAGTCCCACTTGAAGCATTTTCTATAACAAAATATAACACAAGATTCATATGAAGTTTCTTCTTATATAATATTCTAACATTATTATATCAAAACAAATAAGAAATATTTTATGAAATTTTATTATGTAAAAATACAAAAGGGCAAGTTTTTAAACTCGAAAAACTTTACTTAACTTGAATTTTTTTTAAAAATATGTAGAAATAACTACTTAAAAATTGTTGAATTTGAAAATAATTAAATATAGATATAAACTAAACTAAATATAACTGTGTAAAGGTAGTTGATAAATAAAAACACTGTAGATACATCTACCACAAAATTCGATAGCAGCCATTTGTAATTCAATCACTGATTAAAGGAACACACTATGTTCCATCCGTGGTTTTGACATTAATGTATTTAAGAACGGTATGATAGATTTTTATTGCCTTTGATGAACTCAGCACTGAGTTTAAGAACTTGTCTAAATTGACTAAGTTATATTAATTTGATAATTTTTGCTGTGAAATTGTTGGATAATTTGATTAATTATCTTGAATTCAAGAAAGCATTGTTTTATTCGCCTTCACTGTTCAACCTGCCTATAGACCATCTATACCGCGATCTGTGTGAGTAAGACTTTTCCAAGCATTATGGATACAAGCTAACCAGCGACCAAGAATGTGGGGTCTCCCACACAGACTTCGCGGATGACCAGGCTATCACAGCCCGCTACAAGGGTGGTGCAGAGAGGATAATTAACTGTATACAGAGGATCCTCACCAAGATTGGCCTGGCTATTAATCCAAAAAAAGTGTGGGTCTAATAATAGATAAAGGAGAGCTGCAACTAACGAAGCTCTGTCTTGAGAACAGAGATCCACTCATTAAAGCCAGATGATACTGTAAAATATTTAGAATGCACGTTCTTGGGAGAGCTAGTGATGAATGAGGAAACCTTGAAAAAATTTAATGACAACTTGGATAAACTGGTTAGTTCTTGCCTTCTTAAACTAGAGCAAAAGATATTGTGAATCGATATGTGTTCCCAGAACTACCGAAGTGTGAGAGCTCTACGACAGTCGCTGGGGGAGAATTCTTTTGAAGAATGGGCTAGTTACAAGTGGCAAGGCGTTGGAGTTAGGCACTTTAAAGAGTCCCCGAAAGCTAGTAAATATATAAGCCAGAAAAAAGTACTTTCAGGGTCCGAATGGTCTAATGCCTCAACATCAACTATGCACAGTTGTGTGGAGTCCCAGGTACCAGTGGACAGTCGAAGAAAGTTGGGTCTCTCTGTTGTAAATGCGACAGAGAGTCTAAAACACCAGTCCATGTGCTGGGAAAATGTCCTAACAACTTGCTCCTAACACTCTGGCACCATAGGGTCAAATTCGAGTTGATGAGGCTCCTTAGGGAAAGGGAATTCACATACTTCAACGAGGTCTATTGTATTGATAGTGGTGGCTCAACGAGATGTGCTGTTGGTTATAGATATTATAGTTGCATTATCCAGGACCGGAAAGATGGCACTGGTCTTGGATCCAACTGTTCGCTTTGAGAGCAATGACCTCGATCAGGCGAGTGAAGTAGAAAAAGAAAATATATGATAAATGTATCCCTTTCCTAAAAGACCAATTTCAGGTTATTCCAAGGTTCTTAACGGAAAGATAAAATTTGACATGATTATCATGTAGGAACAGGTTTGAGATTTTAGGAACAGTTTTAAGGAGGTGATTGGAGCCTATCCATCACTGGATTATATATATTAAGTACTTAATATTTATATATAATACAAAATATATATTAAGTACTTAAAAATGAAAGATTAAACTTTAATTTTTCTGTTTGAACTTTTTGTTTAAAAATCATTGTTCCCATGAAATTTTCAAATACCAAAAACAAATGAGTTGACGTTATATGCTTACCCGGAATGCCACCAATATACAAAGGACTATTAGTTGAAGCTTCAGTCAAATGGCCGTTGTCAGACAGCCAGTAGCTTTGGTCAAGGTTATCAACACGTAGCGTAAGTTGATCATTGATATACGTAGCATGGATCCTATGCCACCTATTATCACATATAGCATATTCAGTCGCTAAGCCTTGCTCCATCCTGAAAGGTCTTCGGTCACCCATGTCTCCTTTCATTACAACCTAAAAATATAGTAAAAATTCTACTTATTCAAATTCATCAATAAAAAAATTGATTGAAGTTAAGGCAGAAACTGTGAAACCAACTGTTAAATTTAATGTTGTAAAAATTACAATTCCTTAAATTAAGCTAAATATTATTATTGCTCAGCAAAAAATAATCCAATTTCATTTAATAAAAATAAGATCACTACCATACATTGTGCAAAACCAAGAATATAGTAAGACATGTGCAAAGGTGACTAGGAATCATCTTCACCCTAAAGTAAATAATTAAGAAGTACAGGACCGATATACTTCAGCGACATGGGTACTAAATGAACAGCTCAATAAATATGAAATTTATTTATGAGCTGCAAACAAGAAAATGGCATAATTTATTTAGTGTTTTGTAGGAAGAAAGAAAATTCAGAAGTAATACATACTTCAAGTGATTATTTTGAAAACACTTACACAAACCAGCTTACAACATACAACAAAAATATTTAAGTCTGATCACCAAATTGTATTAGGTAAAACTTCAAAGAAGAAGTATTTAGATAAAATTGCAAGTTCTAACGACTTGATAAAAGTTCAAGTTCTAAGCTACAACTCGAACTACATCCAATTTTTATTTTTAGATATATGTATTTTTTTTTTTTTTTTTTGGTAGTTATATAATTTTTTTTAAATGTTAATTTAGAACACAAATATAACTATTTGTAAGCTGAGAGTTCTGTTTGTCAATTATTCCTTCAAGTCATTTCTGTTCTGCCTACTGAAGGTTTTAATAAATAAAATGTGTTAGAAATTGGAATTAAAAAAAAAAATTATCTACATTATTAATCTATTTATTTTTGTTTTTATTTGAATATTACAAATTCTGTTGAAATGAACTATTGATTTTCTTATTCATTTCTGTTTGTTGCAACACAGATTTACTGTATGATATTAATTGCATTAATGAAAAAAAAAAATATTTCTTACTTTCCCATCAAGAAGTTCTAAAGAGAGAGCAGGATATCCTTCAGGTTCGGAGACACTTAAAATTATTCCATTTAATTCAGATGTTCTGAACTCTAGTTCAAATTCGACTAACGTTCCCATATTAAATTTGTTTTCTGAAATTATATTATTTTATTATATAATTTTATTATTATATTTTTTAATGCAAGTATAATCAAAGTATTGAATATTTAGTTTACTTACTGTAGACAGCATAAGCATCTCCTGGAAAATAGGATCCCCTTTCTACCTGGGGAATACACTGTCCAACTCGATAAGGTGGAGTCGACTTTTCACTGAGCAGGTATTCCTCATGATTATTCACCTTCAGGCCTCTTATACATCCTTTGAATCCTTCTAATTTGTTGAGCTGCAATAAATAAGTAATGAAATATAGATGTAATTTCTATATTGCTATCTATGTTTTTACAAATAGATAGCAAGCTATCAGAGGTCTGCTATCTGTTTGTTAAAAAAATAAATTACTACATCTGTAAAAACCTTTTTAAAAAAAATAGAAAAAATGAGAAGTAGCTAAAAAAAAAAGAATTTTAAAAGGTAAGTTATAATATTTTATAAAAAGTACATATAACTTTATATAGTGAAAAATCGATCAGATACTTCTCAGCCCACAATTTAAAAATTATCACTTATTTCATTGGTAATTTTAAAAGCTTTTTCATGTTTAATAATAGGCAAGTTAAAAAGAGCTGAGGTACTGACCAAGAGAAGGGTGGTCATGCCGTTAAAATACAACTAACTTGCCTCAGGTGAGGGCAACCTAATACCTTACAACCCAGTATGTCTAGTCAGATTGGGTCATTTAAACGATCCTTAATATTTAAAGAATATATTTAATATTTACCATAAAGCATTTAAAAAACAAAACATTCACATCATTTAGAGACTAGTAACATCATATTTTTGACTTTTTGTTAGTGTATTAATAATGAAAAAAAAAAAAAATGATTTACCAGTGGTTGTGGGAGCATCACACCAGATTCGGGTAAGCCTCCGATATAAATAATGTGACCAACATTCATTTTTTTAGGTGTTTTGGTTTTTTCAGGATCAATTGAATCAACTTTAAGAGTCATTCTTCTATCTTCTTTTTCGAGGATCATCTATACAAAAAAATAAAAAAATATTATAGTACACAGCTGAATATTTGGCCAAATCATTCTGTTAAGATTAATTTAAGACAGTGAAGTACATATATAATTATGATTAATTCAATTTCAATAGTTATTGGCTTCAAATTAAATGTTGGTTCAATTCAAATTAAATTGATTTAATATAAAATAATTTTTTTTAATGAGCTTTCTGACTAAAACTTCTATTAACATTCATTAATGGTTGTACTGAAATGTTTGAAATCCGCTTTATTATTTATTTATTCATTTATAGTTAAATATTAACTATAAGATGATCAACCGATACATTAATAAAAAACAAATGTTTATGTACCTTATGCCAAACTCCATCATTAAAAACAGCATGTGCAGTTGTTTCGATTTTTCTTCTACCTTTCAAGACGATTTGTACACGACCATTTCGGAGAGCTGCCATTAAATAATGAGGTTGTTTTCCTTTGACTCCCTGAAATCAAAAGAAAATATTACACACATACACTGCTTTTTGTTGTCAGTACAGTAATACAGTTTTCCAATGTCGTAGTTAAAGTCGTTTCTTATACACATTGAACTTATAACTATTTGAATATAATAAACCATTGGGTAACCATTTACAAAGCTATCATTTCTCTATTTAACACCTGTGAAACAATTTATTAATCCCTTTCTATGTTTTAAAAATTAAATATAAGTGGAAAATAGAACCTTAGTGACGGAGCTTTGATGCACACGCCTTTTTTTTTAAAAAAAGGGAGTCCCTTTGTAACAAATAAGTTTTGTATTTAAATTGAGCACTGTTTTTTGAGGTTTCTTTATTAAATTTAAAATATAAAAAATCCATTCTTTTCGCTTTCAATGCAGCATATGTGAATTTTACCGTACTATATTAATGTGGGAATGAAAACATTTCAAAATAGTTCTTGAAATGAGATGTATGGTCTGACCCAAGGAAATATTCTTTAATCGTTTTTGTTAGTTTCCCTCCGGTCCGCCCTATATAAACACCAGACTGAGAGACTAAATCGAGTAAAACCCACACAACAGAGTTGGGCATATTTGTCTCCTCGTTCCCCCACAATTGTATTTAAATATGTGATATACAATATTGTTATATTCACATAAAATTATAGATAAATATGCTTCTTTATTAAAAAAATATTTATATTTGTTTCAAATTTACAAGTCTAAATAGATATATTTGCTATCGTATTCATTCCTGTAAATACGAATATAGTTGTATTTACAGGTGTTATAAAGAATATTTTTATATTCACATAAAAGTATGTATAAATATTTTAAATTAAAAATTAAATATTAATATTACAGCAAATTTACTGGTCTAAGTACAAATATTTGCATCAAAATACAAGTCTTTAAAAATACACACTTGTAATTCCAGGAGTGATAATAAACACAATAATATTTCTATAAAATTATGATGAGATATTCTTCTTTACTTATCATATATTTATTTTTACAAAAATTTATAATAGATATTAAATTTTCAAAAATTAATAGTTTTGGAAATCCATGTCCTTCTGACCGTGCATCCTATACATGTTTCTCATAGAAATAGATGGTATTTTATAATGGAAAAACCAAATAATGTCAACGATTTTAATGGAAAAACAATGTGACTGTTTAATAATTAATAAAAATAATTATTCTTAAGATTATATGAATATGACAATATTCTTTAATACATATGTAAATACAAGCTCATTTATTTTGTCACAAAAGTAGCACAAAAAAAAAAAATAAATAAAAAATAAAAAGGTCCTGTTTATTTGTACAATAACTGATTTTCCTGGTCGCTGGACATCGTACTCTAATTACTAAATAATTTAGAGTTTATAAAACTAATTGTTGTGTTTATAATTCACTTACAGGTATCATAAATATGAGTCCATTTGGATAGAATGTTCTGAAATCAAGTTCAAGAGTAAAGTTTTTCTGTAATATGGCTCTTCTCCTGAAGTTAAGCTCCACGTATGAATTAGGATTATCTCCAAATTTAACAGCTCCTGGTTCTAACGTATAGCTTGTTACTTTGCGACAGCCTATTGAGCTCCTTGGAAGTAGGCCATCTGTATCACCTCCGCCAGGTCCAAATCTTCCGATTGTAACACCTTCAAAATTTATAGGATGATCGAAACCAAAAATTCTGAAAAAGAAATGGATTAAAATGTTATGAGAAAAACTAGAGAAGGATATATAGTTGACTGTTAAAATTATGAGGATGACAAATAATGATGGTTTGAAGTCAATTTTTATAGTTTATTAGGCTTGCCGATGTTTTGACTCAAGCATGTGGGTCATTATCAGAACTGATAATTAAAAAACTACATCAGAAAAATGAGATATAGATAGAAGTACGTCTTTATGTTAGTAAGTAAGTCAAGATAAAAAGATGAGAAGTACACATCAGATAATGGAAATATAAACATAACCGTGCACCAAATTAAATAATTTAAAGATCAATATATAGCTGACTGTTTAAGTTATGAGTATGAAGTGGGCGAGGTGGCCGAATGGTCTAAAACGTGTGCACAGCACCCCTGTGTTACCTGAGATATGAATCAAAGATATAAAAATAGTCACGAGTTTGCATCCCGGTGCCGGGAGAGTCTTTTAAAATCCCCGCTCACACTCCCTGGCCCGGGAAAACCTCGTATAGCCTCAACGCTGAGGAAGGGGAGGACCCATTAAAAAAAAAAAAAAAAAAATATGAGAATGACAAATAATCAGGATTTACAGTAAATTTTTTTTTGATTTCTTAGGCTTGCTGACATCTTGGTGCACTGTTATATTTAATTACAATTTCCCCCTTCCTGCTATCTTAAAAGCACATATGGAAAATCCTTCCTCTACCCTCTCATCTACCTATTTAGGTACCAGTACTTGAACACCTTCAGTGCTGTTAACATAGTTAGTAATATTAAATATTACATTTGTTTAAATTTATTATGTACATTATTTATAATTTGTATAGCTTATTACGTATTCTATTAGCCTATCATATCATGTATTTACATCATTCTAAATTAGTTATTATTTTGTTATTATTACTCATACATCATTATTTATCATTATTAGATATTTATCTGTTACATCATGTCATATCTCTCGTGTTATAAACTTTTCAGCTCTGATGATGACCCACAAGCTAGGCAATAAAAATACTTTAAAATTTTAATGAACTGCACAAAAGAAATCAGAGAATGATATATAGTCAGTGTTAAAGGAGCTCATGTGTTCCCATTAATGATTGATTTAATATTATTAAAATTTCAATGCCACAGTTACCTATAATGAGTAATGTGATAAAAGGTGACAACCATAAAAAAAATTTCATTAGAAGTATGGTTGTTATTTTCAATTTCTGATTTCAGGTAATCATATTTTTTAATATACCTTAAAATCTATTAATATTATAAAGAATATAAATCTTACTAACTTTTCATTGAAAATTATGTCCTTAATCGTTCCAATAAATGGTATATTAGAAAAGGTACGACCAGTGCTGTTGAAACCTGGAGGCAGACCGCCAAAATAAAGACCACCGAGTTCTCCTGGTGCTTTTAGCGTGACTGCTCCTTCTGGCAATGTAGTTGTAGAATCAAGACTGTCATCAACTCGCAACTCCAATCTCCTTCCGTTCTTCACGATGCTAACGGTATGGAATCTAGAATCTGAATACTCAGAGCTGATGCTGGCCAAACGTACTTCTCCCTTTCCAGCATTAAGCCTGACATCTATCTGTCCTCGCAGTAAGCTTACAGAAAAATAGCTCAAACGATCCTAATGTAAAACATATAATTATTCAATAGGACATAAATAAGATGAATTAGTTTTAGATAATTAATGCAATAATGAAAGAGTTTGTGATTAGTGTTCATGACATTTCATCTATTAAGTTAGCTTTAAATCGAATATCGAAGACAAACCTGATTTTCTTTTTCTTTTTTATTATTTTTAATTGTTGGTATGGTAGCGAATTATTTGAATAATATAATCATGATATATTAAAATTAGGGAATATCAGGAATAGAAAAATTTTCTTAAAAGCATTATTTTTTATAAATGTAAAGCATTTGAAAAATATAAATAAATAAAAACTCAAACGATGAAAACTAGATATCTATTTATTTGACAACATAATAGTAGGTACTTCTTTTTATTTTTTTCCTATTAGCTTAACAGATCTTGAACACACACTTGCCATTAAGTAACATAATGAGGTTGGAAAAGGATAGATTGAACAAGCGGATCTTTGATAAAGTGATAAAACTTAAGAACATCAAAGAAAAATGAGTAGATTAAAGAAGAAATAAAGAGACCAGGGATTAGAGGAAAGAAGTACCAAGACAGAGAAGTTTAGAAAGCTGGTAGATGGAAAGAAAATTCTTTCAGTGGAGGGAAAAAGGAAGAAATGAAGGAGATGGACACAAGAGTGAAGAAAGGAGAAGGGGGAGAAGATGAGGAAGGTGTGAGAAAAAAAGGAAAGCTAAAAAATAATATATATGTGGTCCTTAATTGGCCTATATCGCGAAAAATGAAATATTAAAAAATATATATAGAAAACACTGTAAATTACAAAAATTTATTTTATTATATTGGACCTATGGGCATAGAGTAAGGAGAAAATAAGAATTAATCTTTTAGCAGCAATGTGTGAGAAGAAAAGAGAGGAGACGTCGTTGACTTTATTTTTAGTTTTTTATTTAGGACATCCAAACTTTTTTATTTTGTTTTTTATCTAACTTTTATGTAATTGAAATGTTGTATGTTGAGTCTACTGTTGCCCGAGACCAGATTCTTTCTTAACTCATATATGAGTCTACTGTCGTTAAAACATTAATATTATTTACATAGAAAATAGTCCGTTCTCTGAAGGAAGTAAAAAGTGAATATGTAGGATGACACTGTTTTTATTTTATTTTTTTATCTAACTTTTATACAATTGAAATGTATTTTTAAACAATTTTATTTTTTATACAAGCTGTTGACTCATATATGAGGCCATTGTCCTAAAAGGGTTAATTAAGAAAGGTCAAACCTATAAACTAATAAAAATTAAGTTTTATGATCTATAACATGGAAAATAATGAACTTCAGATCAGAGTCCTGTTTATTAAATATACTTCACCCATTTTTTCTGTTCTGATAAGAGTATATAAAGATATCAAACCAAAACAAAATATTTTTCATAAATTATAGATTCAGATAATTATTGTTTAATGTAAAAAATTATTGATGAAAAGCATGAACTCTAGGTGTGTCTCTGTACCCTTGCTTATGTTAAAGTATTAAAACACTGATTAAGTATTAGTGATGTGGTAAAGATGTTGGTTAAGATAAGAACAGGTGATGTTACCTCCTGTTCTATGGGGTTAGTCATCTCCTCTTTATCATCGAGTGGTCCACTCTGAAAATAAAGTACCCTCCCATTAATAACCAACAATAACATGCAAAGATTAATAACATTCAAAGCTATTATAACATTGATATGTTATATGATGAAATGAGAAAATAAAAAGTTGCCCCAGGGATAGTATGACATTAATGTGCGAAATGTTGGATTGTTATATTCTTAAAATTCTACTAATTGAAAATCTAAGAATTGAAAGAATGTTTAATCAAAGAATTTCAGGAGGTCCTGAGCTGGACATGGAAAATTACAGTTAAAGGAGGAATAAGAGATTTATCCATTGGTTATCTGGGATAGACAAAAAGGACCAACTGGCCACTTACTAGACTTGATGATCCCATCCAGTACTTTACCAGAATCATTGGAAGAAATATAATATATAATCTAAGGATGGAATGTTTAGTAATTCATTATTTACAAGGAATGGTTTTTATATATATATATATATATGGGGTTGGGGTAGCCGTGCGGGCTAAGGCGCTTGTAGTAGGTAATCAAAGTTAAGCAACGTCGAGTGTGGTTAGCACTTGGATGGGTGACCGCCCACCAGGGAAAGCCACGCTGCTCGAGATTCCTCTCCCCTGATATGTGAAGCCCTTCAGTCTACTGGAAGCAGAACCGGGATGTGGTCTAGGAAGTCACATCTCGCGGTCAAAAATATTCATGGTCTGTAACGCCAACCAAAAAAACAATATATATATATATATTTTTTAACCTCTTCCTCACTTTTTAGGCTATACGATATTTCCTGGGCCAGGGCGTGAGGGTGGGGATTAATGTCTGAATTAAAAGCGTTTTTAAAATTATTTTATTTTTTAAATGAGTATTTGAAATGTTACAGATGTAAAATTGTTGGATCATTTAAAAACTAATAAAAACTGTACGGGGAAACATGGGAATCTGATATAGAAGCCAATGGCTAAAAATGTGTTTTTTGAACTATGGGGGCATTTGAAAATTTGTCCCACGATACTTTCCTTATGTAAAGGAAAGTACGACTACGTCCGGCGTTGAAACGTCAGCAAAAATTAAAAAAAAATACTATATTTTAATTTAGTATTTATTTCACCGCATACCCAATTAACTCCTTCTCATATTATATCAACGGTCAACCATCTCTACATCATTATATTTCTTATAAATAATATTTAATTAATTTAACTGTACTACACAAGGATTTTATTTAAAATAAACTTCTGAAAAAATTAATGTCATACTATACCCTGAAGAATCCCTTTATCTCGATTCATTCTTAAGTAAACAAATATAATGTTAATTAACATACATGCAGTTGAAACAAATTTTTAGAAATATTTTTAAATGTGGTAAAAGTAGAAATAAAATTCCACTTATAGTAAGATAACTTATATGTGATACAAACAAATATTCTATAATGATTATCATCATTAGAACTTTTAATAAATATTTACTTAAATTGATTAATGTCCAAATATGAATGAATAAATTATTAAACTTCACTGAATTAAAAGAAATGTATTGCTTATCATTAAAATAATATTACTTACAATTGGTTTTGAAATTAATGTTTTATTCATTTATGAAATATTTTTTATTAATAAATTAAAAATTTTAATGGTGAATATCATTATGATTAAATATGAAGCTGTTAATTACTTGATCATAATACCATATTTTAAAAACATGAAGGGAAGATGATATGTCTTAATTAAAATTTATATGAGTTTCATAGAGAGAATAGTGTTAATAATGGTTAGTAAAGAATTGATATATTTACCAGTCCTTCGAATGTAGACAACATTAAAAGTGCATCTCTCTGCGAAGTTGAGAAGACAAAACCAAAATTGTCTTTTTTTTTTAATGTGTGAGAAGGCAATTCAATGTAGCCTTGTCCATGAAAGCCAGCAACAGTAATAGACTAAAAATAAAATGTGTTACTCATTTTTCAATTTAAGAAAACTAGATTAATGTAAATTCAAAAAATGTTATATAAATTAATCTAATCCATGTTTAAAGGATCAAACCAATGTTTTTTTCAATACTTGTAATTAACCAAAGAAAAGAAAATTATTATAAAACTTCATTATTGTTTTATACCAAAATGTTTACAAATTACAATAACATAGGTGATAAATATTCAGAGCGTAGTGATCACAAAATTTTTATCGGTGCCAACATTTCAACCCAAACATGTGGGTCATCATTAGATTCTTACTAACTTTGTTTCGAGCACTCAGTAGAAATAGAAATAGAGAATAATTGGAGAAAATAGAAATAGAAAATAACTTTATTCTGGAACAAAGGCACTTTAGAATAATAAAATTAAAAGACTACATCTGGCCTAAATAAAACAATAACAAAAAAAGAAAAAGGGAAGAAAATATTAATTAAAAAAGCTATTAATGACTGTGTCCTGAATATTTATCACCCATGATATGTAGAATAGTCGATAAACTTCCTTCAAAAATTAAAATAACCTGTTTCTCAGCTAACAATAATGGTCCGAATTTGATGTTTTTTTTTTTTGTTTTTTTAGATAATTTAGTAATACTCCGTGGTGTAGCAGACCCATTTTTATCAAATTATTAACATCAATCTGAAACTTTTTAAATAGCTTCATCTCATCGTAACCTACAACTATTTTATTTAAGAAGATTTTAGGAATAGGGACACTTTCAATCAGGAGATCATCAAACTTTGTCTATTTAATTAGGTACTAAAAACTCATAAATATCTATTTACTTTCCACTTAAATCGTAAGATAATTTGAGCACAAACTCAAGAAATAAGGTGGCCTTCAAAAATATTGAGCCTTGGTTTGACGGCTTTAGAAGTGGGAAATCCACAGTGGACCAAATCTTTTTCCGAGGACTATCATGGAGGGGGGGGATTGAATCTAATATGTCAACCTACCATTTTGTAGATTTCAAGAATGCATATGACAGTAAATGTAAAGTTTCATGATGTGTCTTCGGGAACATTTCCTTTTTCTATAAAATATTCTTTTCTGCAATATTTCAGGAGGTAAATAGTTTTTGATTATTTGAAAAGATAATAAGTATGAAGTAAACTTTTGTTTTGTTGTCAATATCATCAAATCCAATGATTGAGCCTTCATTTTGAAGATTAACTTTTCCTTCAGGTGGGAAAAATAATTGAATCCTCCAGAAAAGTCAGGAAAAAAGGAAACTTTATTTGCTCATAACTCAAAAAGTATATATACATTTTATGGTTGGTTTTACACACAATAATTAGAAAGGTTTCCAAATTCCTTAATAAAAGGAAAAAAATCAGGAATTGGACCATTTTTAGAAAAAATACAGACAATTGTAATTTGTACATATTTTTGGTCTATTATTTTGAATGAATACATTATAATCGACAAAAAAAATAATTAATTCCTTGTTGAAAATATTTTTTGCCAATCGATCATAGACCAATAAAGTTTGTGGATTATTGACATAGGCCAAAGTAGTAAAAAATTAATTAAAAACAAATTTAACAGCTGAAAAATGACTATCGTAATACTTAAATTACATACCTTTTTAGAACAAGAAGCTTGTATTCCCCAGTTCTGCCCTTTCAATAGGCTGTATTCACCCTGATCGATTTGAAGATCTTTCATACATCCTAAGAATGAACCAGGAACATTCACTTTAAGCTTGACATCTGGAGGTAAACCACCGACATAATAACTTGCTGAAGACATATCAGGAATCATATCTTGGCTTGGTGGTGGAGTTGGAGCACCATCTCTCTTCTCCTTTCCAACTTTCAAAACCCCTGAAACAAAATTTGTAATTAAAATATTTTTTTAAAGTGACCAAAATATCTAAGACCTGCGAAACTAACTTACCCTTTTCCAATTTCTTTTTCCTATCAAAATAACGACTAGCTTCTACCCTTGTCCAGTTTCCTGTGTTGTACTTCTCAAAAGAAGACATTTCTAGAGTCGATTCTACACCATAATTTATTCTAAACACTAGTCGTCCGCCTTTTAATGTCAATGATATAAATCTCTCCTGAAAATGAATGAAACATTTAATGAATTTATGAAAATATAGCATTCAGTAAACGAAAAGTAATAAAAAAACTCTTTTACCTGTTCTGGTCCAATTCCGATAAACAAGAGTGCATTACTATCATATGTTTTAAATGATAAGGAAACGCTAAAAATGTATTTATTGTAAGCACTAACACTATCATGATGAAGAACGGCATAACCATCTCCCAAGAAAGTGAATGAAGAAATATCTTTACGCTCTTCAGCACTGTAACAAATATATAACTTTTAAAAATTAATTATAGGATAAGTTAATTGGGTACATATAGATTTCAGGTGATATAGAACATTTAGATTGCAGTTTTTAAATAATAAAAACAAGGTTCATATTTAGCTAAAAACTTGAAATAGTGTGGGAGATATGGTAGGGTTTGTCAGCATGGTCTGGGTCCAACTTGGCTAATAAAATACAAATGAAACTGAATATTTTTATTCAGAAATGACAGGGTGAAATTTATTCCTTGGAAGAAAGTTTTGAAGCTGGCAGCATTACTCTGAGTTAAAAAGTATAAGATACTCAATGTTATAAACTAGGCCATGAAGTGCTCAAGTCTTCACTCTCGTGACGTAGCTCTGTCCCCACCACTTTTCTTTAACAGTAATTATCATTCAATAGTCAACCTACCATGAAATGTGGAGGTTTAACCTCAGTCCATCTTCTTTAAGTGTTACTATGATTCGCCATATCCTTCATTCCATCACAAATCAGCCTGTTACTCTCCCAATTTTGAGGTAATCTGTATCCGAGGTAGTCTATCTACCTCACAGATGATTTCCTTTTATTCTGGCCTCCACAAATCATTTAATCTTCCTTTCATCAACCACTCTCCTCACATGGCCAAACTATTTTAGTTGGGGCTGCTCCACTACCTCTCCAACTGGCGAGTCCCTCATGTTCTCTCAGATACTTTTATTGCGAATCTGGACTGCCCTAGGACTGGCCAATTCTCCACTCAATAGAACAAAACTGGTAGAACTACTGTTTTAAAGGGAGGATTTTATCTAGTTGTTTATTTTCTTCTTTCTTTCTGTGGAGCATATTTGTAAGTATACTCCATTCACTTTTTTCACTCTATTAAGTACCTTGTGATCTATTTTTCCATCTTTGCTAATTATCAATCAAAAGTGTATTTTCATGTAAAAATTAAAATTTTTAATTAGAACGTTGGTTAAAAAGATACACATTTAACAGAAAACGCTGTAGTCGAGTCAATGAATGATATATCTTGAAAACGAGGTGTGACAGACAAAGCATTGTATAAAAAATTAAAGCTGATAAAATTTCCTTCATGAAAGTTTATATTAGTTTCTTTTTATCTGCTATAATTTTTTAGATATCCACTAACTTAAATTGACTATTAAATTTTGTGTTAGAGGATTTCTCAAAAACTATAATAGATACAAACAAAAAATTAATATAAACTTTCTTGAAAGAAATTTCATCAGCTTTATTTTTTTGAACAATGCTTTGTCTACGATGCCTCGTTTTCAAAATATATGGGAAAATCTGGAAAAGTGACTTTTACAGCCCTCTCTCCACCATGAAGCAGAAATTAAAGGGGTAGGGATTTTTAGTATGTTGATCTCCTAAGGACACACAACTAATTCCCAAAGTCAAATGCTTGTCCATCCTCCATGCACTCTACAAACCCTTCGTTGAATGGACTGTGTGATAATAAGATTTAAATATCTTAAGCAATTGTAAAATCCAATTTTTCCACAAAATATTTTAATATTCAATTATGGAGAATTTTTACTTCACCGCATAGTAAACAAAAATTAAGTTACACTTAAATAATTGAGTAAAAATCGTAGTAAACTAAATCATAGCCCATAAAATGAGAATCATACTTATAATTATCATATTTCTTTAAATAGAAGTGTAAAAATGAACACTTACCCTTCCACACACGCTGTACAAGAGTTTGGATTTTGTGTTGTGAAGTCCCACAAACCTATCGGCCTATCATTGAGATATAAATGATGAAGGCAGCCAACAAGCCCTGTCTGGGTTGACAGCAAGTTGTTCTCATGTCGTCTGTCTGCTGCACCACCGACCCAAACTCGATCTCCTGGAGCAACGTCAAGCCTCCCAATGCCTGGAGTTGAAGAGTTTGTAGCAAATGACATGTTAGCGAGTACAGATCCTTCAGGAACAACGACTGGCCTCACTCGTAAATGGCCAATATTTGATACCCTAAGGACATAATAACATTTTTTTTTAAAATCGTTACTTATTTCTTCCTGCTTACTTTTGTGTATAATGTCCAATCTCTCTGTATCAAATAGATTCCATACAGTCAGTTCTTTACTTATGATTACCTTTACTTATATTCATTCGAAGTTACAACATAACAATAACAATTCTTTTTTTATTTTCATGATCAATTATGTGTAAAACTAGATGTTACAACAGATTTCTCAACTGATGCCCAGACAAGTACTGTATGTTTGAGAATAATGGCCTTTTACTCTCAGTTTTAATTTGAAGTTTCCTATGTTTCTATTAACTTATTCTATGATTGTTTATTATTAAAATAGAAAATGTAAGTGATAAAAATTAGAGAAAGAAAATAGCTCTAAAAATAAAATAAATTGGGTGTCCCGTAAGTAGAGGGAAATATTTAAAAGGTCGATAGTAGACATCCATATCTACAAAAAATTTCATACGAAAAATTGCCTAATTTTCAGAAGAAAAGTAGTTAATTTAAGATTTTTTTTTTTTATGTGTCACGTTTTTAGTTAAAACGATAACTTAAAAAATATTTCATTTAGATTATTGAACATTGGTCCATAGTAAACTAAACAAAATTTACTTCAAACAAAAGTTGATTTTAATGTTGTTAAAACTATTTCAAGAGGACTATTGAGCAGACAAACATAGATAAGTTTCGCTTAAAAAAAAATTCATAAATTATTTGTGATTTTTTTTTTTTATCACCCTTTAACTATACTACATTTTCCCTAAGTTTACAAAAACGTCACCATTTAGTAACCTTTATATCCATATTAATTTAGTTGACATTTATTAGGAAAACTTTTGAGATTTACTTCAAGTTGTATAAAGAAATAATGTGATTTTCTATCCAGTCACCTTAAAGTACCCTTGTTTTCTGCAATAATTACTGCAATTAACTGTTGCAAAGCTTTTATTTCTTATTTTTCCGTTATATGGGATGTATTGTAATGAACATACTTGCCTAGAAACACATTTATTCATAAATATAAAAATAATGATTTTTTAAAATATTTTTTACGTTAAGTGGTTATGAAACTTAAATTAATATGGACTTAAAGCTTACTAAACGGTGGAGTTTTTGTAAAAGCGGGGAAAATTTAGTACAGTTAAAGGGTGATAAAAAAAATCACAAGTAATCTTTGCCTTTTTTTAAACCAAACTTAGCTGTGTTTGCCCGCCCAATATTCCTCTTTAAATAGTTTTAACAATAACAAACTCTACTTTCATTTAAAGTAAATTTTGTTTAGTTTACTATGGAACAATGTTTAGTTACTTTTTTTTTTCTTCCTTTTCGCCTAAGTAACGCCTGCTTGATCAGCCATGCGTGCTCTTGCAGTCCAATATAATTTTGCTCTCCTAGCAAAAAGGCTGTGCATTTCACTAAAGGAACATCTCATGGCTTGTAATGCAGGGCATGTATCAAGATGTTCTCCTGTCATCATGTCTAAGGAACACAGAGGGCATGTCGGGCTATCTTTTATACTGATGCGGTGGAGGTGCTTCTGAAGGAAATCATGCCCTGTGAGCATTCTAAAGCATGCTTTCGTTTAGTTACTTAAATCAACTACTTTTTATGTTATTTCTACCTATTAAAAAAATAACATCTCGCTTAAAAAAAAGCAAATATTAATTAAATTTTCTATTTTTCTATATGAATGTGTTTATAGATCTTGATGTCTACTAACATCCTTTTAAATATTTCCCTCTAATTATGGGACACACTGTATAAAGTAATAAAAAAGCATGAGCAGGAAGACAGTGTCAAACCTATCATGAATAATTGTGGAAGACCTTGTTTAAAAAGAAGGCATCAACAAGGCGAGATTCTTCAAATCTCTTCTCCAACATTATAATTTTTAAGTGAAATTGTAATTTTCAATTCAGTTTGTTTAACTTTGTGTTTCTCATTGTCAATATGGGTCCTTAACAGAAATCATTAAGTATGAAAGAAAATAACTGTTAAAAATTAAAAAAATATATATTGTAAAAAAATATGATTTACTTATTCAAACAGAATATTTAGGAGATATAAGAAATTATTAAAGTTTGATAAAATCGAAGCATTGTTGAGATGAAAAATTACCTTTGATATGTTATTAAAAATAGAGTTATAGTTGCCTGTATTAATAGAAGTTGGTTAAAAGTGCAGTGAAAAATGAAAGTAAACAAAAAACATGTTTTTCTTTAGGCCAACATTGCATCAGGGCTGCTCAACTGAAATCTTCAAAACAAGTCCCACCATAAGCAATTGCTTTGAATGAAAAGGCTCCAATAGATCAGAGATGTTGCAGCACATGCAAAGTCCCTCTTAAGATTTTACGAAGCTGGTATAATTATATTATATAGTACGAAGTGAAGATAATTACTTGAAGAAACAGTAATTATACAGAGGACTGGTACACCATATGCTAGAAGGCTTTAGTCTTCAAGAAAGAGTAGTCCAGAACTAGTTAGCTCAACTACATTGCCAAGTTTGTTTGGCTTCCACTCGGACAAAAGATCACAATGGAAGCTTCATCCGAATTAGGGTTCTCATTCTTCAATTGACATTGTAAGTAATTATGATAAGCAAAAACATCTGGAACCAATATGAACTATGTGAATCTAAGCACGAAGCTGTGAAAAGGATGCGAAACACTTGGGTATCAAATGTATTATTATCCATTTGCAGTCATAAACACTTGCTTTGAAGATCTTAAAATGAGCAACACTGATGAAGGCCTAAAACTTGGATGAAACGCCAGCACAAAGAAAATAATATTTTTTGTACTTTCATGTTCTATTGCACGTTTAAACAACTAAACTGTTTTTAGTATGTCAAGGTTGATTTTTTTTTTTTATCTTCCATATATAGAGGTTCGACTGTGAATACATATCTGTATACTTTTTTTTTAAATGTACAAATATTTGATTTAGTTAATATTAATGAAAATCATACCTTTCTGCTTCTACTTTGTACCAATGCTGATCTTTGCTCAGATCTCCAGCAGTTTGTATGTGATGAGGGTGAGTAACTTCGCCCAAACCTCCACCAACATTCCAAACAAATCTGATTTTTCTGTTCACCATTTCAATAGCAATGAAATCATTCTGAAAAATATAAAATGTTGTAGATATAAACAAAATGAAAAAAAAAAATCATTTATAGGTCAATCAATTTCAAATAGTCCAACACTTGTTTGATTAGTTCAGAAAATAAGAATTAACAATATTTGTTGAATTATATATGATTGAGGTGCTTGTGATATTATGAGTAAATTAATTTATATACTATAATAAAATTTTAAAAATGGAAATCAGAGGTGAATGTTCAAGATTAAATTTATACTAAAGTTTGATACCATTATACCAGAGGTTATACCATTTCCTGAAAGTTTTCCAGATGCAATATCACTGGGACCAAAAAAATTTAAAATTCAACAGATAAGAAGTTTGTATGGTATGAAATTCCAGTATAAATTTTATCTTTCAGATCCAACTATCAGAACATCAACACATGGGCCTACAAAATAAGTGGTCTAGCAATAATTTTTTTTTCTTGACTGCTTGAAGTAGACTGACCCTCATATGTAAATATACTGAAATAACATACTGTTGTTGAACTTGGCAGGTAAAACAGAAGTGCATCTCTTAATTGAGAACTGATAGCATATGTGAGAACTACTGAAGTCATAGTGCTTGGTTCTAAGTGATCTGGTTCATAAGTTCGAACACAACTGCCTCCGTTATCACCGATACTTGTCATCGAGAGCCTTATCTGTAAAAACAAAATAATAACAAAAACATATAATATAAATAATGATAAACTTCAAAGATAGTTGTATCAAGTTGAATAACTTACGCCATTAGTTACATGATGGGCTTGCGTGATTTTATTTCTAAGCGTCTCTAATTTACCAGAAATTGTATCATTCCATTCAGAGAAAAGTTTTGTTTGTTCATTTAGACCAAAAGTCATTTTCTTAACCATATCGTGAGCTTTCTTGATGTTCGATTGTACTTCATCAACTGATATAAAATAATAAAAAAGAGTTATAACATGAGTGAAATTTTTTACATCTTGAACAGTCTTAATTAACTTACTTATATCTCCAGTGTTGAGACTGATTTCCCCATCATTTTCCAGTTGTTTTACCCTTCCTCTTAAATTTGTTGATATATTGTGTGACAAAAATGAAACACTATCCATGATTTCCTGAGTTGTTAGCAAAGTGTTATCACAGTTTATAATCGTTTCCAAAGATGAATTCTTTACTATACATAAAACATATGATTTACAAGTTAAAAAGAAACATGGAAGGTAATTGCATTTGCCTGAATATAGTTTGATCATTTTTCTGTAAAATGGTTCAACCCATCTTCAGAATTGACTTAAGTATATTTTGATTAAAAAGAAAAAAGAATTTGAGTTTAACCAAACTTTGAGATTGTAGTAACTTCATAGTTCATTTTGGTTTCTAATTTTGTGATAGGAGACTGGTTATAGTTAATATTAAAAATTGGAGGGAGAAAATGCAATGAAGAAACTTTTTAAAACAGAATCAGGGACCATCAACAGGAAGTGTTTAATAAACTTTAATCATAGCTCAAAAATCTACTAAAACAAATTAAACAGATTAGTTCTCATATAGTGATCAGAATAGTGGTTTTGTTTTTGTGTTGTTTTATGATTTGAACCATTCAACAATTTTAAAATGATTAAGATAAAAAAAAATTGTCACATGAAAATTGAAATCTTAACGTTTTGGTTTATTTTAAATAATTCACTTTTTTAACGTATGAAGAAAAAAAAAATGTTAACCCCCCTCAAAATGTAATGTTTATGTTTCAGACAAGGACATTCCGAAAATTGAATGAAAAAAATATTTTGGCTAATTGTATGTGATGTTTTCTTGAGAAAAATTTGTGACTTAGTCTTGGAACTACTATGCTGATTTTATACGGATCTGGCACCAAAGTTAGAGGTGACCCTGGGTATCATTCGAACACAATATTACCATTTGATATATTTCAAAATGAAGGCTGATTAGACATTTATAGGGCAATCTATATGTCTCGCATTTATAAGGGATAAAGCAAAAACTGTATGTCTGTTTTATGAACTCTTGAACAGGTGCACTGATTGTTTTGTTTTTTGAATGGGGTTTTGGCCCTCAATGACTATGTACTGAATTAGATAATATACACACAATAGAAAAAAATTTCTATTAGACTACAGCCCCAAAAAGCCTGTAAAGATTTTAATTAAACTTCGCCTATAGTCTTCTCCTTGAATCCCTTAAAGTACACGTGTATATAACATACTTCCCTGAAAAGAAGATGGAAACAAAGTTAGGACGGATGCAAAATTTTATTTTTGCAATCACTCATCGAACTATTTGTAGCAAAGATATGGTGTTTTGAACTTTGAAAGGCAATCTCTTTTGCTTTTATTGGTAACTCAAAAGCTATACCTATACTGAAGCATTCGAGATCGATTATTTAAGAGACTACATAGCTTACAAAAAAAAAAAAAAATAAATCTCAATCTTGACAAAATTAACAAAATATGTTAGGAAACTGTACAACTTATACACCACATATATATTATATATAATTATTTGGAATTAATAAATCATTATGTAATAATTTATGGCAGCTTTTAAATCAAATATTAATTTTTTAAACATTTGAAAGCTTAATTCTATAATTTCAATTTAGGTACCTATGTTTTAATCTCAAAGCTTCATCATAACCATTTCAAGATATTATGATGACCTCTTTCTAATATAAACATGTTTATTTCTTTTTGAGATATGTATATTGAGTTTGGGAATTTATTTCATATTAGTTACCTGATTTTTTCCTATATTTTCTCCTAAAATATATTTTCAAATTGGGGGGAGGCAACTTATATTTGGGGCTGACATATATTTGAGCAAAAGCAGTTTTTAATACAATATATATAAGAGATTCATATATCATAAATAATGATTTAGATATTTAATAAAAAATATAACTCACCAGATAATAATTGATTTAAAAGCTCATTAATTTGTTTGTTGATGTAATTGTCATCGTTTGTAACATTTTTTATTTTTTCTTCCAGCTTATTTAATGATTCGGTATATTGATATAAGTCAGGAGGCAGCGCATATACCCTGTCCAATTGATCCTGGGCACGGATACTCAACTCATTTGATATTTCCCTCGAAGATTTTGACTGATCAAATAATGAATCAGTGCCGACACCAGGATACGCCTTGAAATAAAAATAAAGTAGATATTAAAACTAATTTCAAGAAAAATAAATAAAAAGTTTTTCCCTGCTTAGACATGTGACCTGATGTAATAATATTTATAATGGTGGAGAGGCATTGTCGATTGTAGAACTAATTATAGGAGAAGAACTTAAGAGATTGTTTTGTTATCATTTTTTGTTTTTTTCTGTACATCTGATTGAATAATTTGATCTATCAAACTTATAAAAATTGTTACATATCTTCCAATGGATGAATTAAACACATTTAATACAATGATCTGTCAGTTTTTTTACCTCACTTTTTTTCAAAGCACTCACAGGATGATGGTGAACCATCAAATATAAAAATAAGTTCAGCTGTTCAGCTGTTGGTAAAAGTAATTGTTATTTATCTACAAGCGGTTTAAACACACAACCTTATAAACATATAATTAGCTCCACTGTAGTAGAATAAAAATGAAATTAACTTTAAATATTGAATTAAATTTACTGCAAAAGCTTCTCATATCTTTCCCTTCCTTTTTTCAATTCATTATTTTAAATTTAAAAAAATATATATGATTTGCACAGAAAAAAATTTTTATTATCTATTTGTATATGGTCACTCATGTATACGTAATTATGGAAAAACACTGAGATATCATGTTTCAAATATATCAAAGTATAGAAATTTAAAATGTGGTTTTCTTGCAATAAGAGGAACTTAATAACTTTACCAATTAAACTATGCATAAAACAAACCTAAATAAAAAAAATGCAATCTTGTATAATATTATAAAATTTCAATGTTTTAGGTCATTGTAATCAGCACTTTTCATTTTATGTCAAAAGAAAATGTTTAAAAAAATCTTGAAAGGTTTGAAATTAATCACTTCATCGATGCTTTCTGTATCCTTATAATTACATTAGCAGAGATGTTTCTTCCTGAAGATTCTGGTCAACACTCCCCCCCTGTACTTGGTATAATAGCTTTAGGATAGATTCATCGCCTACAGCTAGGATACCAAAGACAAGGAAGTAACCATCAATTAGCTGGACTTGTATGATAAAAAATAAACAGAAAACACTAAATACAAGTTTATTTAGTATCAGCCAGTGGCGGATCCAGGATTTAATTTTTGGGGGCTTCAGCCCGAAAACTTTATATGCATATGTATAAATATATATATATATATATGAGTGTGTGTGTTAAAGAAAATTACTTGGGGAAAAAAAGAAAGAAACTAACAATCTATATGAAATGGTATGAAGTGAATCTTGAAGTCTTATATGAACAATAATACTTTTACAGACAATTTTTTCATTAAACATTGTTATATATAATATATACTATTATTTAAAAAGTTATTGTATAAGTATTTGGCTTAGAACACTCATAGTAACAAAATTGTAACAATGAACAACAAAAATGTTTCCATTTTTTTGGAGGGAAGCTTCAGCCCGAATTTCCTCCCTGTAAATCCGCCAGTGGTATCAACAACAATATAGTACAATTTTTATTCTTAAAAAAAATCAAAACAACTTAAAAATTAATAATAGTGATGCTTAAGATGTGATACCTGAAACTGCTAAAATAATATTTGTTTTTACTACATCATTTATTACACTGTTAAATAAAACAGAAAATATTATATTTTTATATGCTTTCTGAAATTGAACAACAAAAATTTGTATGATTTTTAGATAAATCAGATTAAAAAAATTATTTTGTCTCTAATATACTATTCTACTAAGAGTTTTATATGTTACATTTCTTTAGATGTAATTATATTAAAAATATACATAAATCTAAACAATAAGTTACATTTAAAAAGTTAATACATAATTTAATAAACAAAGTCAATTTAATTTATTACTTAACGTTCCAATATTTAAACTTTTTTAACAAAGGAGAAACATCTAAAACACTAAAGTCAACAATTAAACATAATAAATAATATAAATATATATAATACAATAGTTCCAAAATAACATAGTATACAATCTAAATACAGGTTTCATATACAATTCTCAATTTTTTGACAGAGAACTTTACTATCAAGTTCAACCATACTATATCATTCACTCCACTTTTCTTTAATGCAATTAATCTAATTAGTTTGAATTGAAATAATTTGTGGCATTTTCCCAATTTTTTTTATAATCTAATCTTGACTAATGAATAGAAACAAAAATTTCCTGCAAACAATATACAATTATTAATACTAAAATTCCATAATAACAGAAGTACATTATTAATATACCTTTTCATAAGCAACATCTGCAGCTAATGATGCATTCTTAGCTGCATCGAGTGCCTCATGAATTGCATCAACAATATCCTGATAAGCTGTGCTCGCTTTCATCGCACTTCCAGTGTCTTTCTTGAACATACTGAAAAAAACAAATGAGCTAATAATAATAATAATTCATGAACATTATTAGAATAAACCGACAACTTGCTTGGCTATGTGGATGATCTGGTCCTGTTAAGCGAAGACACAGAAACTATGACAATGTTAATGAAAGCCAGTGAAGAACTAGAGCTCAAAATAAACACGGATAAGACAAAATATATGGTTAGCTGCAAAAATTGAAGTTTGAACATGTAGAGAAGTTTAAATATCTAGAGTCTACGCTAATTAGAAAAACAGAATTGAAGAAGAGATTAAGGTCAGGCTGAAGGCAGGTGTTATTTTAAATGTTTTTTATTTTTCTGTGACAAAACTATTTAGCTCGCGCCTCTTGTCCCGGAACTTAAAAACTAGAATCTATAAAACCATTATCTTACCTATAGTTCTTTATGGATGAAAAACGTGGCTGCTTACATTAAGGGATGAGGAACATCTTAAGGTTTTTAAAAATAAAGTATTGTGTATAATATTTGGACCGAAGAAGGATGAGTTAACGAGAGATTTCAGACGGTTACACAATGCTGAATTGCATGAACTACATCCGGTTAATATAATTGAAGTGATTACATCGTGGCGTTTCAAATGGGCTTGTAAAATTGTTGGGCTTACTAACGAACGAATTCCTAAAAGGTTAATATTTGCTGTACCATATGGTAAACGTCTGAGAGGTAGACCGAAGCAAAGGTGGGAAGATTGTGTTAAACCTGAGCTGAAGGGATTGGGTTTGGACGGCGAATGGTGGAGGGAGGTGTGTAATAAGCGATTGGTGGTGTCAGCATTGAACCTTTGGATTTGCTAAGCCTTTTATTATTGTTAGAATAAACTTTAAAATCCTAGAACCATAAAGATATAACTGGAAAATCAATAATGTAACTAATTAAAAGGGAGTTAGACCAGCGGTTCTCAAACTTTTTTGCCACAGAATTTGTTAGGCTAAAACAGGTTTACAACACACTTATGGGGTTTTAAAAAAAATTGAGATTGTTACTTATTTTTGTTGCAATGTATATAAAACAAATACAATTATTCCTAATTATAATCTTAAATTTGATTGATTTTAATTTTAATTATCCATAATCAATCAATTAATTTGCAATATACATATAAATTTATATATTTTAGAATAAGTATTCACCAAATTGATAATTTCAACCATAAATATTAAATAATGAAATTAAATATTATTCCCACGGCACCCAGTTTGAGAATGCCGATATTAGAAAATCAATTATAATTTCAAATGTTTATATAATTTCATAAAAATTATATCACATAAATATTCAATAGTTTTTAATTAATTATCAATTAAAAAAAATTCCAAGACCTAAAAATGTTATTAGAATGAATCGTATTAAGTTAAATCTAAGTTTCATTAAGCCTAATTTTCACAGTGATTCTATATGACATTTACAATATAAGTAGTACTGTCGCAATATAATAGATTTTGGGAGATATTTGATAGAACCAGTCACGAAGCTTTTGTCATGTTAATGCCATGTTTAAATGTCTAACTATTCATAAGGGAATGACAAGAACTGCCCTTATGAGGAAAATAACTGGCTCTAACTGGGGGAAGATATGATATCAATAACGCCATTATATACTGGATACATTAGGCCTTCCTTGGAGTATGGAATTACCAGCTGAGGGAACACTGCAGCCTCAAACTTCCAGAGGATCTCAACTGTGCAAAACCAGGGGCTAAGAATTATGACAGGGTCAATGAAATCAAAGGCTATTGAAAAAATGGAGTCAATTGGGAAACTCCCCTCAATAGAGGATAGAAGAGATGTGAAACTCCTACGCCTAGATGCAAAAGCAAAGTCCGTTCCAAATCATCCCTTTCAAAAAAGGATGAAAGAAATTAATATACACAGGCTAAAACAGCAAAGCATACTTCACAGAGCTACAAAGCTGGTTTCTGAAATCTACGAAAAACATCTACAAAAAGTGTCTGTGGAATGGTCAACATCAGTAGAAGACAAACCTCCCTGGTTTGAATCTCTGAAACCACAAATTGTTCTGTCCATTCCTGGTGTCAAAAGCAAGCAGCCCCAGAAACTCTTGAAATCTCTTTCACTTCAACATATAAATACCAAGTGCATGAAAGAATCGTGGACTCGAGTATATACGGACGGACCGTCCACAAATGCAACTACGAAGGGTGGGGCCGGTATCCTGTGAGGGTGAACAGAATGTGGAACCTATGCTACGAAATTGCAGAGTCTACTCCAAGTAACGGAGAGTGATCTGGTCTTCTTCAACTGAAGTGGAAAGGAAACTATAAGGAAACCTGGAGTACATGAAGAGGACTACCAAATTCTTCATTTTAGTTCCTGACCTAGCCATATATGGAAGAATACAGAAGATGAAGAATGTTTAACTGTGAACAGTGAACCTTATCAATTACACAGATTCTAAGTTAATCAATGTAACATAATGTTTTTGTGTTATTTAATTCTTAGGAAAGGAATAGAAATGATTTAACTTCGTGTTTTAGCAATTGTTATAAATGTCTTTAATTAGGTAATTAGATATATTTGTATTAACTTTTTTTAATATTAGGTATGATATGAAGTTTCTATATTGATTTTTTTATTTTTTTTTTATCATAAATGAATTACATGCCTAGGTTACAATAGTCATGACATCAGCTATTCTATATCTATGTTTTTTCAACTAAAATCAGGTGTGAACAAGTCATTATCTCACTGTATGGTAGAAATTTTTACTCAGAAACTCTCCATTCGACTATTTGAACTAAAAAAAAGTTTCTTACCCAACATATTTCTCTGTTGTATTCATTAAATCATCAGCACGTTGCCTAGCTAACCCTACGTATTGATCATAATATAGCTCATTGTTGTGGCGGAGTATATTCGCACGTTTCTGAATCAGTCTAGTTGAATGATGCAGATCATTTTTCAGAGTCTTGATGGCCTAAACAAATCAGTATAAAAACAAAATTTTCATGATGGATAATCGAAAATGAATAAACTGAAAAAGATAAAATACATACTTCTAGGTTATCATCAGCTTCTTGTATATTAACTTTGGTAACTTCGTTCATATAGTTAGTCTTGTTGAGAACTTTATTAGCTTCATTGTAAGCATTTTCTATTTCTCTAAAATTATTTCTTAAAATTTCAGTCTTATTTTTATTATCTGTGTTCAGTTTCACTATCTAAAAAAAAAAAAGATTAATAGCTATTTGTTTTAATATTTCAAAACTAAAAATCTTAATTATCAAAATTATTATACTTACTTTGTCTCTTTTTTTTAATGTTTCGTCAGCTAATCTATCAAAATCATCCATCTTCATTAACAAGTCTTCCAGTTTGTCAGCCAATTGGCGAACTTCATTTCTCTCTCCAAGAATATAATGAAGATCATTAAGTGTATTATTACAAAGCCTAAAATAAATTTATTTGTTTTATTATATTTTTGAATTTGATAGGAAGCCATATAATTCTGTATAAGGCCCTTTTAAGACTTCTATTATTTTGTTCATTACTTAAAAGTCACAGATTAAATCAGCCTAGATTTGCGTGGTGCGAAATTGCCCCATAACTAACACTAACTCCTATAACACCAAACATCTCTTACATAACCTAATCCTCGTTCTAGACCATGGGTCTCCAAACTATGCCAAATCTGGCAATTAAGCACCTCCAATCCACCCTGTGGTTTCTTTGATTACATGGTAAAATTTTAAAAACTATTTAAAGATATGAAATTTAGCTAATCTTTCAAACTTGAGATTATTGAAACATTTGTTGTTAGAATTGTTTCTCTTAAAAAGCCAATTTTGCAACTGAAGTGTCATTAATAAACAAACATTTTTTTATCACAAGCAATGGCCCACGGAACTTAGTGGGGTCTCAATGTGGCCCACCGGCCAAAACATTTGGAGAACTCTGTTCTAGATGATAATATCCTAATGAATAAGATAAAAGATGATCAAAGTTCTTTATAATACAATATTTGTCTATTAGTCTAACGCTTCCCAACTCAGATCATTATATGGTTAAATTGAAGCTTAGACAATGCCTTGCATTGATAAGAACTGCTCAACGACACTGTAGGAAAAAATGAGAGGTTGATAAGCTGAAAGACCCTGAAATTGATGAGAGATTTAGAACACCACTAAATAGGAATCTGATAGATAGACAACAAGTGGAAGAGGATTAGAGGAGCTATTGAAAAGTCAGTAGAGGAGGAAATAGGCGAGAAGAGTAGGCAAAGGAAGGAGGAGTGGTTTGATGCTGAATGCCTCGAGGTCCTGTGTGAAAGAAATCAGTGTAGGACGGCGATTTTGCAGTGCTCTACAAGACAAACCTCTGCTGCATATAGAGAAAGCAGGAAGAAAGTAAAGAATGTTATTCGAAATAAGAAACAGGATTTAATGAAAAGAAAAATAGAGCAGGTTGAGGAACTGAGAGCAAAAAATAAGACAAGGAAATTTTGTGAAGCATTAAAGTGTATGAGTCAGGGTTTTCAGTTAAAAATGAACAGATGCAAAGATAAAAATAGTGTGGTAGTTGAGAGCTGCCGAGTTCTAGGAAGATGGGAAGAGAATTACACGAAATCGCTTAGCTCTAATGGTAATGAATATATGAATGGCAGTGATGAGAAAAGGTGTGTTCATGATCTGAAGCCATTGTCAATAGAAGAGGTGGTTGAGGGGATTAAAAAAATAAAATATAACAAAGCTTTTGGAGAAGAAATGCTAGTTACAGGATTCTTTAGATACGGAGGAGAATCATTGATAAGCCAAATATATTCACTGTTGGAGTATGTTTGGAATAGTGAAATCATGCCTCAGGAGTGGTGCACAATCTGATGTAACCAATATATAAAATAGGAGATAGACTCCAATTTGAGAATTACAGAGGAATTTCTCTATTGGCTGTAGTCTATAAAATATTTTCAAACATCTTCTCTGTGAGGCTCAACGTATTTACTGAGAACATACTGGAGGAATACCAGTGTGGATTTAGAAAGGGGAGAGGAAGAACTGACCAAGTTTTTGTTATGAGACAACTAATGCAAAAAACCTGGGAATATAAGATTGACTGCATATGATGTTCATAGATTATCGACAAACTTTCAATAGAGTGATAAGAAGCAAATTAATAAATGCGTTATATGAGTCCCAAATTCCAAAAAAATTAATAAGGTTTTTGCAAATGACAATGAAAAGCAATGTAAAAGTAATTATTAATTGCAAAGTAAGCAATAATTTTCCAATGGCAGATGGGATTAGGCAAGGGGATGCTTTGTCTGTTACATTATTTAACTTTGCACTTAATAATGTTTTGAAAAAACTGGATTCATCTAGTTGCATACTTAAAGCAATGGTGCAAATATGCACTTACGCAGACGATATATGCCTAATTCCCAGGAATTTGAGGTCAATAAATGAAATATTTGCAATATTGAAAGCCGAAAGTGAAAATGATGGGCTGGAAATTAATCTAGAGAAGACAAAATACATGCATGTCAGGGCCGACAATAAGTGGTCTCACCTTCGAGTATGTCAAAACATTCACGTATCTGGGGGTGGAAGCGAATTATGAAAATAAAATTGCTGCTATGATAAGCATAAGGAGCATCGCTGGAAACCGGGCGTACTATACCAACATACAATTTTTTTATTTTTTATTCTTTTTCTTTCCAACCTCGCCTTTTAGGCTATACGGGATTTTCCCGGGCCGGAGGTTGAGGGGGGAATTTAAAATCCCCTCCGGCACCGGGACGCGAACTTGCACTTTTTTTAATCTCATAACTTTGGTTATCTGGTTGCCTGTCAAGTCGCGGTGCTGTGCACATGCGTTAGCCCATTCGGCCACCCGACTTCCTTAAAAGAACATTTAGTTAAAACTAGGTATATAGAATGGTTAGGCCACGTGGCTAGAATGGACAGTAGTAGGATGTCTTATGGGGCATTGTTTTCTGCAATGTATGGCACAAGAAGAAAAGAGAACGACGGTTGCAGGATGTTGAAAGCGATCTTAAAATACTGGGTGTGAGAAACTGGAAGAATAGGGTGAAGAATTAAGATGATTGGCAGGCTATAATCCAGGAAGCCAAGGTCCACTACAAGCTGAAGAACGTCATAGTAATGAAGTAAGTAAGTCTAGCGCTAGTCCAGTGATCTATGAATACTGTAGAAGATTCTTTTATTACAGCTGATTATTCAATAACTTCTAGATAATAAAAAAGATATATAAAAACCATAATTACCTAAGTACTTCATTTCCGTGCCTCTTATTAGCCTCAAGATCTGTATCCAATACCCTCGCTAAGACTTGTTTCGCCTCGTGAAGCATCGCTGAAGTACTTATCTGTTCTTTGTCGCCTTCTGCATAGGTGAGCAAGCGATCTATGGTATCTACAATTAAAATAAACAAAATAAATTTTCTAATTATGTTCTTAAAAATTAACAATACTCTGTCATCTGCAAAATGATTTAATTTCATAAAAAGTCTTAATAAGATATAGTCTGCAGTATAGACCCTTCTTTATTTGGGGTCATTTGATGTGACCTCCACTTCCAACATTTCAAAATAATGAGGTTATACAGCCTAATGGAACAATATTTTTGTAGATCCCCTTTTTTCTCAATTTTATTATCAAATTAGCTTAAAATTCAAGTGGAAAGCAAATAAGTAGTGATGAGTTTTAATTACCTTATTAAATAAATCAATTTAAAGACTAAATGTCTTATTTCTGAAAATGTTTGAAGATAAAAAAGTTGAAATGAATGATAAGATGAAGGCCATTCACAAAGTTTTTGATATATGATAACAATTTGATAAAGAGAAATCTGTCCTCCATAATATTAATATTTAAAAAATTATTAAATTTATTTATTTAGCTATTAAAAATACAGCAAATTTTTACCATAAACTTCTTCTTTAGTTGCACCAACTTCACGTTGCATGTCATCTGTAATTATTTTTAGTTCTAAGGCAGATTCTAGTGAAGTTTCGCCTTTCTTCTTCGCCTTTTTTACCTTGAAAAGATAATAAGGATTATTTAATATGAGATGCATCAGAATAAATAATATCATAATGTTCTAATTGTTCTACTACTCACTTTGTTCTGTAGATGTTTCAATTTCATTCTAAACTCGCTCTCTACATTGTTGTTCAAAGTTTCAGAAACTAGAAGATTTTCCTTAGTAGTGAACCAAGTGTCATTAAGATCACTAAAGTTTGTTCTAAACGACATCAACGTCTCCCGGGGAGGAGCAAGTGCACCAGTAATAATATTGTAAGTATTGTATTCAAGAGATTTTGACAAATTGCTGACTGTGTCTAATAATAATGTAACACATGGATCAGAACATTCTGAAATAAAAAGATTGAATAGGATCATTAAGAATTTAAAAAAACAATTAGTATTTTAAAGGTGAAATTTTATACAAAAATCAACTGGATTAAATATAGAAGGAGTGTGTGTAAAATTATTGTTGTAATATGTTTACAACATGCATGTATGTAATGTAATTGTTAGCTTTAGATCAAATATATATGACAAACATGGCATTTAACAATGAAATAACCTTCAGAAATAGTCTTTTCTAATAGTACTTAAACAATCTAATCTAATTATGCAGTCCATAACATAACGTAATATATATTTTTAGACGAAACCTGAGAATGGTTAGTACAATAACCAAAACATTGTCAATGAAAACCAAAAACATGGAATAAATATACTGCTAAAAACTGACTTACCCTAAATAATTTCTAAAATTAATACTAAATTTATAAAAGAAATATATACTATAATTGTAAAAAAAAAAAAGAAGTGGTATCTCTCAGACCTACTGGTACTGGGTGGAGAGAACTAGTCCGGCAAGTGGGCCTATTTTTACCAACCCCTGACGGCTACCTTTAAGGTTGCAGCTGCGTACTTGCCAGAGTGAGAATGTCACACCGTTTCCCGGGGCCACCGAGAAATGAAATGTAACCGACTCAGGTGGGAATCAAACCCACAATGTTCAGAACTGGACACTCTGGAACCCTAACCCCAATGTGCTCAGCCATCCTCTTCTCTCAGACTAAGTATTATACAGTACAATCTCTATAATCCAAAACCCCAGGTAATTCCAACAAGAAAAAAAAAGTTAAAGTTGATTGATGAGAGAAGGAATGGAAATGACTCAGTTTCTCAGTACCTATTACTGGAATTGCTTTGTGTGGTAGTGTCAAAATAGTATAGTGGCGTCTCTAAATAGAAAACATTAAACCTAGGCAGTCATCCAGAAATTGAGAAATCTCTTCATATGTGCCTTTGTAGAAGAGATCATGAGAGTGTCCAATTTCCAGGAATATATTATAGAATGGGGTGACTCAGTGGTAGTGCGCTCAGCTTCCAATGCTCAAGGTTCCAAGTTCGATTCCTGGCTTATGGCAGATAAATTTTTTATTTGGTTTCATTTGCCATAGATCAATCTTGGGGTCAGGAGACCATCCTGGGGCACACCCAGCCTCTATAAAGTGGTTACCCTGAATTAATTAATTGATTAAAGGAGAAAACCAGACAGTTGAGCGTAATCTCTGTCAAATCACCTCCTTGCACAACTGTTGATCAAGAAACAATACTTTTCCTGCATAGTACTAAACCCAAGACCCTTCATGGGTTGTAGTGGTACAGCAAAAAGACAAAGCATATTATAATGGCAGTAAGGTTGGCTTGATTTCCTTGTAACAACAAAATTCTGACAAGTATTGTAACATGCACTATAATTTAACTGAAAATTTTTTTTTTAGCCTTACATCCACAAGATCATTGGGATTGTGGTTCTGAAGATGGGAGTAAATATCCCGAAACGTAAACTTGTAAACATGCAATTTTGATAACACAACAAATATATTCAATTGTTGCTAATTGGAAATAATCATTGCCAAATAACTAAGTATATCATACAACTTCCCAGAAAAAAGAAAAAAGAGCAGTTGGCTTGATATTTCAAAAGTTGGTATGGAATAATTTTTTATATTATTTTTTATTTCACGGAAAAATTTCTTTACACTCATTTTATTTTTCACTATACACAAGTCATAAAAATGCCTAGCAGACATTTAATATTTGCTTAAAGTGGAAATACAATGTCGACTACTGAAGCCTGGTACTTTTAAAGAATTTTTGAGATCAGGCGTTTTCTATAGCAACAAAATCAGAGACTCAACATACATTATATGATTATTTTCAGAAAAAATGTTTTTGTTTGCAAAATTTTTATGTCCAACTGATAGTATATATTTTTTGTTACTTTGTGCATTCTTTTCATCATTTTAAATTTAACCTTTGATAATCCGAACAGGCCATGCATCTATGTGTTCGAATTATCAAGACCGTCCTGTACTTACCCTGAGATCCTGGAAGGTAAAAACTTACTACATAATTTAAATTAGTAATGAAGTTTAACATTTATTTTAAAAAATTACATAATTATAAATATGAACAGGCCATGCAATCTACGTGTTCGAATTATCAAGACCGTCCTGTACTTACCCTGGATCCTGAAAGATAAAAACTTACTACATAATTTAAATTAGTAATGAAGTTTAATATTTATTTTAAAAAATTACATAATTATAAATATGATTAAACTTATTATTACCTGAGCAACCACTATAATCAACAAGAACATGTCTTGGGAAAACACACTGAGAACAATCCCTACCAGTTACATTTGCTTTACAAGTACAGAATCCTTGTTCTTCGTCACATTCATCACTTAGGCTGCCAAATTCATTACACATGCAAGGTTGACATTTTCCACCAATTGCTGTTGGATGTCCATACCACCCAGGACTGCACCTACGTAATTTAATAATGGTCAAATCTCTATACAACAATGTGTTTTAAATACTTGAAATCAGAGCTTAAAAGTTTTATGAAACTATTTAAATTAGTTCTAGTTTTGGTGAAACTTTTTTTAAAAATAAAGCTCTAAGGAACTTTAATAAAAAAAAACTGGATTTACTATAAAAGATTAACTGTCTGTTGTTTTATTAAAAAAAATATAAGAAAAGGAAAATAATTAGAATTTTATAGAGATAATGGTATATACAAAATATAACAAACCTGTTACACAGAGGTCCAGTATAACCTTCTTTACAGATGCAGATAGGATCCTCATTTGGCTCAACGATGCAGGTCTTAGCAAAATTTTGCTCAGGTGAAGGGCAAGGGCACGGAAGACAATCTTTTCCTTCTTGTGGATTACCATAATATCCTTCGGCACAGAATTCACAATTGAATCCAGCAGTATTATGGCTACATTCCTGAAATCAAATGATTCTGAGAATGCGAGATTTAAATTTGAATCATGTAATCACTTCTAGGGTTTTTTAAATACAGTTTAACCTCTATATACTGAATATGAAGATTCCTCAAACAATTTATAATTACTTTAAGAAGGAATTTGCTAATAATAAAAGTTAACATATATAGTTATTAATCACAGATTAGAATTTATGAAAAGAAAATTACTTGTAGTTCTCTAAAACTGTCATGACTCAAATTTTTCAAAAGTTTCTGCCAATATAATATATGGTTCCACTGGACCTAAAACACAGGCCTCTGTGGAACAGTTCCAAAGTGTTTCACTAGACCTAATAGGCAGGCCTTTGTAAAAGTTCCAAACGACCTTATAAGCTGACTTTAGTAATACGTTAGCTTAAAATCTCTGTTTCACACTTAGTAGTTTAAAATGGTTTCACACTTTGACTGTTTCATTAACAGTTTCATGAGATTCATCCCATCCCTACTTACAAGGTAACTCTTCTTAGCTATCAATATAACATATTGAAACTGTCTTCAGCCAATTCATAAATATTTTATTAATATAATCAACATAAAATTATACCACTGTGATGGCTTAATTTCATTCAGAAAAATATTTGAATTATTCTAAATACAAATAAAATTAATGAAAATTGTTTATTAAACTCACACGACAATGTCCAGTTTCAATATCACATACAGAAGATCTGCCATTGCACTCACAAGGTTTCGCTTCTCCCACCAGCTGTATTATTATCGTAGAAGTTACCATGGGACTTTTCGACCTAAAAAATCCTAAACTCGGGTCTTGACATGATGATGAGTTGTAGTTGACTGGACAATCACATAATTCCAAACCATGAGCTGGATTAGTAACTTTGGTTCTAGATGGAGTTCCAGAATCCAGAGAAACATCTCGCAAACTAAACATTTTCAAAATTAAAAGTTTATTAGAATATTTTATATAGTCTTATAACTTATAATAAAATAGTTTGATTTTGAATCAGACTAAAAACACTTTTGATTTTGTCATTTAATATTAAACTTAACAACAACATAGAATTATTGTTAGTAATTTGAACCTTTCGATGGGCACAAGTATTATTCAGATACATAGCTGACATGCTTGTCTATTTTTTTTTTTGGATATGAGGGAAGAAGAATTTCACACTTTTTTCTATCGTCCCTTTTCGATACTTTTTTTATTGATTACTCTCTACTTTGCCATTTCTTGCATAAAAGAAGGGATTTTTCTTGAGATACAACTAAACCTATTCTAATCAGAGTGGGAAGGTTGAAAATCATTCTGTGGGTAAGCCACAAAATAAATTTCAAACCGGTGTCACTAGACATGAGAATGCTAAAATGGGCAACATTATAACAGGCTCAGCCATTACGACCTCATCCCTCTTTTCTTAGTTCAGTTCTATCTAACCTTGTCTAATTATTTTAAACATGAAATAAAAAAAAAAAATAAAAAACATGTAAATAATTGTAATACAGACCAGGTTTTTATCTAAACTAAATAGTATTAGTAAGTTGTGAATAGGATAAATAGTTGACCTAATCAAAGAGAACATTATATAAACAGCATCAATAGAGCGGGCCAGACTGAACTATCGGCTGATCTGTGACAGCTCCATTCCTCAATGGCCCAGCCTCTCTGTCTGGCATGTTCCTGTTACATTTCTCATTCACAGATAGATGTCAGCAAATATTTTATTTGCTATTATTTATGAAATAAAATATTAAAATTATTTTACACTAGTTTAAAATAAAATTCTACCTATTCATGCTAGTTTTTAATACTTCATTTATCATAAATTTATGAAAGAAAATAATTTTACAAATATTTTATTCTTGTTTAAAATAAAATACTACCCATAGAGATTTTACATGTTTTTAAGATTAATACTGAAATCAGACAGCCTTGTAGGATTCTTTAATATCATCAGAAAGTCAGAGCCAACAAATTTGTTTGTCATTCAAAAATAGGCAATATTTGTTTCAAACATACCATAAAGATAGTTTTTTAATAAAAAAAAATGTAGGCCATGTTTGACAATCAATAAAACAAGAATCACCTACTTCAGATGTGAACTTTGTGAATGTTAAAATCATTCAAGAAATATTTACTTCACCTCAATTATTGGAGATTTCAACATGTAAATAATTATTGTGATTAACACAGAACTAAATTTTGTTTAATTTTTCATGAGCTGATTTATAATTTTTTCGACAAATACTATTTAGTTTTTTGTTTGAATAACCTCAGAAATAGTTCAAATATTGTTTTTTAAATGCAGAATTGATGTTAATAAAAAAAAAAAAATTTTAACTGATTTAATGATAATCTTAACTATGAGGTAATTGCACCTGTTCTCATTCAATTAGGAGATGTGCCGCTTAAAAAATAATTAAAATGTTGTAAATAGGATTATATCTCAAAACAAATAAATAGAAACAACTAACTTAAGCTTAAAATTTTACCTTGCCTCGGTAAAATCAATTGAGTCGCTGGCTCTTATGAGGACGTGTTGGACATTTTGCAAAGTAATCATCAGCATTTCCCTGCTTACTTTTTCTTGAGGATTGTTTTTCACTTTCCAAAGCGATTCTTGCAGCCTGAAAATTTATGCCAAAAATTCTTAAGAGGAAATGAAAAAGCATTTAAAGATGGGAGAAGACTTTTGATTTACCTTACTTGATGACATTTTGTCGGATTTGGCAAAAGCGGGAAATGCTCAAGAATTAATTTATCATTTCCCTGAATTTGTATTAGAGGATATGTTAAAAGGACAGTAGACGGAAACAGTGTGTGTTCGCCTTTAGTCTCAACGCAAAATCTCAAGTAACCACCATATGAAAGCACCTTAATGTAAAATTAAAATTATATGAGGTAAAGTAATGAAATGAGGATAAATAATAAATGCATTAATTATAAATAATGAATTACCTTATCTCCGAGGAAGTTGTCTGGCAACTGCCAATAAACAGGAGCATCGAAGAAATAATTTACTCCCAATTCAACATCACCATCATCACTTGGAATGATTCGAAGATTGTTTGTTAAATTTAGCTGTTTATCGTCTTTTTTCACAATACCTCCATTTCCTGGCATAGCAAGCTTAATGACAATAAAATAGATTATTCTATTGATAGTTTATTTTTAAAAAAGTGCAAAAATTTAACAATTAATGATAATTACATTTATGTAACATATTTCTTGAGTATTAACAGGATAGATGTTTCCGATGAATGATGAGTCATTATCATACTTAATCATCAGGGTTCTTGGTCTAGGAATTCGAATTTGAGTCCAAGTAAGACCAGCATCAGAACATTTGGTACTGCGACCGAAACAGAAGCATTCCGTACAACCATTAGGATCATCATAGTTCATTCCAAATGTTCCGTCTTTGCATAAGGAGCAATGAAGGCCTACAGCATTTTCCTGTAATGTTTAATTTAAAAAATGTATGTATTATTATGTACATTAAATGTAAAGACAAACAACTTAAGTCTTCTCTTTTACGCTTCCTAGTTAAATATACCATCTTAAAATTTTTTAATATTTTGACCTTACTACCGTTCCTACCTTACTGATAGATACTTTAAAGTAAATCACAACAATGTATATACATCCCGTTTTTCCCAGTCTGCAGGTGTTCCTCAAGGTAGTATCCTAGGTCCTATCCTTTACACAGTTTATACAGCTGACATCCCAACACTGTCATCACCACATATGGTGATGACACATGTATCCTATCAGTTAATAACGACCCATCTATTGCATCCCAAACCCTTCAATCCCACATCACAAACCTTGAAGAATGGTGTCAGAACTGGAGAATTAAAATAAATTCCAATAAATCCCATCAAATTACCTTCACCCTTCGTCGTAAACCAATGACTTCCTGTCCTTCAGTATCCTTTAACTACACCTCACTTATTCCTGTTGAACAAATCCGTTACCTAGGACTCCATCTGGACAAACGTCTAACTTGGAATCCTCATACCAGACTGAAACGACAAGAAACAGCTCGACGTTTCCGACTACTTCAACACTTACTAGACAAACGCTCTAACCTTCCAATCAATTATAAAAGACTGATTTACATGACTATAATAAGGCCTATTTGGACTTACGGGGTTGAGCTATGGGGCTCCACCAAGCCTTCAAATTCCTCTCGCATACAGTCCTTGCAATCCAAAATCCTTCGTAAAATCCTCAATGCTCCTTACTTTGTTACAAATAAAATTATCCATAATGACCTTAATGTTCCTTATGTATCAGATTTGGCCCAATCCAGATATCTGTCCTTCCATAATAAACTTCATAATCATCCCAACCCTCTTGTCTCTAACCTTGCTTCCTATTTGATTCCTGATAACCCTTCGAGGCGTCTGAAAAGAAGATGGCCACGTGATCTTCTAATATAGACATATTATTAGAGTGCTACCAGTGGGTAGTTTCTCAACATGTGTTCCATGTCTTTATACCAATGTGCGAATTTACCAGATGTATTTTTTGTATACAGTTGTAAATATCATTTAAAATAAATAATAAAAAAAAAATAAAAAGAATTTTTTTTTTTTTTTATATTCTTTCGATTGTTTACACTAATTAATAGGTTCATTGTTATTTCAAAAAGAAAAGTTAATGTGAATGCACATTAAAAGATTCTTTTTTAAGTTGTATATCTAAACAGGAACTCACTTGATAGTTGTCAAGCGAGAAGTTCTTATAAAAGAGTGAATGGTCATTAAGCAGATAGATTTAAGTCTCCCTTTAAATAATGTTAATACTTAGGGCTCAGTGAATTAAAGGCGACATCCCGTCACTGAGACTGGGGCTGCCCCAAAAGCTTTCGCCAGTCAATACGATCAGCAGACTCCAAGTAGAGCCTGTTTGTCCGATGTCACTGAGTCCTCCTATCTTACATTAGGCCTGCCAATCTTTCTTTGTCCATGCATCTTTCCAGACAGCATCTTCCTGGGTATCGCCAAATCATCCATATGTACGACATGTTCGGCCCATCGAAGTCGCCCTATCTTGATAAACTTGAGCAAGTCTATATCCTTATAAAGGCCTGCGAGTTCAGCATTTCTCCTTTTCAAGATTGATCTTTTAAAGATAAGAATTCTATTTTCATCTTGCTTCTTAAAGGCCCATGTTTCTGATCCATAAATTAAAACAGAGCGGACCAAGGTTTTGTAGAGAGTGATCTTGTTCCTGTTAGAGATAAACCTGCTTCTAAACTGCTTCGAAAGGCCAAAGTAGCACAGTCTCGCCGTTGCCATCCTCCTGTTGACTTCTCAAGAGATGTCGTTTTCGGAGTTGATCTTAGACCTGAGGTGGACAAAGCTGCTTACTTTTTCGAAATTATATGATCCAGCCACAAAAGAACCGAACTCTGGTCCATCTCCTCTGACTCTCATATACTTGGTCTTATGAACATTGAATTTCTTTACAGCTTTTGCAATATCCTAGTTCCGCTTCGTGGTAATCCAGACACTTATACAGGCAATAATGAGGTAGTGATCTGAATCCGTGTTTGCTCCTTTAGATGTTCTTACTCCAATTAAATTTGACCTACGACGAGAGCTGATTAAGATGTGGTTGATCTGAATGGTAAACACTCCATTAGGTGATCTACAGGTAGCTTTGTATATATTATTGTATGGGAACAAGGCACTTCCGACCATCAGGCTGGTATAAGTGTCACAGTAAGTGTTCGCAAAGTCAATCACTCTTTGGCCATTGGCATTTATTATTAGCTCACTGCCCTCAAGTCAGATGGAGGGATTGCCTCCTTGGAGCCTCCTGACCAGCTTGTAGTAGAGTTGTCAGGCTCTAGCTTACCTCATCGGTCTACCAGGCCTACCGAAGAGGCATTTCCCGCCTGCGGCACGGGGAGCCATCTAACAACCCTTACCTACACCTTCGCTTCTTCACTCTAAGGGGCTGGCCATCATTAGGTGATTCCCCTACTTACCAAAGGAGGCTTATGTCAGCAGTCAGCAAGTGAATTAAATTTGTAGTTTACTAAATTTTAATTAGTTCTATTTTTTTAACACATCCAGATTAACGAGATTCTACTGTAACTCCTACTGGTTATTTTATATATTAATAAACAATTGAGTAATAAGACTGTAATCAGTCTCAAAAAAATATTCTCTGACAATGAGGGAGACCATTAATATTAAATCTATGGTATACTTGAGTATTATAATTGTTTACAATAATAAAAAATTAAAATTTATTAACTAACCTTACAAGGACATTGCCCTGTGTTGTCACAATCACAAAGACCCTCAAAACAATACTGATTTTTAGTTCCAGTGGTATCACAGCCACATTTCTGACATACTGGAAAACCATAGTAGCCCCTTGAGCATGCTTGGCATTTTGGACCTTTGTAACCTTCTCGACAATGGCAATTCCCTGTCAAAGGATCACATTTTCCATCATAAGATCCATGTTTATCACAATCACAAGCCTGGAAATTAAACATACATTCAAAACATTATTGAAAAAAACACGATCAAATAGTTGAATAGTAAAAAAAAAAATGTAAAAAGGTAAGTATATGAAAAATATAAAATTTACAAAAATATTTATGCAAATATAATAAAATATTTATTAAATTAATTTCTCAGTCGGTCTTCTAGAAATTTAAAGATAATAACAAAATAAAACAACAAATATTGGCTTGAAGAAGTATAAATTGATGAAAACATCACTGAACAATTTACTTGCATATTTTATTATTCAAAAACTATTACTGTGATAATTGGAACTAAAATAACTTAATGTGCATACCTTGATATGTGATGCATACCTTTGACTCTGACTAAAAACAAATAGGATAATAAAAATAGGATATTATAACTTTTTTTTCAGTTATCTCCTAACTTGTGATTTCTGCCATACAGGAGGTTGTTTTAGATGTACAACCAAATCTATTCAAACCAGAGTGTAAAGGTCGAGATACATTTCGTGGGTCTGGCACAAAATAAATTTTAACAGACCCAGGACGGATTCGAACCGGCCCCACTAGACTCAAGAATGTTGAAGCGGATATGTAATACATTAACATGTTTAGTCATAAGAAGATGAAGAAAGTAAATTTTATTCTGCGACATTTAGTTCCCTACGAATAACTACAGTGAACAAAATAATAACAATTATCTGGTACTATAAGAAGAAAATAAAAAAAAAATAATTAGTTAACATAAAAAAAAAAAAAAACATAATAATCCAACATTAAAATAAAAATAAATTAAGTACAAGTAAACATATTCATTTGCACATAAATATATAGGAGTGTGTTCACATATTTGTTCTGATTACCAATATTATTAATATATGAGTAACAGTAATGAAGGAGTCAGCTCTTAAATAAGAAATTTTGTTCTTACTGTATTCCGAAGATTAATTGAATCCTAGAAAAAGGTGATGAAAAAATGTTGAAATAGGAGTTAGTCATTCTGTCATCTGAAAGGCTCAATTAATAATTATTTTTTTCTTTTGCAGTTCACCAGTCATTTCTGTGGTTGATGCTGCCCTTCAGTTAAGAAAAACCAAGATGGATTATTGGACACATCATCCATCCATCACAACCAGAGTCTTATAAAATTCTGATGGTATATATATTTTTTTTCCATGATTCAATTCATGTATATGTATATATATTGATAAATTTGTTGATAGCTAAGAGCCTTCTCCCAGTTCTTGCATTCAGACCATTGTTACAGTTCACCAATAAACCTGGCTAAATATGCTCTCCAATCCTCTCAAAAATTTTGTTTTAAATGTCTAAAAGATCTTGGACCTACTTGATTATTGAAATGATTGGTTATGAATTGGTTATTATGAAATTGGTTGAAAAACCACAAACATATGATGAATAATAGTGGAAAATACTATACATTCAATACTTAAAATTATTCAATTACTATCATAGGTATGATTAAGGTTTTAGGTTACTATAGCAAATGAAATTTTAGAAAAAAAAGTATTACAAGTTATTGAATAAATTTTGTATTTTTCTGTGTCATACTACAATTGGATCAACCTAGTGGACTAACTTAAACTCTAAACAGAAAATTAACAAATAGTTTTGTGATTTTTTATTTTCCAAAAAATATAAAAAGACATTAAGAAGGCTTTTGTTTAGTTTAATAATAAAAAAATTGCATTGATATTTAATATTTAATTAAAATCACCTATTAATTTTATTTGAGGAGTTGGTCGGAGATGCGGTCAATATATAGTACTACATATTATAATAGTATAATGCCAATTTTTCGACCTATGTTGTAGGTCTTCATCAGGGCTACATAAGATACAAACTATTAATATTAATTGGTACAAGATAAAAAAATAAAACTCACTTACCTTGAACCAATTAATATTTTTAGTTTGTATCTTTTGTAGCCCTGATGAAGACCTACAACGTAGGTCAAAAAATTGGCAAATCCTATAAAATACTGTTGTAATATATAGTATTATATATTGGCCGTACCCCTGACCAACTCCTCAAATTATAATCACAGTCAACCATCGCCACACCATTATTATTTTATTGTTATAAAAGCCTTTACTATAATTTTCTTATGTCATTTAATTGTGACTAACACACCATCTGGACTTTTGAGCTGTGTCAAGTTCCTACTCAAAGAGTTATAGTTTACAAAAATGATATATTTTACCTTGCAGCCATGTTGCGGATGAAAACCCCAAGTGTGTTGCAAACATTCTTCACATGCCAAACCTGTGGTGTAGGGTGGACAAACACAAGCACCTGTGTCAGGATCACATACATGTCCAGGCAAGTCACATGTATCACATTCTAAAACACATTTATAAACATAAAATATGGTGACAGAAATTATAATTTCATACAATCTTATTGAGATAAATAATTTAGCTTTCTTACCTGAGCATCCTTCGGAAGACATGTTGTAAAATCTTGGAAGACACTGGTCACATTTCAATCCTCCTACTCCTGGTTTGCAATAACACTGTCCAGTTTCTTGGTCACACCCATGCTCTTTAGAACCAAGAATGTCACATTCACATTTCACACAACCTGTACTACTCAGCCCCCAGTAACCAGTCTAAAAATCAGACAATAAAACAATTATGGTAAGTTTAGTCATATAAAACAATGGGATCAGATGTTAATAAAAAAATACACAAAAAACAAAAAAACAATAATAGTAAAGAGTGAAGAATGTAGTATGCAAACCAAAATTTATACGGAGTTTGAGAAATAAGTTTGGGCTTGGAATCAAAATTGGATGTTTCAGTAAAGGTTTTCTTAGATTAAAAACTACAGCTGTAGTAGATAGCCCTCAATATTTAATTCTCTATGTGACATTGTGTGAGGGAATGTATAGGAAGGTGAGGTTGCACGTTAAATTGTACTCAATTATACAGTGGACAAATTATTCATTGAAAAGTCTCATATCGATAAACAATCAATGAAGAAGAAAGCTAGAAAAAGGACGGAGCAGGTAGCAACAGCTGGAGGAGGACACCGGAGAAGAGAGAAGGCACTTGAGGTGGAACGACGTTAGAAGTCTACTACAAGATTTAGAAGATCAAGCCTACAGTTATAAGACTTTAATAGATTCACTTATTACAGTTGTACAATAAATTGTTTTGTTAGACAGGAGTGAAAAGTCATTTATTTATTTAGTTGTCTTATATGCCTTACGATTGAAGAATAACAAATCAGGTGAGTCAATTCATTCGAAGTGTATTTACTAAGTCCCACATTTCATATATATATATATATATTGGTTCTATATATATATATATATATATATATATATATATATATATATATATATATATATATATATATATATATATATATATTTTCTTATTGTTTCTTCTCACTCAGTGTCACAAAAGTATTAGATTCCCGAATTCCCAACAACAGTTAAACACCCTCAAAAAGTCTATATCCAGTGCCGAGGTTTTGTTTTAATATTCATGAGTGTAAATAACCTAGTCCCCCGATATAAAACCGGAAGGCTATTCACAATTCCCGCCAAAACAAGTTCTTTACATTTAACTTTATTAGGTTATTTACACATCATTTCTGTTTAAAATCAGTATCATAAGAAATACAAAAGTGAAAAAATTTTAATAGAGATATAACACATATCCTACAAAATGTTGGAATGGAAATGAAACATATTCAATTTTTCTTCTGATTTAATTGTTGGCCATGGAGATCGGATACATTGTTAACAAAGAATATCATCAATGTCTGGTTTTTGTAGGTTCCTTCAGTTTATTTGCAGTGTCAAGGCTAGTGAGCCAGGTTCACTTGTAGTTAATAATTATTTATTTTCAGAAATTTCCAATTTGTTTAATAATAATTATTGTATCAGTATATCAATTCTTCATTGAAATATAAAAATTTATAGCTCTTGTTTTCATTTTTTGTCATTTAACAATATAATGTGAACGAACTAATATAAACAGCCTCACCTCACATATACTACATGTGCGTCCAACTACATGTTCCTTACAACTACATTCTCCTGTTATTGCATCACAATCAAGACTTCTAGATCCTAAGGTGTGACAAGAGCAGGCTGTAAATAAAATAATATTTTTTTCATTATTTATACAAAAAAAAATTTTACATATGATAAAAATTAATCTAACATAATACCATTATGTCTATGAAAACTTACAAGTACAACCGGTTGATGAAAAACCATAATGTTGAGGTAAACAGTTTTCACATAAGAGCCCAGAAACACCTGGGTGACATGAACATATACCAGTAACTGGGTCGCATATAGAAGAAACAGCACCAATCTTGTTACAGGCACACGGCAAACATCCAGCTGACACATTCCCCAATCCTGTCTGATAAGTAATACTTTTAAATGATTTTAAGCATTTCAAAACAAAAAATAACAATAATTTTAAAAAACATAAATACTATACGATTATATCAGAGATGAAAGCAAAAATAAACTAACATACCTCACACCTGTCACATGCCCTGCCAGTGAATCTTTCCTTACATTTACACTGTCCTGTAATGATATCACAAGCTTCCCCTTCTTCACCACCGGTAATACTACATTCACAAGCTAAAAATTAAATACATTTTTTAATATTAAAGTACAAATATATTACTAAAACGACTAGTATAAACTTAAATACAAAATAGAATATTAACTGTTTTGAGCTTACGAAAACATCCAGTTGTGTTCGGTGAACCATAATGAAATGGTTTACACCTATCACATTTCCCTCCTTCTGTATTGCCATGGCAAGTCAAACATTGACCAGTTAGGTGGTCACATGGACCATTATTGCAATTGCATGATTCACATTTGGAACCAAGCTCTTCGGGATTCCCAAAATAGCCAGCATCGCACCTAAATTGAAATATTTATTTAATAAATATATACAATATAAGTTCAGAAAAAAAAAATCTACTGTATAGTTATATGTGAGTGAAATCCAAGAACAGCTAAATTAACCTAAACCTGTACCACTACAACACATGAAGGGTTCTTGGGTTCAGTATTATGTGAGAATGTATTGTTACAAGGCTAACGGTTGTGCAGGGAGGTGATTGGGCCAAAATCATGCTCAATCGCCAAGTTTTCCTCCTTACTTAATTATTTTATGGACCCAATACAAATACTAAAATGGGACGCGGAAGAAGCTTTTCAAAGGAAACAACATCTCATTGCTATATTCTTAGATATTGAAAAAGCTTATGATACCATGTGGAGATGGCGAGTCTTGGACGTGCTAAGAAGATGGAATATTGAAGGGAAGATGTGGAAATACATTAAGGATTTTCTCAAGCATAGAACATTCACTGTTAGGGTTGGTTCTTCAGAATCTACAGTATACACGACGGAGAATGGTACTCCCCAAGGCTCCCCACTCAGTGCAACCCTTTTCCAGGTCGCGATAAACGACATAGCAGGGGTTTTTGTTAGACCAGCAAAACTTATTATGTACGCAGACGACATATTGCTCTATGTACAAAGCAAATCCATTAAATTTATAGAATGGAAAATCCAAGAAGCCCTTGACAACATAGAATCATGGTCGACAGAGAGTGGTTTCAAACTGTCAGCTAACAAAACCAGAGCCATGCACTTTTGCAGGCTAAGAGGTTGTACATTCAATCCAAGAATACAGATGAAAGGTGTCGGAATCACATTTGTTGATAATCTGAAATATCTAGGGATGCACTTGGATCGACCGCTTCGATGGACATTGCACATAAAAATACTTAAAGAACAGTGTCTGAAAAGGATCGCCCTCCTCAAAAGTCTATCCCATACGAACTGGGGAGCGGATAGGAAAAGCCTCTTAAATATATATTGCACAACCATCAAAAGCAAACTAGATTATGGCTCAAGTGTTTACGGTACAGCATCAAAGAAAACTTTAATGATGTTAGATGTTGTACACAATTGTGCTTTAAGAATTTGCACTGGAGCATTGGCAACCTCACCAGTAGAAAGCCTGTATGTTGAAGCAGATGAACCTCCTCTCTATCTGAGAAGGTTGTATCTAACCCTAAAGTACGGTCTCAAAATTAAGACACGCCCAAAACATACATTAAATAAAATACTGTTTCAGGAAGAATCAGATAACAGCTGGGGAAAGCATTTCGTAGAAACATTTCTTGAAAATGTCTCAGAATCAAAGTTAGAATCTCTTTTGGACGTGCCGGACATTATTATCCCCCCTTGGATCCATACCTCGCCAGTTATAGAGAACTCGATGGCTGGTTCTCGAAAAGATACGCTACTTCCTATCGAAGCACAAACCCTATTTCTGGAAATAATGGAGAAGAATAAAAAATGTAATATCATTTATACTGATACTTCAAAAGTAAACGACGAAATAGGATGTGCTATTGTTAACTCTCAAATAGAAAAGTACTTCAAACTTATGGAGATCTGCACTGTATTTAGTGGAGAGATGATCGGTATTAGAGAAGCTTTGACTTACATTGATTCAACGGAGAGAAACAAATGGGTCACGGTAACGGATTCAAAGAGCGCAATTCTGGCCATTGAAAAGAGAACACCGACAACTACACTGGCAAGATCTATTAAAAATATCTGGTGGAAACTGACAGAAAAGGGAAAGGAAATAGTATTCATGTGGGTTCCTTCACACTGCGGAATTGTCGGAAATGAACAGGCAGACAAAGCAGCAAATATGGCGAGAAGGGTAGATAGAAATCCAACAGCTATAATCAAAGAAATCCCGATAGAAGATTTCATACATCATATAAAAAAAAAAATTGCGGGTAATGTGGCAGAACGTATGGCAACAAAAAGAAACCAAATTAAAAGGAATAAAAAGCCACTGTTCCAAATGGAAAACTAGCAACCGACTCTCTAGAAAAGAAGAGACAGTCCTCTGCCGCTTACGAATTGGGCATTGCGAATTTTCACATGCCTACTTACTAAGAGGACTAGACCCACCGACCTGCGAAAGCTGTAAGGTGCAAAGAACTGTCCAACACATCATTCAAGACTGCCCAGTATTTGAGAATGTAAGGAAAAATCTCAATATGGCTCAGAGCCTAAAAGAAAACCTCAGCGACAACGAAAACGCCGTGGAAAAAACCTTACAGTTTTTAAAAAAAATAAAATTCTACAATAGAATATAAATAGGAAGTGTTGCCAATGACCCTGCAGGGTAGAGGCAACAATAAAAAACAAATAAATAAATAATAAATAAATAATTATTTTAATTAATAGTACCATTTTATAGATCCTGGGTGTGCCCCAGGAGGGTCTTCCCATCCCAAGGTCAATCCATGGCTGATGAAAAATTATGCGTCATCAGCAGGACTTGAACCTGGGACCTTGAGTGCTTAATGTCAGTGCTCACCCACTGAACTGCCCCACTCCCTGGTTAAATTAACAGTAAATAACAATACTAAGCCGCTATACTGACTTCAGTAGTTTGAATGGAGAGAGATTGGATAAAGTCAGGCGTTCTCGGCTATTTACAATTTCTCAGTTCCTGTCTATGATTAACTCTTGTTTCTCCTTAACCGTTTAACAATCGTAGACACATAAATGAATCGAGAGGGAATTGGGCACAACCAACCATGGACTCATATATGAGTTGGGAGCTCTTTCTCTTTAAAAGGTGGGATGCTCAGTGATTAATTCTATTTTCGAACTATCTCATGGCCTTTCTACCATTTGTATAAAAGTTATGAAGTGAGGTGACCGAGTGGGCTAATGCGTGTATAAAATATGTGTTGCTCGGCAACTTGATAAACCAAAGATCACGAGTTCAAATCCCAGTGCCTTAGCTATGTTTAATCCTGGAATAATTCTCCCACTCATTACCTTTACTCGAGCAAAACCCCATAAAGCCTAAAAGGTGAGGAAAGGGGGAAATAGAAACAAAATTGTGTAATAGTTGAGTAAAACAAACAGTTTGAAACGATGCCCTGAATAAAAAGGTTAAAGAAGTGAGTAGAGGTGATAAAATTTATTCCGTTACAAGAACAGAGAGAACAGTCAGCTAATGCAGTGCCAAGACTGCTCCTCTCTTCCCACTCATTGTAGCTAAAAGGTAAAATTAAATAGCAAATTAATCACAGTTCACATATTTAACCATTTATTATAACTATCTACTATGCGAAATGGTTAATTATTTTAAATAAACAAAATTAAAGATGCTTTAAAGGAAAAAATTTTGAAAAATTGGCATTTGAGCTATTTAAATTAGCTTTGTCAGGTTATTTCAATGAAGATAGAAACTACCTGATAATAAAGACCACTTGATTTGATATTCATAAAATGAATTTAACCAGAATCATTTGAGCCATTTATGAGAAAATGTGTAAAATCCAAAACATAAAATGCCAGTTCTGGTAAGTCAATTTTGGCAAAAAAGTTTCTGTAACATCCCATGTATACCTTAAACACCTAATTTTAGTTTTGTAAGACTTCTTGTTTTTTCATTAGGCTGTACACTCCGACCATCTTGCCAAAATTGCTATTTTGGACTTAAGAAACCTCAAAACATATTCAAATTCGAAATTTTTCATGTTTGCAATACTTCATACTCTATACGTCATATATAGGTAAGTCAAAGTAAAAACATAATTGTAAAAAACATATCTTACTTCTCACAGTGCCTTCCAGTGTACCCTACCGGGCATTTAGTGCAAATGTAGCCAAGATTATCTGCTTCGCAAGTTGGGCTAAAATTATTGGAACCTTGAACTAACGGACATAGGCATTTTCTACAGTCATTTGGCGTACCTTTAGTAGGATCACCATAATAGCCGTCAATACATTGCTCACATTGGACACCAGTGGTGTTGTGCTCACAAGTCTGAAATTATAAATATTCAATGTAATTCTACTAAATAAATTTCTAAGACATTTAAGAAGCCTTGATACATACACTACACTGTCCAGTGATGGCATCACAAGTTTGAGCATGGCCATTACAATTACACTTTGTACAAATAGGATGGTGACGGAGCATTGTCCCTTCATGAGTGATTCGAGCGTATCCAAAGTCACAGCTTTCACAAGAAAGTCCTTTATATCCTTCCGGACATTCGCATTTTTCCAAAATGTTCAAATCTGCTCCTTTAGAGCCTTCGACTCCCATTTCAAGAACACAGGAATCTAAACTGTAAAAATGAACTTTAATTCATCTCATAAATGTTGTTCTTAGAGGATTTTAACTATCGACAAGCCAAATACACATACATAAAAAAAAAAAATAATAAATAATTCATTCTATGACTTTCATAAAATTAACATACCTTCCTTCAACTTGGTCAGTATGAAATTTCGCTCTGACAAGAAAGTGTTTTATGTCTGCTAAAACACTTAGCAGTTGGTGCCTATTGACATCATCCCCTCTGTATTCTTCCCAAGGTTCATGATTTCTTCTAGACCTTGCAATAACGTCTTTTGTATCTTCAACAATGTGATACCAACCATCAGGTGTTAATTGGACAGTAATACTCATGTTCTTTGATTCATGCCACGTATTACCGTAGCCTATTTTTAGTCCATTGTGTCCCTAAAAAAGTAAATTATGATCATGATAGTCATTTAGGCATGAGTTACAAAGAAGTAAAGTACTGACATCCAGAAATCAAGTGTTATTATTTAAATATTGATAATATATTAAAAACATATTATATGGGTTTTATACTGCATACTAAATGAAAAAAAAAAAAATTTAAAAGTAGCTTATGTCTAATGCCGACATTTCAAGCCAAATATGTGGTTCATCTTCAGGGCGTGGTTCGAGCACTTTTCAGTGCTGATTCAATGATTGTTTTTATCATTTCACAGAGAATAAAAGAAGCTTTAAAATAATGATGGGTACAATCAAACAAAAATTGTGTACTTATTGAGTTATTCGCAAATATGGTTTTGAATCATATTCATCATTTCGCAGAGAATAAAAGAAGCTTTAAAATAATGAGGGGTATATTAAAAAAAAAATTGTGTACTTATTGAGTTATTCGCAAATATGGTTTTGAATCCATCGTAACTTTTTTTTCATACTCTTTTCGGAGAAGGATGTTACAGACATAAATTAAAAGGGCTTCAAGTAGAAGACTTTAGCCAAGTTTAATTAAAATCGTTACGGCCGTTTAGGCGCTACTGTCTATAGCACTAATGTTCTATGGTCTATTTAAGCTGGTGCTAATTTTGTAAATCCATGGGGAAGGTTATTATGAGGTTTTTATTTTCTATTTACTGCTTTTTTAAAAAGTGGAGTGGAATGGAAGATGTGAAAGTAATCCAGAAAATGGACAAATCAGTTATCCTTAAGAACTAAAATCTGTTAAAGTTTGAAGTAAATAATTTAATTTTTGTTGTTTTTAATTACTTATGAATTCACTCAAGATTTAACTATTTAACACTATAACACATTAAACATTTATTACAGATATACGATATTTGGTAGTACGTGAATACCCCTAGTATATTAACTATTTTAGATAGTTCATTACGTTCTGTAGAAAAATGTTTTAGAATGTTAAATCTAAATAATTGAAGAGATATTTACAAAACCATCTTACAATCAGGACCAGATCAGGGCCAGTAGTTGCTTTTCCACTCGTGTCACCCCTCAATACATCCCAACTCACGGTAAAAGTGACAGTTGAGCCATAACTGGTCAATTTGTTTCCTCTGTATACGTGTGGAGCCATCCAATAATAATTCTCAATATCGGGCATTTGATTATCTGCTACTGAAATAGTTGCAGCATCTGGGTCAGGATTGTACGGTTCGACGATGTAACTTGTCGATAAATCAGTAACTTTCCATCCTTTCATTTCAAGTACCTGGAAGGAATTAGCAATATAAAAATTTTGAAAAAAAAAACATTATTATCAATACATTAATTATTATTTTTATAAATTGAAATGTTAGCTTACCTCTTTTGGTTTATAACCAACAGCAGAACTGCAAACATTTGTAACGTGAGAACAGTAACACTCAGTACAACCATCAGGATTATCTCGATCTAGGAAATAATGTCCTTCCCTGCATTTATCACAAAGTTTCCCTTCTACGTTTACCTAAGGGAAGAAGTAATAAGCCTATAAAATAATATTCTAAAAGTTTATCATAAACAATATAATGAAAAATAGTGTTTGATGTAATGAGCTTAGATGTACAAAATTAAATCCATTAGTATCACAATACACCAGCTCTTCCTCTCTAAAATATATATCTGATATATTAAAGTGATAGTAGTGAAGTGACTTGAAAAATAAAGCAAGATGTTAGAGCTACCATAGACCTGTGAACAGATGACAGTTAATCACGAAGTGCTCTGCAGACAGATTTGTCCAAGTTTGTTTTTATACAGCAGAAGTGTTCAAACCCTTACTGAACTTTTTAAGATTATCTATGCTTAAAGTTAAATTATGGGTCTTGAAATAAATGATTTAAAAACGAAGGATATGTCCATTGCTTCAGAAAATTCAAGAAATTCTCATAACCTTGTGGTGGAAGGACATGCTTTCGAAAATGTCAATACCTTTACCTATCTAGGGGCAAAAATAAATAATGAAAACAGAATTATGACTGAGGTGCACAGAAGGATAATGACCACAAACTACGTTTATTTTAAGAATTTAAAGCTTTTTAAATCATCCTTGATATCAAGGAAAACGAAAATAAGGCTGTACACTACCTTAATAAGACCCATACTTATTTATGCGGCTGAAATAAGGATGATTACTGCCACCATGGTAAATTCATTAAGGGTCTTCGAGAAGAAGATCCTGAGAAAAATATTTGGCCTCTTGTACGATTAAACAACTCAAGCATGGAGGATTAGAACCGATAAGAAGCTATATGATTTATTCAATCATAGTGAAATTGTGAGCTTTATAAAATCGTGGTGGATCGAATGGCTGAGGCACGTTCTTAGAATGCCAGCGAATCCCAAAGAAGATGCTCCAAGGAAGAATTTATGGTTTCAGAGGTAGGGGGAAGGCTGAGAAGAAGGTGGTTGGAGGATATGGAGGACGACCTTAGGCGGTTAAGAGTTACAAACTGGAGGGAAAAGGCTAAGGACAGGGACATCTGGAGAGGTGTTGTTCAGAAAGCCAAGGCCCATCCTGTTCTAAAGAGTGATCGAAGATAAAGAAGAATCACATACAGCATATCATCGGTTTATTGAAAAAAGTCAATAAGTGACATTTCATAACCATAAATCACTAAATATTTTGATAAATTTTTCCTCAATCCCTTTTGGAATCAGAAAATTGGGAGCTTATTGTAACTATATTTGATATGAAAAAGGATTTATATCATTTTAGGGTATTTACTGTTTTTTAATTGATAAATAAGTTTGAAATTCTTAAAAGTTCAATCCATCAAAAATTTGCCTAGTAACTTTTTGCAATATACGAATAATATTTGGGGAATTTTTTTATCATCAGAGGCTGCATTTGGATTGTAATAAGAGAGGCTGCTATAGTTTTTATTATATCATGGTCAGTATTTTTGTTTATTTAGTCATACATATAAATTCTGATTTTTATATTGTTGTAATTGGTATAATTAAATATTATTAACAGAGATGGAATTCATGAAAGCAGTACAAAAACTTATAGAGGCCGTAAGTACTATTACAATGTAGTATAAAAACCACTTCTGGATAATTCAAAATTATATTACTTTGCAGAAGCACTGGGAATGGCAGGATGTTCCAGGAAGCATTCCTCTAGAATCACAGGTACACGGATCACAGGATGGAAAATCCTTATAACCTGGTGCACATCTGTCACATTTTAGACCAGTAAAGCCTTCTTGACATTCACAGGTTCCTGCGATCTGAAAGATTAAAAATAGGTTAAAATTTTACAATTAAAATAAAAATAGTATTTTTTATTTTAAATGTAAAGAGTAAAAATTAAATGTTGATAGTAAAAACAATAACTGTCTATTTCAACCTATCATATAATTTTTTACCTTTCCGAGATGTTCCTCAGAATTATCTTTTATACAATATCCAGTTGATCCAGGACTTTTACAGTCACAAGGGATACATGGAACATGAGCATCCGGCCTTACACCACTGGGTCTGTACCATCCGACATCACATTTTTCGCAGTTGATTCCAGTCGTATGGTTCTAAAAGAATAAGGTATTTCATTAGAATAAATTACCATTCATACAAAAATTGAAATACTAGAGGAGGCAAGTGAATGATGATGATAAGTTACATTTTTTGAATTCTATGAAAACTAAATTCAAATCACTTTTATACTTCAAAGTAAATCATAATAATGCCTATTCATCCCTCTTTTCTCAGTCTGCTGGTATTCCTCAAGACAGTGCCCTAAATCCAACATACTTTGTACATATTTTACATAGCTGACATCCCAACCCATCCTAACATTGTCATCATCACCTATGTCTCATCAGTTAGAAACAAGCCACTAATAATTGCATCCCAAACTCTTTAATCACACATCACAAACCTTGAAGAATAGTGTCAAAACTGGAGGATTAAAGTAAATTCCAAAAGATCCTATCAAATCACCTTTACCCTTTGTCGTAAACCTATGACTTCCTGTCCAATGGTATCCTTTAATAATACACCATTTATCCCTGTTGATCAAATCTGATACCTAGGAATCCACCGGGACAAATATCTAACTTGGTGTCCTCATACCAGACTGAAACAACAAGAGACCACTCGATGTTTCTGACTACTTCAGCACTTACTAGAAAATTGTTATTACATAATTCTTGTTGTATTAGTAAATATTAATTATTATTACATATATTATTTATTATATAATCATTTAAATTTTGTTTATTAGTTATTACTGCTGTATTTGTGAGTAGTAAAAAAAAACATTAAATGTTATTTTTAATTTTTTTTTTTTACATTGCTTACCGTCTATTCTTAACATTTATATGAAAAATTGATAATTGAGAATATGGAAAAATAAATAGTATTTAAATGAGGTTTAGAAGGGAGCTTAGAAAATGGAGATGGGTAAGGAATTCCAAAACATGGTTTTACAAATGATAAAAGGATTTTTATAAAGCTTTGAGAAGTGATCAAGTAGGTTGAGGCACAGTATTTAACAGAAACAAGAAAGAATACAGAGTAGGGAAATCAGGAATATTAAAAGGTATTCGTTTTCTCAAGGTTTGAAAAAAGAAGGTGTTTAATTGGAAATTAGGTTAAAGCCCATCTTAGTTGGAATACCAGTGAGAGAAATGACATCTATGTTTATTTTATGTTTATAATCTCATCTCATGAGGCTCATAAGAGAGAATGAAAGTTTTTGTATAAAGAAACTTACAGTGCAGTTGCAAACTCCACCACCTGAAAACCTCCCTTTTGAGTCTAGGCTCAGTCCTGCATCAGCCACCTCGGCATCATATGAGCACGATAAACCGTGGCCATGGCACTGACATTTCTGGCATGCATTGGCTTCTTTGGGGGTTCCACTGCGCCACTTTTCTTGATTGTACAAAGGAAGGCAATGATCACAACTAGGACCACCGGTATTGTGGCTACATTCGCATATTCCAATCTGAAAAAGATAAATCAATTGATCAGTTGATATTTTAATATTGAATTGAACTAAAATTACCCAATCCTCTCATATCAAAATAAGAGATCCGATATATGATTGTCATACTAATTTGTTTAATCAGAAGTAATATTTTGTGTTTATGAAAATCATATACAACTCTGTTTTTTTTTTTCCTACAAGTATTTATAATTGACCATTTTATATTTCAAAGACATTAATCTAAACTACACTCACCTTATCTTCAGATATTGAACATTTTGAAGCGTGTCCATTACATATACATCTTCCCTGAATCAGTATGTCTCTAATAGTGTAATAAAACCTTTTTGCCATATCTGAACCATGCCTTGCTTTTTCAAGTTTCTGACTGTTCATTTTTTGAAATCTGAATTGAATGTATCTCGCCTTCGTCAGCTTCAAAAACTCTGTATTTGATACATTATTGTAGACATGACTGAGACTAACATGGACCTGGAACATAGCATAATAACAATTTTATTAATTTCACATTGAAGTATTTGATTTAATAATTAAAATTACTACTTTGATTTCATAACAGTCACAATAATACAGTGAATTAATGTAATTTTCATTTACTTCTTCCATAATATTTAAAATGTTTGACCTTTATATGATAATGTCTATTTTAACTTCACAGTTTATGTATCCCATGTCAGAATAATAAAAATCTAAAATTACATCTGATTATTATTTATTTGTACATTTGGGGGAATCTCTGTCCCCCTCCTCAGCAATATTTTACTCTCCCAAAAATATTCGATAAGTCAATCTAATAGGTATAATAAGTTTGGTTCAATGTTAAATATGCAACCAAACTTATTATACCTATTAGATTGACTTATCGAATATTTTTGGGAGAGTAAAATATTGCTGAGGAGGGGGACAGAGATTCCCCAAAATGTACAAATAAATGATAATCAGAAGTAATTTTTGATTTCTATTATTCTGATCTGGGAGCCATAAACTGTGATGTGAAAATAGACATTTATTTTTTTATTTACCTATTAATCTAGAAATATCCATATTGTATAGAAGATGACCAATTACATAAGTATTGTTATGACAGACAGCTATAATTGTAAAAAAAAAATACCAAAAAGTAAAGGATTTTATTCATGTAAATAAAAATCACACACTGTAATTAGGGGCTGTCTTTGTTGAAATTTACAGTTCTCTTCTACATTGTACTTTTAGACTTAAGTCCGAATTGTTGAAATGTATGCCAAACTAAGGAACCCAATTTTTTACTACCTTGTATGGCATGAAAATGAATTTGAATGTGTTTAGGAATGCAAACGGAATGGTTATAACTATATAAAATTCTCATAATTTTAAATAAGATTTTCTGCAGACAAGTGTATCAAACTGATAATCGCAATAACTCTCCTGAACTGCACTGAAACCTGAATTGAATCAGAGAAAAATAGGTAGTTTCATGAGATGGAGATCTACCACTGATCAGATCTTTCCCTGAATGAAAGAACAAGGGATTATAACATCACATGTTTTTATCAGTGCATACGACAGTGTCATTATAGAGAACTTCCATGCTATGGAAGATAAATCTTCTCCTTGAATTGATCCATCCTACAGAGCAGCTGATGATGGGATCAGGTCAGAATACAGGTAGACCTATCAGAGACATTCACAATCACAAGAGGGCTGAGACAAGTAGATAGCCTTTCATGCCTGCTTTTTAACCTAGAAAAGGTGATAGGGACTGAGAAGTGTAAAGATATGGGACCATACTCATGAAGTCAGTCTGAATTCTTGTAGGATAGGTTAGTAGTGTAGGCAAAGATGTTTTATATATATAGTAGCTAGATCACAGAGGAATTTCAAAAGGAACTTCTTAGTGATAGAGGCAGCAGGACAGGTAATGGGACTAAGTATAAACCAGGCTAAGAAGAAATATATGATTGTCAACTCACCCAGACTACCACTACCTACAGTTACATTGGAAGGATACACAGTTGAAAGTAAATAATTTTGTGTTACTAGGATCTTTAGTTTGTGCAGAAAATATGGCTAGCAAAAAACTACAGAGATGAATTGTCAGGAAAAAAGTGTTATTTTGCCATGGCAAAAATATTAAGAAATCATTTGCTGGCTAGATCCACTTAGATCGCTCTGTATAAATCTCTTATTAGATCTGTACTGACAGATGGCTCCGGAACATGGCCATTATTTGGAACAGGCGCCATCTTCTTGCAGGTTTTCCAAGATGAATCCTGAAGATGTTTGGCCCAGTAACAGGTGATAACTATCATACGTTAAGGCTTAATGGAGAGTTGCACAAATTTATGGGGAACCAAGTGTGGTGCAATTTACACTTATCTTGCCCCAATCATTCCGAGCAGATAAAGCTCTCGTACGTGGTCTGTAATTGGTTTCTGATCCGTAGCATCAAGGGTTGTACATATGCATGATTATGCCTGGTCTGTTCGATGTTAGTTGATAAGGAAATAGTTCATCATGCGGCATGTTATATCCAACACGCCTTGTGGACCCAACAATAATTATTCATTCATTCATTTCAATAGCACTTTTTTTGGAGGGGATGAGGGGATCCTTCCCTTCCTCGCTTTTAAGGCTATGTGGGGTTACCCGGCCTAGGGAGCGAGGGTGGAGATTTTAAAAGACTCCCCCGGCACCGAGACGCGAATTCGCGACTATTTTTATCCGGGTTATCTGTGTATCACGTTGTCGAGCAACGGCAGTGCTGTGCACACACGTAAGTCCATTCAACCACTCCGCCCCCGTTCCAATAGCAATACAGCCCGATGCGGACCCTGACCTCCTCAATGAGCCTTCGCCAGGTGACTCGATCCTGCGCAGCCGCTTTCCAATTCCGTACTCCCAAAAAGGCCTGAGCATTCTTTATGACAGTGTCTTTCCATCACAGAGCCTTCCTCTTCCTCTTGAGGTTCAGTTTCCCCAACAGCAGTTTCTTGGGGATTTCTTCCTCGTTCATCCTTCCTAAGTGGCCTGCCCATCTTAGTCGACCACACTTTATAAAACGAACGATGTTCGCTTCCCCCAAGAGTTCGTATATCTTCCTATTATAGCGCCTCCTCCAATAGTTCCTTAATTAGAGAACATCTATTCCTCCCATCAGTCCATTTACATTTCACGATTTTAAGACAGGATCTTCAAATGACGAGGAAAGTTATTTTATCAGAAAGTAAACTATACCAACGGCATAAACTGAAATTTCGATTAACTAAAATTTCATATATAATTTAATTAACTAATCAAGGACAGTACAGATGAATAGTAAGACTGCCCTACCGAAAGTAGGACGCCTGGAAACCCCAAAAGAAGAATAATTTGAATTGCAAAGATATCGTTCACACATTCGAAAATGACGTAAACAAATATTTAATATAAATGTAGGCTTTGATAGCTTAGCGTGTCCAGGCAGCATTTGTACATTTTTTAATCAATATAGATTTTCATGTAATCTTTAGAAAAAAGGTTGGTAATATGTAAGTTAACCCATAATCAATGTATCTAGGAAGTTAATGTCGACCAATATTGTATCGAAATAAAGAATTTCATATCAATATCAAAAGAAAAAAGCCAATATCGGATTTGGATATATATTTTTTTGTTCACATCATAAACTTAAATCAATTTAATATTGAAAACATATAATGAGAGTATTAATATATACCAATATTTTTTAAGCCATCGAAATACTAACCCTTAACACTTTTCTTGTCTCGGAAATCACGCCATGTAAAAAACTTATAGTGACACCCTTGTCCGACTAACAAAAATTTACAGTTATCCTTAAAGCAATGAAATAATTGAGTCCATTGCCCATTTTGGCGCTATTTATATCTATCTTTCTATATATATATCACTGATGAATCTATGGGGGAGGGGGAGTGAGGGGTCTTTCGGGCTGAAGCTCCCCCCAAAATGGTAAAATATAACCATGTCTTATGAAGAAATATTAAAAAATTATCCATAAAAGTATTATTGTTCCTGTAATTTAATAGAACTTCAAGAATCACTTTTACACCACTTCATATAGTTTCTTTCTTTTTATTCCAAAAAAGTTATCGTTTTATATATATATATATTTAAGTTAAATAAAATTAAGTTGAATGTATGTATGTGAGGGTGTTTATTTAGTGATATATAAAAATAGCAACGGTAAAAAATAAAATATTGCAATCTCTATTAGCAATGCCTCATCTCACTGCAATCTCTAATGATGAAAAGCTTCTCCAGCTATGGTATATTTCATATACAGGTTAAGCGAAAACATTAAAACTAAACCCCTCCAGCGGTTTTGAAGATAGAAGTCAATATAACTTTTAAAATATTATAAAAATAGTAAATATTAAAAACGTAAATAGTCAAATCATTCTTCATTCATTATTTGGTATGCGTATTATACCGTATGTTACTATATTTTTTAAGAATTATTATTTCAGTGGTTTTTATTATTTATTATATTTCAATGGTTTTTGTAGCAAATAAATCCGAGCCTCATACCTATTAGGTACAAATATTTCTTTCTTTCAAATAAAATTTAATTAAGAAACTATTCGCATTCCAAATTGACTTCACGCACTTTCATTATATAGGTTAATAGCACTGATTATTTTTTCCAAGCTCTGGATCTTAAACTAGGGAATGCAAATATATAATACATTTCCCGAAATTCGCATTATCAACAGTAAATATTTTGAGAAGATTGTATTTTAAAATTTATTGAAGTGTATTAAAGATGGAAATAGTTTTTCAGTTCGAAACTTATGATCCTTTATCAAACTAAAAATAAAAACCAATCCATGAATCTCTGCCCTCGTCCCGAAAATAACCTAGAAGGCTGTTAAATTTTGTATTCTCTAGGAAAATGTATAGCTGCAGTTGCGCGGCAAGAGTTATGGCAATCTAAATATAAAAGGTTGAAGAAAAGCATTTATTATTTGTTTATAGTTGGCCTCAATTTTATTTACAGAAGAGGGTATACAGTTATATCATTCACTGGAAAAAAAATTATCTAATAGATTTGCAAAGGATAGATAAAAAAAATTGAAATTTATGTCACGAATTGCAACTGGCCAGTAACCTAATATTAATATTATTTATAATATTTAATAAGACAAGACAAGTTTTGAACCTTGTTAGAAGTTTAAAACAGCAGAAAACCAAGTACCATACTGGTCAACCTAAGCATATTACACTCCTTGAAGTTTCGCCGTGGTTTAGTAATAAAGTAGAAATAAATATAAAAAGTAACTTCTAATAAAATCCATCAACATCGACAAGGTGGCTGCTACGATATTTTAAAGTTTGGAAAGAAATTAATTATAAAATAAAGGAAAACTATTGCGATCGTGAATATTTTCGAATCTGAGTTTTCAACAGAAATACACGATTTGAGATCCCTTGAGTCTGAAAAATGGTTTGTGTGTGTGTATGAACGAACA